GGAAATTTTAGGTGACCAGCCCTCCCCCTAAAAACCCAGGGTGGCCTCTTCTATTTAGGGAATTTAAAGAGCAGCATTGCGATGTCTGTCTCTCTTGAGGGAAGCCACCATGGAGATTAGTACATAAGGGGAGCAGCTCTCTTTTGGGTAGAAGTGACTAATCTGAAAATTATGTCTTCTCCTTACAAAGCTCGAGTAATTGGCTTGCTGAGACCACTCAAGGATGTAACAGTGACAGCTGGGGAATCAGCAACCTTCGATTGTGAACTCTCGTATGAAGGAATCCCAGTGGAGTGGTTCCTGCAAGGAAAGAAACTGGAGCCCAGTGATAAGGTAAATAAATGAAACTATATTTTTCTTATTTTTTCCTCCTCCTTCCTCTCTTTCAACTCTCTTCCCCTTCTTTCTCATTTACTCTCTGCCACTAGAACTACTAAGGCACAGCAACACAGTAATGCTGCTGCGCCAAATGGTAAATCCTCACTAAATCAGATATAGCATTTTTTTCCCTAGAAATTCCAGTATTCTGGAATACTACAAGTATTTATCATACAAAGGGAAACTAATTTCCAAAATATCAATCATTACAACAGTGATTTTATGCCTGATTCTGTTGGAGACTCAGCCACAGGGGTACTGAATGATTTTTGCTCAGGTTAATTGTAGTTACAGGGAGAGGGTTTTGAAAGGTGCTATCAGGAAATGCTTTTTTTCTCCTGAATGTTGAGTTGCAGTCCAGTTCTGCATATAAGGGGATTAAGAGGATTCAAATTCCATTTCAGGCATTTGTTCTGGCTCTCCAGATAACTTTCTGGCCTGATTTGCTTGTCAAGCACTTCTCACTAGCTATTTTTAACCCTTCATCAAGAGCTGGCTCTTAACTCTGAGATCTGAGCAGCCCGGAATGCAGTCAGTTTAATATTTAAATTTAATGGTAGGAGAAATACATAAAGAAACATAAAGAAATACATTAAGATACATAAAATATAAATTAATATCACTGGTTTCAAGGCTTCTTTTTCATGTACTAGACCTAAGGAAAATAATGCAAATGAAAATAGAAATTGGAAACCTCAGACAAAGCAAAATTCCAAGGCATTACATGACCTAGCAAAGTTTCAGAACCTGTAATAATGTTGTTAATAACACTTTGGCACAGATATTTTTCTTCTAAATATAATTTTAACATATTATTTTCAGGTTTTACTAGATCTGTCTGAGATTCACCACATTTGCTTGAATAAAAATTATTTCATTAAAAAAAAATTATAGAAATAAATAAATAAATAAGATCATGGCAATAGGTCACCCTATTACAGTATTTAAGGACAGATAAACAAAATTGAAACTCAGCAGATGAGACATGTCATAAATCAGAGTAATTACTTCTGAGTCTAGGAATAAAAATGTGGAATAAAAATATGGAATGCTATTGATCAATGCAGAGCAGTGGCTTGATAGTTGTTACTGCCTGGAAACAAAAATATATGTTCAATATTCTGTATAATGGAACATTATTTTGTTCGTATCTGTTTGAAATATCGTTTTAATTACATGAAAAGAAATCTAGATTTTCATTCCATTTTCATATACAGTCAAAACTGTAATTTGACTTTAGTTGAAATCTTATCAAGAAGAAATTCAGGATAAACTATATTTCCTTGATGCATCACTCTCTGCCCATTTAAAATAGCCTCTTGAAACACTTTTACTACCATCTTCAAAAATCAATCTAATCGTTCAAGTGTTTCATTTCACCTGTTTTTAAGTCAAGTCATTATTTTACCTCTGTGGTTGGCATTCAGCTGTACACATATAAACTTTATTAAAGTAACTTCTTTTCTATCTTTATTGCTTCTCTTCGTCGAATATATATTTGGCTTCACCTCAATCACTTTCAGATGAGCATTCACTAGAGCTAGTTTTCAGGGACAACATGATGATCTGGGAGGAAGGACAGCTTCTTAGTTTCTTCCTTCCCTCTGAAGCAAAAGGGACTGCCTTCCCAAAAGCAACAATCTTTTACGTGCCTTTCTTGTCAGAAGCTCACTTTTCCCATTTATTTTTCTAAACCAGCATCTACTACTTGATCACATGCTTCTCTGAAAAAAAAATAAATATAATTCTTCAAAAGCTATGTTAAAATTTATGGCTTGAACAAGTAGCAGCCCTCTTACTGCCTGCGATGCAGGATGCATCCTTGAATCCCCCGGGTCCACTCATAGAGAAAAGGGAAGTTTGTGTAGTAGCCCAATTCAAACTCATGATTACAAAGCAATTTCAGCAACAGACCAATATGGAAATTATGTCTTTAAGCAGAATTTTTTACCAGTCAAATTGGCATTTACAGAAGAGTATATGAGAGGGGTGTCAAACCTCTTTATATCTCTCTAAAAGTTTTTACTTTAGGTGTAGCCAGGAGTAATACCAACTTTTTCCCATAAATTTGCTTATTTTGGTATTTATTAGTATCTGTTCAAAACAATCATGATCTCAAGTCAGCCTCATTTTGAACTTTGATAGTAGACTCAGGTTTTCTGATACAAAGACACAAATACCTTAAAACATGGGGGAACTTAAAATTAGAATTTCTTGTAAGTGAAAGGCCAAACCAGAAATTATTCTCAAAATCCTCAAGGTATTTGTGTCCTGAGCTATATCAAGAATATACAAGAGGAAATTATAAAAATTTCATATAATTTAAACAACCAAACTCCACAAATAACAATAAATAGCAATGCTATTTCATTAAATATTTCATAAATATTTATTGTAGATTTTACAAAGAGTTTTTTTATGTAATTTATAAGGTTATGACACGTGCTGAAGGGAGAGTTCACACACTTATTCTGAGAGACGTCAAGTTAACGGATGCGGGAGAGGTATCACTGACAGCAAAAGATTTCAGAACTCAAGCAAATCTTTTTGTGAAAGGTAAGTCAGTCATTTTAATTAGAGCATAGTCAGCGTTAATGGTCCCCTCATGATTCACCCTGGAATAAGATGTTAATATACACCATATATCAAATTAGTAGGAACATACATGCAATATTGGACTGGTAGATAACTTTCCTGATTAAAAAAGCCACTTAAAATCTTTATGTTTCACAGAAGAACTGAGGAAAGGGGGAAATACTGGAAATGTGTCAGATGTTCATTAGGATTTTCAGGGCTTCATTGTAGACTTGAACATTCAATTGTCCTCAAGATGACCTGCAAATTCTGGCCTTTATGGCTGCTTATGGCTTTTTTCTGTTCTTTGGAGTATCCAAAAACATATGAGACCACAACTACACCATCAGTCAAGAGACATAACATTGACTGTATACCCACTTGCACTGCTTGCAAGTCATGCATGACTAAGAAGTCAAAAAACTGCACAGACTTCTAACTAATTTAGTAATTCAAGGAAAATTAAAAAATCGTTCCTTTGGTTCAGAGTATAACTTCAGAGTCACTGAGATCATAGGGGTATAGTTCAGCTAAAGAAAGCGAGGTGCAAGGTTTTGTGATAATTTGTGATTAAAAACTCCACAGACAAGGATATCATTCAGTCTAATCTTACAATGGGCTGAAAATGAGGGAATTAGATGAATTAACTGAATATGTCTGGGAATTAAAAATAAAAAATAAAACCTTCAGCAGAGACATCTAAGAGCCTTTTCGATTATTCAGTCAAGGAAAATCAGGAAACTGCATGGGACAGTTCTGTACTAGCAGAGGTCTGGCTATAAATTAGATCCTTTCTATCAAATATCTATGTTTCTTTTAGAACCCCCAGTTGAATTCACTAAACCACTTGAGGACCAGACTGTTGAAGAGGAGGCCACTGCAGTACTGGAATGTGAAGTTTCCAGGGAAAATGCAAAAGTTAAATGGTTCAAAAATGGAGAAGAAATTCACAAAACGAAGAAGTACGATATCATTTCTGATGGCAGAGTCAGAAAACTCATTATCCATGGCTGCACACTGGATGATGCAAAAACATATACCTGTGATGCTAAGGATTTTAAGACATCATGTTTTCTCAATGTAGAACGTGAGTAATTTACAATTTTCTACAAAATGTCTAAGTCTCTGTCAGAGACTTTCCTCTACTAAAAATTTCCTTTTTCTCTTTTAGCGATTCGTGTTGAGTTCCTGAAACCCCTAACTGACCTTGAAGTTAAAGAAAAAGAATCTGCTCGGTTTGAATGTGAAATTTCTCGTCCAGGTGTCAAGGTCAATAATAATATTTTTTTATCTGAGTAGCTCTTTCAACTAGAGCTTCTGTTTAAATTGGCAACTTTATTATGTTGTCACAAAAGTACACAACCAAAATCTATGATGAAGATGTTAATATTAATAACCATGTTGATTTGTTCTAAAACAGGTGAAGTGGTTTAAGGATGGCATTGAAATTAGGAAAGGGAAAAAGTATGACATCATTTCCAAAGGTGCAGAACGCATTCTTGTTGTCAGTAAATGTGTCTTTGATGATGAAGCTGAATACGCCTGTGAAGCAAAAACAGCTCGAACTTCAGGCTTACTTACAGTGATAGGTAAACACAGTGTTTTAGAAAATAATCTATGAATAAGAAAAAATGTGATTTTGATGAAAAGCTTTAATCATCTTTCTAAATTCCTGTTGCAGAGGAAGAGGCTGTTTTCACAAAAAATCTTCCTGATCTTGAAGTAAATGAAAATGACACTGTAAAATTCATCTGTGAAGTTTCAAAGCCTAATGCTGAAGTTGCTTGGTTTAAAGGAGATGAGGAGGTGCCTGATGGTGGTAGATTTGAACACATTTCTGATGGCCGAAAGAGAATTCTTCTCATACGTAATGCTCATCCTGAAGATGCTGGCAAATATACTTGCAAGCTCCCAAGCTCTAGTACCTCAGGAAAACTTACTGTACATGGTAAGAGAGTTACTTTGGTGGCCTTGTTTTCTGTAAAAAAAAAAAAAAAAATAAAATCTTATATATCTACAAAACTGTTTTCTTTCAGAACTTGCAGCAGAATTTCTTACCAGACCACAAAATCTTGAGGTGCTTGAAGGAGACAAAGCTGAATTTGTCTGTTCTGTATCCAAAGAGGCAATTGCAGTACAGTGGCTGAGGGGTGACACAGTCCTGGAGGCTGGTGATAAGTACGACATCATTTCAGATGGCAAAAAGAGAACACTTGTGGTTAAAGACTCTATTCTAGGAGACGCGGGAAAGTATACTGTCATGGTTGGTGAAGCTAAAGCTACGGCACGCTTAACAGTGATTGGTAAGTTTTATTTCATGAATATGCAGGTGCATATTTTGATGTATTCCTTATAGCACATGATGTCCTATTTCTTCTATTTTCTTAATTTCAGAAAAACTCAGGATTATAACTCCCCTTAAGGACCAAGAAGTTAATGAGGGTCAAGAAATTATCTTCAACTGTGAAGTCAATAAAGAAGGTGCCAAAGAGAAGTGGTACAAAAATGATGAGGCAATATTTGATAGTGCAAAATACATTATTGTCCAGAAGGATTTAGTCTACACTCTCAGAATCAGAGATGCACAGTTGAAAGATCAAGCAACCTATACCATTTCACTGTCAAACCAGAGGCATGAACATGTCAAAAGTTCTGCTGCCTTAACAGTATTAGGTAAATAACTTGCACTGTATTAAATTTATTTCATCATCTTACATTCAGTTTCACATCAGGATCATGAGGATGTAAATTAATCACTTTGGGTTTTTTGTCTTAACAGAGGAGGATCTCAGAATAGTTGAGCCTCTTGAAGACATTGAGACCATGGAAAAGAAAACTGTCACATTCTGGTGCAAAGTCAACCGCCTTAATGCAACCCTCAAATGGACAAAGAATGGTGAAGAGATCACATTCAACAAACGCATTTTGTACAAAATTGATAAATACAAACACTCACTCATCATTAAAGACTGTGGGTTTATAGATGAAGGTGAATACACTGTTACTGCTGGACAAGACAAATCTGTCGCAGAGCTTCTCATCACAGAAGCACCAGCAGACTTCATTGAACATCTCCGGGACCAGACCGTCACTGAATTTGATGATGCTGTCTTTACATGCCAGCTTTCCAAAGAGAAAGCCAGTGTAAGATGGTACAGAAATGGAAGAGAAATCAAAGAAGGCAAAAAGTGTGTACATTTCATTATGCTTGTTAATATGCTAAACATGATTGCTTTACTTTGTTGCTTTGTCTGGAAACTAAAATACTACTTACTTTCTTCTCCCATAAAGATACCAGTTTGAAAAGGATGGAAATCTGCACAGATTAATCATAAAAGACTGTAGACTAGATGATGAGTGTGAATATTCCTGTGGAGTGGATGACAGGAAATCTAGGGCAAGACTTTTTGTTGAAGGTATGAGTAAAATTGAATAGGATTTATTTCTTCGCTATTTAGTAATAATAGAAACAATACACAAATAACACCAAATGATTTTACATTTATTTCAGAAATCCCTGTTGAGATCATCCGACCACCACAAGATATTTATGAAGCTCCTGGTGCAGATGTCATTTTCACGGCAGAGCTGAACAAAGATGGTGTGGAGGTCAAGTGGTTGAGAAACAACATGATTATTGTCCAAGGTGACAAACATCAGATGATGAGTGAAGGAAAGGTCCACAGGCTGCAGGTGTGTGAGATAAAGCCACGGGACCAAGGGGAATACAGATTTATTGCCAAAGATAAGGAAGCTAGAGCTAAGCTTGAATTAGCTGGTAAGTTGTTTGCATTTTATTTCTTTTATAAAATCTTAGATTAGTGAATTAACTATTTAACTAAATTGAATTTTGTTCTTTCAAATAATTTAATTAAAATGAATACACAGTCAGGCTGAGACAAGTGTACCATGCTGATCCAACTGTTGAGGAAAATACAGGCCACTTTTCAGTGTCTATACCAAAGAGCATGAATTGAGCTTAAAGGAGACAGAACCTGTTCATTAGGTCACTGCAGAAAATTATTTGGCCTACTCATTTCAGTCATATAAGACATTTAATTCCTAATTTGTCTATTTTACAGGATCAGACCAATAAAAATATTAAATTAATGCTCAAAAAGGAACTCCCTCCTCCCTGATTTTACAGGAGGACACAGTACATACCAATCAGCCTGAGTTTCTTTCTCTGGAGCAATCCAATGAGTACATGAAGGATTTGCTCAGAATTCACACAATTTTTCTGTGTTAGCTTCTTTGCTGAGTACACAAATATATCAATTTTTTTATATATATGTACTTACTTGTTACACTGATCTTCCTTAGCTGCACCTAGAATCAAGACTGGTGATCAAAACCTTGTGGTTGATGTTGGGAAGCCTTTAACTATGACTGTTCCATATGATGCCTACCCAAGAGCAGAAGCTGAATGGTTGAAAGGGGAAGAAAGTCTGCCCACAACAACTGTTGATACAACAACTGACTGCACTACCTTCAAAATTTATGAAGCAAAGAAATCAGATAAGGGAAGGTACAAGGTTATACTTCGAAACAAACATGGCCAGGCAGAAGCATTCATCAATGTAGAGGTCATTGGTAAGTACTCCCATTACTAAAACCTTGCTTACATTTATTTAAGCCAGAGGGGAAACGAAAAAAAAAAAGATACAACACCCTAAAATATTGTCATATCTTTGTTAGATGTTCCGGGTCCAGTTAGAAACTTGGAAGTCACTGAAACTTATGATGGTGAAGTTGGCCTCGCCTGGCAAGAACCAGAAACTGATGGTGGAAGTAAAATAATAGGCTACGTCATTGAAAGACGTGATATCAAGCGTAAAACCTGGATTATGGCCACTGATCGTGCTGAAAACTGTGAATACACTGTTACTGGACTTCAAAAAGGAGGAGTTGAGTACCTCTTCCGAGTTAGTGCTCGGAACAGAGTGGGCACGGGTGAGCCAGTGGAAACAGAGAGACCTGTGGAAGCTAGGAGCAAATTTGGTGAGCAGAAGTTATGAAAAACTCAGTGTTTGATGACAGTGTAAGAAAAGCAGTACAAACTCTAAGAATAGGTAAAAAACACATACCTTGTTTTTCCTTTTTCTCCCTAAAATAAAATGCAGAAGTTCCTGGTCCTCCTCAAAATGTAGAAGTTACGGATGTGAACAGGTTTGGAGCTACACTTACCTGGGAACCACCTGAGTATGATGGAGGATCTCCAATTACTGGCTATGTTGTTGAACTGCGTAACAGAGCGTCCATCAAATGGGAGCCAACTATGACCACCGGAGCTGATGAACTCTCAGCTGTCCTGACTGATGTTGTGGAAAATGAAGAATATTTCTTCAGAGTAAGAGCTCAAAACATGGTTGGAGTTGGCAAACCAAGTCCTGCTACACGTGCAGTAAAAATTATGGACCCAATTGGTAAGTATGGAAGCATTGATTATGATTGCATTATAAGACAAGGACATTTTGGCTCTTTATATATTATGCGCGCTGGAAAGTTCAACTAAAAAACATGTGCTGCAAACACCATGTACAGTTAAATTTTTCCTACTTTTGTCCTTCAAATATATCAGAAGTACCTTGCTACCATTTGGTTTAGTAAGAACTCCAAATATTTTTGCTCTGAAATTAGGATCCAACCTCAATTTAAAAAACTGGTTTAGAAAAAGCTATGCAAATTTAAAAAGAGTACTTTAAGGTATAGACAGCTGACATGCAGAACCATACCCCTTTATCAGTTGCAAAAATGTACTCCTCTCAAATTATTTTCAGAGAGACCAAGTCCTCCCATTAACCTTGACCATTCAGATCAAACTAAGTCATCAGTGCAGCTCACATGGGAACCTCCTCTCAAAGATGGAGGAAGTCCAGTCCTAGGCTATATTGTTGAAAGGCAAGAAGAAGGAACAGACAAGTGGATTCGCTGTAACCCCAAACTAGTACCTGCTCTTACTTTTAAGGTAAGATGTTCTGTTCATCAACAAAGTACTCAAAATGTGTAGATCATCTTTAATATGAGTTACTAATTTATTATTTGTGCTTTTTAGGTAACTGGATTGAAACCAGGATCCAGTTATTACTACAGAGTCTCAGCAGAAAATGCAGCTGGTGTGTCTGACCCAGCAGAGGCTATTGGGCCATTAACTGCAGATGACACTTTTGGTAAGCCATGTGCTATTTATTGAAGATAATTAATCAGATAAGGCATGCAATTAAATGCATCTTGTAGGTAATATGTATATTTTTCACCAGATAACTGTGATGCCAACTAGTATAAAGAGCCTTAGACCTTTGAGATTCTGAGCTATTTCTCCTCCATTATGAATTCTGAAGATAATTAACTTTACTATTAAGTAGAAACCTATTAGGTTGCCTGAAAAGCAAGGCATGACCTTTCATCTCCTGACCTAGCTTTGTGGAAGGTGGGAGGTAACAGAAGGAGAGAAAGGCAGAGAAGATATAAAAATTAAAAATCAAAACAATACACAGTTTTTACATTAAAGAGTAAATTTGATCTCCTATTTGATAATGCTAAGATGCCTTATCGTCTCACATATTTCTAAAAGCTGTTTAGCCAGGAGAGATAGGTCTAGACAGCTCCAACCTGCAGGTTGAGATACAGTCAGAATCAGCCTCTCAATACAGATATCATTAGCCACATTCAGAACTTCTGGAAATATTTCAACAAATCCATTTTCCACTTTTTCCAGTTGGACCCACAATGGACCTAAGTGCTTTTAAAGATGGGCTGGAAGTTATTGTTCCTGAGCCAATCAAGATCCGTGTTCCTATCACTGGATACCCTGTACCAACTGCCACATGGTCTTTTGGTGACCAAGTCTTAGAAGAGGGTGGTCGTGTAACAATGAAGACCACTGCCTCCTTTGCAGAACTTGTAATTACTCCAAGTGAACGTCCAGACAAGGGAATTTATTCCTTAACATTAGAAAACCCTGTGTCATCTGTTTCTGGAGAAATTGATGTTAATGTCATTGGTAAGTGGGCATGTATATATTCTAGCAATGACATTCCATATTTGTCTTGCTAAAATCTAATTAGGTTAATAATGTGAAATCACAACCTTCAGTAAACCAAGTTTATTAAAATGTAACTAAAAATTAGAAATCCATCCTCAAAAAAACCTCTTTTCTGATTTTCCATATGCAACTTTGCTGTTTAAGGAAGGATGACTAAAAAGAGTAAGTCTTCTGGCAGATAGATTACATAGATATAATCTGTCAAACTCCAATTACAAAATAATTAATACTATTTCTGTAATTTCTAGCTCGTCCAAGTGCACCAAGAGAACTTAAAGTTTTAGACATAATTAAGAACACAGTACAGCTATCATGGGAACCTCCAGAAGATGATGGTGGAAGTCCAGTTACTGGCTATATAATTGAAAAACGTGAAGTAAGCCGGAAAACATGGAACAAAGTAAGTTCATTCTTTCTCATTTTAATTTCTATTTGCCATATTGTTTCCACATGTGCTACTGGAATTTTGTTTCTTATTTTGCTAATTGCTCTTTGGAAATAAATTTTAGAAACACATTGGAGCCTTTCTTCCCTTTAGGTTATGGATCATGTTGTTGACCAAGAGTTCACTGTACCTGACCTCATCCAAGGAAAAGAATATTTATTTAGAGTTTCTGCATGCAATAAATGTGGCCCAGGAGAACCTGCATATATTGATGAACCTGTAAATATGTCAGCACCAGCAAGTGAGTCAACTGTTTCACATTGTTGCTGGTTTTCTGTTTCTGAAATCTTGCTGATTTTCTTCAAAATAAGATATGAAAAAAAATCTTCCTTAGACTGGTTTCTAAGACCCCATGTGTTTTTAATTTTTCATAGCGGTGCCCGATCCACCAGAGAATGTTAAATGGAGAAATCCAACATCAAAAGGAATCTTCCTAACATGGGAGCCTCCCAAATATGATGGTGGTGCCCGCATTAAGGGTTATCTGGTAGAAAAATCCCAGCGTGGCACAGACAAGTGGGAGATATGTGGGGAGCCCGTTGTTGAAACAAAGTAAGTAAATTAACATCAGAAGGTATACCCTTTCAACTAACTGAGCCATTCTCACCACTTTAAATATTTGGATTTTTTTTTTTTTTTTTTACAAACAGAATGGAAGTGACAAAACTCAAGGAAGGAGAGTGGTATTCATATCGGGTTAAGGCTTTGAACAGAATAGGAGCTAGCAAGCCAAGTAAGCCAACAGATGATATCCAGGCCATTGATGCAAAAGGTAATTACTTCAATCACTGAATCACAATAGCTGCTTTATTTTTACCAGTCTCTGAAATACCATTTCTGTAACTATGTTTTTATTCTCTCCTAAATCAGAGGCTCCAGAAATTTTCTTAGATGTGAAGCTTCTTGCTGGACTTACCGTGAAAGCTGGAACTAAAATTGAGTTGCCAGCTAAAGTAACTGGAAAACCTGAGCCCCAGATTACTTGGACCAAGGCTGACAAAATTTTGAGACCTGATGACAGAATCACCATTGAAACCAAACCTAATCATTCTACAGTCACTATTACAGACAGCAAGAGGAGTGACAGTGGAACCTATATTATAGAAGCTGTAAATTCTAGTGGACGTGCTACTGCTGTTGTTGAAGTTAATGTTCTTGGTATGCATGTATTTTATGTTGTTTATAAAAATCATTGGTAATGTACTGAGGTATGCAAGCAGAAGATTGACACTTACATCTTGTCCTCTACAGATAAACCTGGCCCGCCAGCTGCATTTGATGTATCAGAAATCACAAATGAATCCTGCCTTCTGACATGGAATCCTCCACGAGATGATGGGGGTTCTAAAATTACCAACTATGTCCTTGAGAAAAGAGCTACAGACAGTGAAATATGGCACAAGTTGTCATCAACTATTAAGGATACAAATTTCAGAGCCACCAATTTAACTCCTCATAAAGAATATGTGTTCCGAGTCAGTGCTGAGAACATGTATGGTATTGGGGAGCCAGCACAGTGTAGCCCCATCATTGCAAAATATTCATTTGGTTAGTGAATTAAATTAATGTTAAATTTTTTCAATATTTTAACAGGAGAAAAAGAAACATGTGTATGATGGTTTTGGTTTTTGTTTTTTTAATTTATTCATTTATATAGATCCACCAGGCCCTCCAACAGGTCTCAAACCTACAGAGATCACTAAAGATTCAGTCACCTTAACATGGAATGAACCAGATGAAGATGGTGGCAGCCCCATAACTGGCTACTGGGTTGAAAGATATGATCCTGAGCAAGATAAATGGATAAAATGCAATAAAATGCCAGTAAAAGATACAACATTCAAGTAAGACTATACTCAGTTTACTCTGAAATAGGCCCCAGAGGCATAACAATGTAACACTAGCCCTTAAACAAGTTTTACATTGTCCTTACTCTTTTTTCCTTGCTTCCATAAGTTTAGATCCAACTAACGTCTGGTGGCATACTTTTTGATAATCAGTTTTAAAGAAGAATGGCTTTACAAAGAGACAATCATATTTTTAAAAAAAAAATGTTATACTTAATAATTTCTGTTCTATGTGATTATACATAAGACATTCTAAAATGGCAGACATAGCCATCTCAATTATCAATTTGCCAAAAGCCTGGGGTTTTTTCTCCCGATACAGGTATTAACTAACAACCATGGAACATGCAAAAATGCAAGACGGCTCTCAAAACACTGGTTTCTGTGTCATGGTGCACCATTCTGCTGTTGACAATATACCTGTTTTGTATGTTCACTGTTTCATAAAACATCACTAGCAGTAATTTGGGTATTTTCAGATTTTCCAAGTAAACTGTAGTATGAAGAGTAGAAAGAATAATGTTTTAGGCATGAGTTAATGTGTAGATTTCATTTAATCAAACTTAATTTTTATTTCCAGGGTTAAAGGTCTTACAAATAAGAAGAAATATAAGTTCCGTGTCTTGGCAGAGAATCTTGCAGGACCTGGAAAACCAAGCAAGGAAACAGAACCAATCTTAGTGAAAGACCCAATCGGTACAATAAACATATTTGTAATAGTTTAATTTAACAATAAAAAAATTCTTTGTTTTCAATCATATAATTAATACTGAATTCCTGTCTAGATCCACCATGGCCTCCTGGAAAGCCAACTGTGAAAGATGTTGGCAAGACATCGTTATTCCTGAACTGGACAAAGCCAGAACATGATGGAGGGGCAAAGATCGAATCTTATGTCATTGAACTATTAAAGACTGGAACAGACGAGTGGGTGAGAGTAGCTGAAGGAGTTCCCACAACTGAACACTTCCTCAAAGGGCTTATGGAGAAACAAGAATACTCATTCCGTGTAAGAGCTGTGAACAAGGCTGGCGAGAGTGAGCCCAGTGAACCCAGTGATCCTGTGCTGTGCAAGGAGAGGCTTTGTGAGTATTGTTTCAGAATATGCTTCTACTGCAAATACAGTGTCTCTGTCTTTAAAAAAGCCGCATATCTGCCTGTGTCTGTAGGTACCAAGTGAACACTTGGAAGGCTTATGAAATATTAGAATCTGCCCTGCTTCAGCCAAGAAAATACAAAGTTTTAACAGTTTTGGTGTATTCTCTGTCTTCCAAGATCTTCGATGGGAATACACTAACCTGTTTTACTTTCATTTTCTATTTTACAGATCCTCCTTCACCACCTCGGTGGCTTGAGGTTATTAATATTACTAAAAACACAGCAGACCTTAAATGGACAGTACCAGAAAAAGATGGTGGTTCCCCAATTACCAACTATATTGTTGAAAAGAGAGATGTAAGGCGAAAAGGCTGGCAGACAGTTGATACAACAGTGAAAGATACCAAGTACACAGTGAGCCCACTGACTGAAGGGTCATTGTATGTGTTCCGCGTGGCTGCAGAAAATGCCATTGGACAGAGTGACTATTGTGAAATTGAAGATTCAGTGCTTGCCAAAGATACTTTCAGTAAGTTTTGCTTACTGTATGATCAGTAGAAACAGCTCACATGTAATGGATTCCTAATCTTCTAATACGTGTATTTTTTTCTTTAGCAACCCCTGGGCCTCCATATGCTCTTACGATAGTTGAAGTGACAAAAGGTCATGTTGATTTGAAATGGGAACCACCTAAAAATGATGGTGGCAGACCAATTCAAAGGTAAACTAATTTTGTGTAGTGTTTCCTGTAGATGAAGATCTTTTCATGAATGAAGACATTTCTCTCAAAATGTTTAAATTTTAAATGGACATGTTTTATACAAAAAAGAGGTGGATGGATGTAAAAGAGAAGCCATGTGGCCAAAGCAAATAAAGGTTTAATTTTAAAATATGGAAATTGTACAAATATAGATAACCTAACGTGCATGAACAATGAATGTGTGTCAACATCCTCAAAACAGCATCTAATGAAATCAGATTAAATTGAACTGTATATATAAAAAAAAAAAAATTAATGCAACCATAGTCTCCAGTTCCTCCAGAGCTGTAGCCACTTAGACTCATCTGCCAAGTAATACTGTTACATTTTCCTTCTGTCTTAGTTTCTTGTTCAAACTGTGTACACTCAGCTAAGGTGAAGCCTCATCTCTTTTCTGTTCTCTTCTTTATCACACTTTTCAAACAGACTGTTTTAATCCTTTGAGTTGCTTCTAGCTAGTCCTTTTCTTTGGTTTCTAAAGCATCTTCTTTAGTTTCTAAAGTATCTGTCCTCTGAAATTTACCTTGAATGCCAGTTAGATTTTTCCTCTTTATATTTTCACTCTTCCTCTCCTTCCCAATCACAGTAAGTGTATCTTAAACAAGCTGACTACTACAGAGATCCGCCTGAAGTTACATGTCACTTAATTCACTTTATCATAGCCTGTCATAGGCAAAATTCTGACAGCTGAGTAAACCCACAGATAATGCCTACAAATATTCTCAGTGGACTAACCACTGAGATCAAAACTAGCAAAGATACAAGTATAGTCCAGAGGTTCTTTTACCTCTGCAGCTCTCTCAAACCTGAGAACACAGCAAAAGTACAGGAATTGACTTTCAGAATTGGGTCTGTCAGTAATGCCAACCCCATTACGCCCAAGACCTACAAGGACTTAAAGAACTAAATGGCTGATGCGTGAAGTTCATTGAATCTGTCACCCACGACTCCCTCTACTTTTCCATTGGCCAAACTATTCTAATCTCTATGTATTGTATTGAGTAAGAAGTCTGAAGTGTTCATATTTCAAGTGCCTGATAGTATTTCCCCAATTTATTCAGATATGTTATTGAAAAGAAAGAAAAACTAGCCACTCGCTGGGTAAAAGCTGGCAAGACAGCTGGTCCAGACTGCAATTTCAGAGTGACTGATGTCATTGAAGGTACAGATGTACAGTTCCAGGTTCGTGCAGAAAATGAAGCTGGCTGTGGTCATCCCAGTGAACCAACAGACCTCATTCATATTGAGGATCCAACAAGTAAGTAGTAGTATAATATACAGCATATGGGTAATGGAAGCAGTGTACTGTGTAGAACAGATATTCTGAGAGAAAAATGACACAATTCTTTTCCATTTCTGCAGGCCCTCCTTCACCTCCTCAGGATTTACATGTCACAGATGCAGGTCGAAAGCACATTTGCATTGCATGGAAACCTCCTGAGAAGAACGGTGGAAGCCCTATTATTGGGTATAATGTTGAGATGTGTGAAGCAGGAACAGAAAAATGGATGAGAATCAATTCTCGTCCAATAAAAGACCTAAAATGTAAAGTGGAGGAAGGTGTTGTTCCAGACAAGGAATATGTGCTGAGAGTCAGAGCTGTCAATGCTGTTGGAGCTAGTGAGCCATCAGACATCTCAGAAAAAGTTGTTGCCAAGGACCCAGACTGTAAGAATAGATTCCTTTTTTTTTCAGATCTGCATAACTGAAAAAAGAATGGTGTTTGGCAACTTTCTAGTAATATTTTACTTACTTTTACAGGTAATCCAACCATTGATCTAAAAACTCGTGACATTGTTGTTGTTAAAGGACAGAAATTAAGTATCCCTATACCCTTCAGAGCTGTTCCATCCCCAACTATAACATGGCACAAAGATGGCAAAGAGTTGAAAGCTGGTGACAGAACAACAATGAAGAGTGACTACACCTCTGCATTGCTCGAAGTCATAGACAGTGTTCATGCTGATGCTGGTGTTTATACTATCACATTGGAGAACAAGCTGGCATCAACAACTGGCTCAGTCAACGTCAAAGTCATAGGTAACTAGGCTTCTTCCATTCTGAGAAAGATATTTATCCTCACTTGAGCCCTGCAGCTGACAGAAGAAAGGACTAGAAAAGTCCTCTGTCTGCCATGTGGAGGAATCACTTCCATTCAGACACATGTAGATTGCCATAAAGGCACTAATGTTACAAAACCCCACAAAAAACCCACTTTACCCCAAGTTGGTCTAACTAATCAGTGGCGGCTCAAAGCCCAATTATTATGAATAGTCATCACATAAATAGAAAAAGCCTATAAGAATTCTGAATATTTTTCACCTTTAGGAACATAAACTTATATATATGCTGTGTAGCCAACATTTGTAGGTTTGGTCTTCTTTCTGCAAAGCAAAGAAATGCAATATAATTTCCTATTTGTAGGAATATAGTTTCCCATCTATTTAGTTAACTAATTTTATTATTCTCATTTAAAACAGGTCCACCTGGACAGTGTAAAGACATTAAGGCAAGCGAAATAACTAAGAATTCTTGCAAAGTATCCTGGGAACCTCCAGACTTTGATGGTGGTACTCCTATTCTGCATTATGTTCTGGAACGCAGAGAAGCTGGTCGTAGAACATATATCCCAGTCATGTCTGGTGAAAATAAGCTTTCATGGCAAGTCAAAGATCTTATCCCAAACAGTGAATATTACTTCCGTGTTAAAGCTGTCAATAAGATTGGAGGAGGTGAATATCTTGAACTAAGAAACCCAATCATTGCAGAAGACCCAAAACGTAAGGTTTTTTTACTACAAAATAATCTAGCAAATTGAATTTTAACTAAAATCTTCATACTTTTTTTTCTCATATGATCCCTCTTTTGCTACTCTTCCACAGAGCCTCCAGATCCTCCTGTTGACCTTGAGGTCCATAATCCAACATCAAAATCAGTAACACTTACATGGAAACCACCCCTGTTTGATGGTGGAAGCAAGATTATGGGTTATATCATAGAAAAGCTTGCTAAGGGCAAGGAGAGGTGGGAGAGATGCAATGACTATCTGGTACCTCTATTAACATATCCGGTGAAAGGTCTTGAGGCAGGAAAGGAGTATCAATTCCGTGTTCGTGCTGAAAACGCTGCTGGCATCAGTGAGCCTTCTCGGATTACTCCTTTTGTGAAAGCTGTGGATCCTACTGGTATGAATTGCTCATTTGATTGTTTGTAGTAATTACCATGCATCCTCAAACATATATTGAAAGACTCTACTCTCCATTTATCATTGTGTTATTACAGAGGCTCCAAAAGTCTTCCTTGCTGCAAACCTACAGTCTGGCCTTGAGGTGAAGAGAGGTGATGAGATCATACTTGAAGCACATATTTCAGGGTCACCTTATCCATCTATCACTTGGCTGAGGAATGATGAAGTTGTCAGACCAGAGGAAATCAAAAAGAGAGTAACAACATATACAAGGAAGAAGAAGGGTGAAGCTGAAGAAGAGGAACCTTTCCAGCTTTCACTACCAGAACGTACGAGTATTGACAACCATAAAGAAGGAGAGTCTGTACTATCAGTTCGTGATTCCATCAGAGCTGACCATGGCACGTTTACAATTAAAGTGGAAAATGATCATGGTGTTGCAAAAGCCTCATGTGAAGTCAATGTGTTAGGTATGTAATTAATGGCCTCAAAACCACCCAGCTGTTCAGAGTATTGTGTAAGAAGTGCACAAGATGAGTCCTCATCATTTTTCTTGCTTTACTAACAGATACACCTGGGCCTCCAGTCAACTTTGTATTTGAAGATGTGAGGAAAAATTCTGTCATTTGTAAGTGGGAGCCTCCCCTTGATGATGGTGGAAGTGAAATCCTAAACTATGTACTGGAAAAGAAAGACAATACAAAAGCTGAAATGGGCTGGGTCACTGTCAGCTCAACACTCAGGCACTGCAAATTCCATGTAACAAAACTGATTGAAGGAAAAGAATATCTCTTCCGTGTATTTGCTGAAAATAGAGTTGGAGCAGGACCACCATGTGTTTCAAAACCAATGACAGCCAAAGATCCTTTCTGTAAGTTCTAATTTTGAAATACAACTTTTTCTGAAGAACACTGTAAACCACTCAGATTCTTAGAACACTCAGCTTCATCTATTTGAATGTTTCCCAGAAGAAATTTGAGCAACGTAATTATTATTTATTGTACATTTTAAACCATTGAAATAAAGGGAAATATTGAAAATGTTCTAATTTCAATAGTAAAGAAATAAGAATGACAATTACTGTCATAAAACTTTACACTTAAAACACCTAACATCTGAATAGTGACATTCTCTGTGTTCAGTAGACTGATATTCTTGCCAAAAGAGAAAACCAGTGCAAGTTTGATTACTGCTTGCAGTTAGGAATCAAAGTTTCTAAGAAAGAGAGTAAGAGTACAATGAATGACTTAAAATTAGTCATTTTTCATATCTGAGTTCCCTCTTAGCTTTGAGTAAGCTCTGAAGAAAACAGCAATTATGACAAAATTACAATTCTTTTTTTCAGCTCCACCAGATCCACCTAATAAGCCTGATGTGCAAGATGTTACCAGCAACAGTATGTTGGTTAAATGGAATGAACCGAAAGACAATGGCAGCCCAATCATAGGATATTGGATTGAAAAACGTGAAATTAATAGTACTCATTGGGCTCGGGTCAACAGGAACCTTGTGAATGCTCTGGAAATAAAAGTTGAAGGACTGTTGGAAGGATTAACTTACATCTTTAGAGTATGTGCTGAAAATGCAGCTGGCCCTGGTAAATTTAGTCCGCCATCAGATCCAAAAACTGCACAAGACCCGATAAGTAAGTAGCTTAGCAGAAGCCAACAGCAGATGAGTGACAGAATAAAATTCATAGCCTTTAACTTTGATTTATACCTATTTTTTTATAGTGCCACCTGGTCCACCAATTCCAAGAGTTGCTGATACAAGCTCAACTTCTATTGAATTAGAATGGGAACCTCCTGCATATAATGGTGGTGGAGATATCACTGGTTACCATGTATACAAACAACTGGTGGGAGTAAAAGAGTGGTCACGTTGCACAGAGAAACCCATTAAAGTTCGACAGTATACTGTTAAAGAAGTTAGAGAAGGTGCAGACTATAAACTCCGTGTTACTGCACTTAATGCGGCTGGTGAAGGACCACCTGGTGAAACTGAACCCGTAACGGTTGCTGAACCTAAAGGTGTTGAAATTGTATTATTTTCAAGAAATGTCCAGCTGCCTAGAAGGTGGTTTTGAATCTCTCCTTGAACTAATGAACTGTTTCCCTCTCTTCTGCAGAGCCTCCCACTGTTGAGCTGGATATTTCTGTCAAAGCAGGCATTCAGATCATGGCTGGGCAAACTATTAGAATTCCTGCTACTGTGACAGGGCGTCCTACTCCCACCATTGCATGGACCGTGGAGGAGGGGGAATTAGACAAAGATCGAGTTGTTATTGAAAATGTTGGCACAAAATCTGAGTTAACCATTAAGAATGCATTGAGAAAAGACCATGGAAGATATGTAATTACTGCTACCAATAGCAGTGGTTCCAAATCTGCAGGAACCAGAGTAGAAGTATTTGGTAAGAGAAATATTTTCTGAAATCAACTGAGCATTTCTTTTGGTGAGATAATCTTTGGGCTTTGTCCTACTTGTTTGATTTTATTTTTCAGATGTTCCTGGGCCAGTCCTTGACCTAAAGCCAGTGGTCACAAACAGAAAGATGTGTTTGCTTAACTGGTCTGATCCTGAAGATGACGGTGGCAGTGATATCATAGGCTTCATTGTCGAACGGAAGGATGCCAAAATGCATACATGGAGACTAGCTATAGATACAGAGAGATCTAAATGCGATATTACAGGTCTAGTTGAAGGGCAGGAATACAAATTCCGTGTTAGCGCCAAGAACAAGTTTGGTACTGGCCCACCGGTTGAAATAGGACCCATTCTTGCAGTTGATCCATTAGGTAAGATGACTAATTTTATGGGGTTTTTTTAAACAATTTTTAATTATAGGTTAATAAACCAGTACTGTTATGTGGATTGCCTTCCATACAGAAAGTGTATTTACTTTTCTACCACCTGGATAAGGCATCTGCCTTAGATTAATTACTTCAGTCGGATCTCTGAATCAGTTCTGTAAAAGTATTATGGTTCTTTATGTAACAAATACTGATGTCTACTGAGACACTACTCGTTACCTTTATATCCACATACATGAGAAGCTTTGTACTATCCATAACCATACTCATATATGTTGCACACAAAAGCTATGACTTTAAAAAGCCAGAGCTACTGTAGTCATATGATTAAAAATTCTCTAATTTTTAATGTTTTTTTCATTATGTTTTTTCTGTATTAATAGGTCCCCCAACAGCGCCTGAGAGGTTCATGTACACAGAGAGGACAAAGTCAACCATTACACTTGACTGGAAGCCTCCACGTAGTGATGGTGGCAGTCCTGTCTTAGGATATATTGTTGAGAAGAGGAGACATGATTCAAAAGACTATGAAAGAGTTAATGCAAGGCTCTGTCCAAAAACATCTCTTCTTGTTGAAAACCTTGATGAACTTCATATGTATGAATTCCGTGTCAAAGCTGTCAATGCTATTGGAGAAAGTGAACCATCACTGCCCCTCAATGTCGTTATACAAGATGATGAAGGTATATCTGCTTTAAAGAAATCCATACAAATATCTCCAGAACACTGCAAGGCCATTTCTCTGTTTCATCTCCATCTTCACCCTGACATTTTTCTTCTTGTTTTCAGTACCTCCAACTGTTACATTACGCCTGGCTGTGAGAGGAGATACTATCAAAGTGAAGGCAAAAAAAGAATGAAGTTTTAATTGACCAAACATCCAGTGCACTTAAGATAACCAAGGAAGAAGTGTCTAGAAGTGAGGCAAAAACTGAACTTATCCTGCCTGCAGCACTGAGGGATGATAAAGGCACTTACACTGTGAGAGCTTCCAATCGTCTTGGCACTGCATTTCGCAATGTGCATGTTGAAGTGTATGGTAAGGATGCAACATTTTGTTAAAATGACAGCTAATAAAAAGCTTTTGCCTTTTTCTTAATGTAATTCTATGCTCTATTGCTTTTACACAGATCGTCCTTCTCCACCAAGAAATCTTGCTGTTTCTGATATTAAAGCGGAATCATGCTATTTAACGTGGGATGTGCCTCTTGATAATGGTGGTAGTGAAATTACCCATTACATTATTGAGAAACGTGATGCTAGTAGGAAGAAATCTGAGTGGGAAGAAGTCTCCAAAAGCGCTGTTGAGAGAAGATTTGGGGTAATTTATAAAATACCTTTATTACATACTTTAGTATGCATAAAAAATAACAATAGTACACATGTAATGAAAACTGCTACTTGCATAGATACCTCCATTTAGACTTGTTCTTGTGCTCTATTTAGACTCCAGAATTACTGGATGAATGTTGCCCATGTATGTATGTGTGTTTTCCTCATGTGACAATACAAAAGAAATCATTCTTTTTTGCTACTTAATCTCAGCTGAGAGATCTAACTGCAAAAACAAACATGATGGCATTTTATTTATGTTTGGTCCTATGCACATGAAATAGGAATATGCATAGGGCATTACATACAGCTGTGTAGTACATAAACATAGGTATCTTAAAGACATTCCAAGACAGAATTTAAAACTAAAACTGCTGCATAACTTCAAATAAGTTTATTCTGAAAGCAGCCAAGTATTCATTTAAATATTTTTTTTTCAGGTATGGAATCTTGCAACAAATGAAAAATATCAATTTAGAGTCCGGGCTGTAAACAAATATGGAATAAGTGATGAATGCCTCTCAGAAAAAGTTGTTATTAAGGATCCCTATGGCCTTCCTGGACCTCCTGGAAAGCCAAAAATTTTAGATCGCACCAGATCATCAATGCTGGTGACTTGGGAGCCTCCTCTGAGCAATGGTGGCAGCCCAATAACTGGCTATTGGTTGGAGAAGAGAGAGGTAGGAGGTGTCTACTGGTCACGTGTGAACAGGGCTCCAGTAACAAAACCGTCAGTAAAAGGTCTAGAATACAACGTGCTTCGTTTGGCTGAAGGTGTTGAATACCAGTTCAGAGTTATGGCAGAAAATCTTGCTGGAATTGGCCCTCCCAGTGAACCATCAGATCCTGCCTTAGCAGCAGATCCCATATGTAAGTATATAATTTGTATGGCTCTTTTTAATTACTATACTGCACCAGAACAGAAATGTGCTATTATTTATATTGAATTTAGTGCAATTAATCCAATCCTTTGTTTTCATGAAGTCAAAAAGAAAGTGTTGACACAAATTAGTTTCCTGATTTGCTGTTTTTCACCATTTTAAAAATAATTATCTTTAATTTGATTTTTTTACCTCTTTTATGAACTTTAAGCTGTGATTACACCAATGAAAATATTGCCAAATAAACTTGAGTTCAGAATTAGATTTTTATATTATTGTTTCTCTGTATTGTTAAAGAGTTCAATCTTTATGCCTTGTACCTTAAGTATCCTTTAATAATATATGTAATATATATATGCAATTAGTATGCATGTTCTAGGATCATACACACTGTGTATGACAGAAGAAAATGAAAATATTGGCATTCTTCTAGAAACTACTCAGAAAAATATAGGCAGACACTAACTCTCAGGTAATTTTTACTTGCTCTTGTTTTAAAAGTTGTACCTGGTCCACCATCTTGCCCAGAGGTCAAAGACAAAACCAAATCATCAGTAGCTCTTGCATGGAAGCCTCCACAAAAGGATGGTGGCAGTCCTATCAAAGGATATATTGTTGAAATGCAAGACGAAGGTAGTACTGACTGGAAGAAGGTGAATGAAGGAGACAAACTCTTTCCAACTTGTGAATGTGTTATTCCCAACTTGAAAGAGCTCAGAAAATACCGATTTAGGGTGAAAGCTGTAAATGCTGCTGGAGAATCAGAACCAAGTCCTGCAACATCAGAAATACCTATCCAGGATATTCTTGGTAAGTGTTCTGGTAATTAATTTAGGTACTTATATCTAAATGCCCTACTGCTGTGAAAGTTCTAGCGCAATGCCAAGCAAGCCAAACTCAAAACAGAACAAACAATTATGCAAAAATATAACAGAAGATTGACACACATTTTTGAAAGTGTCATGGTGACCATTACTAGGGCAGGATCCCTGGTAATTAGAAAACTGCTGAGCACCTACAGTCATACTAAGGAAATAATGTGTATTTTATGAAGAAATGACTACCACAAATTTTTCTATTCGTATACTTCCCAGCTCCCTTTTTGCACACCCAAACTTTCTCACATGAACATGCATTCTGCATGTTTGTGTGGGGTTTTAGCTCACTGCTGACAGAAATTTACTTTCAGTAGCTCTTAAAATGTATATCTTAAAATATTTTCACAGAGGAACCAGAAATCTTCCTTGATATTGGAGCACAGGATTTCCTCTCTTGTCGTGCTGGCACAACAATTAAAATCCCAGCTGTTATCAAAGGTCGTCCAGTTCCAAAAACATTCTGGGAGTTTGAAGGAAAAGCAAAGACAACAGCAAAGGTTAGTAAAAGAAAAGCTTTTTTCTACATGTGTTTCTAGACACTTAAGCTTATCACCTTTTAAATTTACATTATTTCCCTTTGTTTTTAGGAGGGAGGTCATAATGTACCCGAAGAAGCTCAGGTAAAGCAAACAATCTTTGTAACTTTAGTATTGTTGCATTTTTCAAACATAAATATTTTAAGTTGATCTATACCTTCTCTTTCTTTTATAATACACAGGTGGAAGCAACTGATACACGTTCAGTGATTACCATCCCTGAGTGCAACAGAAGTCATTCTGGACGATACAGTATTACAGCAAAGAACAAAGCAGGACAAAAAACCGTGCATGTCAGAGTCAATGTGCTTGGTATGGCTTACACATATGGAAGTATTCAAATACTAGATTTTAGTCTTATTTTTCTACTTACTAATGTAAAATTCTTTCTGTTGTGCTTTTACCTTAACAGATGTCCCAGGTCCACCAAAAGACCTAAAAGTAAGTGATATCACAAGAGGCAGTTGTAAACTTTCATGGAAGATGCCAGACGATGATGGTGGAGATAGAATCAGAGGCTATGTTATAGAGAAAAGAACTATTGATGGGAAGGCCTGGACTAAAGTCAATGCAAACTGTGGAAGTACTTCCTTTGTTGTACCTGATCTCATATCTGGGCAAGAATATTTCTTCCGTGTACGTGCAGAAAACCGTTTCGGTGTTGGGCCTCCTGCAGAAACCATCCAACGGACCACAGCCAGGGATCCAATCCGTAAGTGAAATCAAAGTCAAACAAATTCTTTAAACCATATGATACTGTATAGTGCATTTATTCACATTTCTGTTTTGTTTGTGAAGATCCTCCTGATCCACCTATTAAACTAAAGATTGGCCTTGTAACCAAGAACACAGTGAGCTTGACATGGAAACCACCAAAGAATGACGGTGGCGCTCCTGTTACACATTATAATGTTGAATGCCTCCGCTGGGATCGCACTGGAGAAGTGAAAGAGACTTGGAAGCAATGCAACAGACGTGACGTGGAGGAAACAAAGTTTACTGTTGAGGATCTTGTAGAAGGTGGAGAATATGAATTCAGAGTCAAAGCTGTAAATATAGCAGGTCCTAGTAGGCCTTCAGCCACTGTTGGCCCACTTGTTGTCAAAGACCAGACATGTAAGTACTAACTGATATCAGTAGATATAGATTCCATTTTAAAACTGTGAAAGCCCTGCAGAGAGGGACTTGGGGGCGCTGGTGGATGAAAAGCTGGACATGAGCCGGCAATGTGCGCTGGCAGCCCAGAAGGCCAACCGTACTCTGGGCTGCATCAGGAGAAGCGTGGCCAGCAGGTCGAGCAAGGTGATTCTGCCCCTCTACTCTGTTCTGGTGTGGCCTCACCTGGAGTACTGCGTCCAGCTCTGGAGCCCTCAGCACAAGAAGGACATGGAACTTGGGGGCGCTGGTGGATGAAAAGCTGGACATGAGCCGGCAATGTGCGCTGGCAGCCCAGAAGGCCAACCGTACTCTGGGCTGCATCAGGAGAAGCGTGGCCAGCAGGTCGAGCAAGGTGATTCTGCCCCTCTACTCTGCTCTGGTGAGACCTCACCTAGAGTACTGCATCCAGCTCGGGAGACCTCAGCACAAGAAGGACATGGAACTGTTGGAGCGGGTCCAGAGGAGGGCCACAAAAATGATCCAAGGGCTGAGGCACCTCTCCTATGAGGCCAGGCTGGGAGAGTTGGGCTTGTTCAGCCTGGAGAAGAGAAGGCTGCAGGGAGACCTGTTTGTGGCCTTTCAGTACCTAAAGGGGGCGTATAGGAAAGATGGGGAAAATCTTTTTAGTAGGGCCAGCTGTGTCAGGACAAGGGGTAATGGTTTTAAACTGAAGCAGGGTAGGTTTAGACTAGATTTAAGGAAGAAATTCTTTACAATGAGGGTGGTGAAACACTGGAACAGGTTGCCCAGAGAGGTAGTGGAGGCCCCATCCCTGGAAACATTCAAGGCCAGGTTGGATGGGGCTCTGAGCAGCCTGATCTAGTTAGTGGTGTCCGTGCTCCTGCGGGGGGATTGGACTAGATGAGCTCTAGGGGTCCCTTCCAACCCAAAACATTCTATGATTCTAAATATTTTTGTATGTTATTTTTTTCAACATTTCATTGTAGGCCCACCATCTATTGAACTCAGAGAATTTATGGAGGTTGAAGAAGGAACAGATGTTAACATTGTGGCCAAGATAAAGGGTGTACCCTTCCCCACATTAACATGGCTAAAAGCTTCTCCAAAGAAACCAGATGACAAAACACCAGTGCTGTATGATCAACATGTCAACAAGATCATTGATGAAGATACTTGCACTTTATTGATTCAACAGTCGCGCAGAAATGATACAGGCTTATATACTATAACGGCTGTAAATAATCTGGGAACTGCTTCAAAAGAGATGAGACTAAATGTTCTGGGTAAATATCAAGAACTCTTATACATTGTATAAATATATAACATTTATGGGATACTTTATTTTAATAACATTTGAATTAATTCTTTATAAAAATGTATCTTTTAGGTCGTCCGGGACCTCCAGTGGGACCTATTAAATTTGAATCCATTTTGGCTGATAAAATGACAATATCATGGCTTCCTCCATTAGATGATGGTGGTTCTAAGATTACAAACTATGTTATAGAGAAAAAAGAAGCAAATAGGAGGACTTGGGTACCCGTTACTAATGAGCCTAAAGAATGCTTATTCACTGTTCCCAAGTTGATGGAAGGCCATGAATATGTGTTCCGCATTATGGCACAAAACAAGTATGGCATTGGAGAACCATTGGACAGTGAACCAGAAACAGCACGAAACCTTTTCAGTAAGTAGGAATACGCTTTTAAATTATGTCAGTTGTTTTCATATGCTAGTATGTGTACAGCATCTGTTAAATACCACCACTACTTTTCTCCACAAGAGAAAATTTTCTTGAATAGCTTGAAGAGTTTAGCATTATTCATTAGTTCTTAAAAACATGTGTAGTACTTAAAAATACTTTTCTCCCTCCTTGTTATACGTTAAAATACAATCTCAAGCTTTTTTAAGGTTTAAATATACAAATAAGGGTTTAGCTGATAAGATTCAGGTCATTCTGTTGTATCTGAGACATTATTGACCTTACTGATCAGGAAAAGTCAATTTCTTGCCTTCAGTTTTGAAAGAGAAATTAAGCAGAGTAGGTCTGATGTAGAAGGAATGTTAGGCTGGCAAGAGAAAATCATTCTTAAAACATCCAAGGTTAGGCTGTGCACTGACATGAGTTACTGATCCAGGAAGGAGAGAAAAACTGTTTTTTGACAATTGTTATTTGAAGGAAAGATAATTTATGTTTCACAGAAATATATGTACCTGAATAGGGATGGGAAGGTGAATGAGGGAAGGAGTCTCGTGCAGATGGGTAACTACTTAATGCAACTGTGACCGTGCGAGTGCATAGCTCTGTTTTGCACGTTAGCTATCTCCATCTTCCTTTAGTATTTCTTTTTACAAGCTATGCATGGATTTTTTTCCCCAGCTGTTCCTGGACCTTGTGAGAAGCCAACAGTTAGCAGTATAACACGTGACTCAATGACTGTAAACTGGGAAGAACCAGAACATGATGGTGGCTCTCCTATTACTGGTTACTGGTTGGAGCGCAAAGAGACTACGGGAAAAAGATGGACCAGGGTTAACCGTGATCCTATCAAACCTATGACACTGGGGGTTTCATACAAAGTTACAGGTCTTATTGAAGGCTCTGAATATCAGTTCCGTGTTTCAGCTATCAATGCAGCTGGTGTTGGTCCACCAAGCATGCCATCTGATCCAGCAATTGCTAGAGATCCTATTGGTAAATATTTTAGGTTCCTATTTTTGAATTTGGAAATATTCAAATAAGAACATAGAATATATTGTTATACTGTAATGGTACCATGATATTTTTCAGCCCCACCTGGCCCTCCTATTCCAAAAGTTACTGATTGGACAAAGTCTTCTGTAGACTTGGAGTGGACTCCGCCACTAAAGGATGGTGGTTCTAGGGTCACTGGCTACATTGTTGAGTATAAAGAGGAAGGAAAGGAAGAATGGGAACGGGTAGGTGGAACATTATTATAGTATCTGCATTTCTTCTCTCTGTGTGTCTATCAAAAGAAATCCCTTCAGAAAATACATTTTTTAGAAATTTTCACTATGCCAGTTATTTTCTTAAAGTTCATATTTTTGCACTATAATAATCTTTATATGTTTAAAATATAAGACCAAATGTAAAAGTCAGTAATTTCCTCTCCGCAAAATCAAGCTAACTTTGCAGTTTCCTAAACTTAGAATTTTTAAATTTCTATTTAAAGAAATGAGAAAATACAGACCTAATTTGTGATAAAAGAACAGAAGAAAAGACCAAGTTAGAACTGGCACAAAAGTAAGTCTCACTGGTATCAGACTGTGCCAAATCATTTGTAACTACTATGTCCCTACATTTTCCTATTTTTTTCAGTAATGCATTCCTATTTTTTTTTTCAAATAGTGCATTACCGATAATTTAACTGATGCATACCTTGGCTATTTTTTTGTATCTTCATAAAAATTTGGGTGCATTTTAGGAAATACCTGAATTTCCTGCACTGTTTCCAGATAAACAGGCTTCATATTGGGGTTTAAAAGAACTTTCACTTATACGAGTTTATTTGTCCAATGTAATTCTTCTGACACTACAGACTATTGTAATTGCTGTAACATCCTTGTCTGTTAGAATTATCAGAAAGGTGAATCTTCAGAATAGCTTGTATGTCCATGTCCTGTATTTCTTTACATAGATTCTGAAGAATTCTATGTGAGCTAGAGCCATGTATGCTTAAACCTGTCTTGTTCTTGTAAATCTGAAACAACATCTGATTTAAGATTTGTTTCAAACATCAGAAAGAAACTGATGATACCTTGATGTTAGCTGATGTTATAACATTTTTTTCCAGGTGAAAGACAGAGAAATTAGAGGAACCAAGTTCGTTGTGGCAGGATTAAAAGAAGGATGTTTTTACAAATTTAGAGTTAGAGCAGTGAACGCTGCTGGCATCGGAGAGCCTGGAGAAGTTACAGACATTATTGAAATGAAGGACAGAATTGGTATTTATCATTTACATTTACATTTTTAGTACCTCTAAGTCAAAGTGAGAAAAAAAAATTAATTCAATTTTTTTTGTTCACATCCCACAGTGGCTCCTGATATTAATTTGGATGCAAGCGTCAGGGACAGAATTGTTGTTCATGCTGGAGGAGTAATTCGAATCATAGCATATGTTTCAGGAAAACCAGCTCCAACAGTGACTTGGAGCAGGGATGACCGAGCCTTACCAGAAGAAGCCAAAATTGAAGAAACAGCTATTAGTTCTTCTTTGGTCATCAAGAATTGCAAAAGGAGCCATCAGGGTGTATACACCCTTCTTGCTAAAAATGCCGGTGGTGAGCGGAAGAAGACTATTATTGTTGATGTGCTAGGTAAATAGCAACTTCAGTCCTTATGAACAAGTAAAATTTCATAACATTCAGCATGTATACATAAATACTCCATTTCTTCTTTGCTTTCAGATGTGCCAGGCCCAGTTGGAATGCCATTCCTTACTGAGAACCTAACCAATGACTCTTGTAAATTGACATGGTTTACTCCAGAAGACGATGGTGGTTCTCCTATTACCAACTATATAATAGAAAAACGTGAATCTGACCATAGAGCTTGGACTCCAGTAAGCTGCACAGTTACAAGACAGAATGCTACTGTTCAGGGACTCATTGAAGGGAAAGCCTACTTTTTCCGAATTGCAGCTGAGAATATAATTGGCATGGGTCCATTCACAGAGACAACAAAAGAGATTGTCATTAGAGATCCAATAAGTAAGTATATTTTTGGGTTCGGATTACCATCATATGGGATGAATATGCAGAAAAATGCATTTACCATCTTTTTTTGTTTATTCACAGCTGTTCCTGACCGTCCAGAAGACCTGGAAGTAAAAGCAGTTACCAAGAACTCTGTTACATTAACTTGGAACCCGCCAAAATATAACGGAGGCTCAGATATCACCATGTATGTTCTAGAGAGCCGTCTCATTGGAAAAGAGAAATTCCACAAAGTTACAAAGGAGAAAATGCTTGACAGGAAATACACTGTAGAAGGCTTGAAAGAGGGTGACACTTATGAATATCGTGTGAGTGCTTGCAATATTGTGGGGCAAGGCAAGCCATCATTTTGCACAAAACCAATCACATGCAAGGATGAAATTGGTATGCATCTTTTTCATATTACTTTTTAAAACAGTCATTAAGTTTACTGATTCCTTATGTTTTCTTACTAATATTTCTGACACTTGTGGGCATTGTGTTTTTCAATATTGTCTTTCAGCTCCTCCAACACTTGACCTTGACTTTAGAGATAAGCTTATTGTTCGGGTTGGTGAAGCTTTCAGCCTGACTGGACGTTACTCAGGCAAGCCTGCACCAAAGGTTACTTGGCTAAAGGATGATATTGTTGTGAAAGAAGATGACCGTACAAAGATCAAGACAACTCCTACAACTCTTTGCTTGGGGATACTAAAATCTGTCCGTGAAGACTCAGGCAAATACTGTGTTACTGTAGAGAACAGCACAGGATCGAGAAAAGGATTTTGCCAAGTTAATGTTGTTGGTAGGTTTTATTGAACAACAGTATTGTATGTTATTTTTAGTAGTGATTGGAATTCATTGAATTATATAAAATGTAAATATGAAAATATGTTCTTTATTACAATAATTTGATTTACTTTATTCTCATTTATACTGAAATACTACTTATTAATTTTGAGTACATAGTTAACTCTGGCTTAGTTTACTCAGCATGAATAATTTAATGTCTCTACATCCATTCAGAGAGCATCAACACTGTAGAAAATGTCAGTCACCAAATACCTTATAAACATTAAGAAATTAAAAGTCCAGTGAGTCAAACTTATTAAAGAGGAATACTCTTGAGGTCTAGATTTCTTATTAAAACTGTGATGCCAAGTTTATAATTTCTTAAAATATTTATTGTATTGACAGTGTTTGATCTATGCCATTATGTGAAGTTCATATAAAAGCATGTGTATGCTTTATTTTTCTTAAACAGATCGCCCGTCACCTCCAGTAGGCCCAGTTATATTTGATGAAGTTCATAAAGATCATATGGTAGTTTCCTGGAAACCTCCATTAGATGATGGAGGCAGTGAAATTACAAACTACATTATTGAGAAGAAGGATGCACACAGAGACCTGTGGATGCCAGTTACATCTGCCACAGTTAAGACAACATGCAAAATTCCTAAGTTGCTTGAAGGAAGAGAATATCAAATTCGAATTTATGCTGAAAATCTTTATGGCATAAGTGATCCTCTCATCTCTGATGAGATGAAAGCCAAGGACCGGTTCCGTATGTTATTAATTTGCTATCTTACTTTGATACTTCAATCTTTGTTCTGTTTGTAGTGCTCATTAACACTTTTATTTTTACCCAGGTGTTCCTGATGCACCTGAGCAACCAATCATTAAGGATGTCACCAAAGACTCTGCAGTAGTGGTTTGGAACAAACCATATGATGGAGGCAAGCCAATAACAAACTATATTGTAGAAAAGAAGGAAACAATGGCTACAAGATGGGTCAGAGTTACCAAAGAACCTATTTTCCCCAGTACTCAGTTCAAAGTACCTGACCTCCTTGAAGGCTGTCAATATGAATTCCGTGTTTCAGCAGAAAATGAAATTGGTGTTGGTGATCCTAGTCCACCATCAAAGCCAATTTTCGCTAGAGATCCAATCGGTAAAGTATTAAATATAATTTCTCATTGAAATTTTAATGCATTCTTCATTTCAGTTAGAAAATAATTTTGATATGTTCCTTTTTTTCCCATTTTTTTCTCTTTTTTTTTTCCTTTTTTAACAGCAAAACCAAGTCCACCTGTTAATCCAGAAGCAGTAGATAAAACTAAAAATTCAGTTGATTTATCTTGGCAACCACCACGCCATGATGGTAATGGCAAGATAATTGGCTACCTTGTTGAATATCAGAAAGTTGGAGATGAAGAATGGAAAAAGGCCAATCTTATGGCAGATTCTTGTCCTGAAACAAAATATAAAGTCACTGGCCTTACTGAGGGTTTGACCTATAAGTTCAGGGTCAAGGCAGTCAATGCAGCAGGTGAATCTGAACCAGCCTATGTTCCTGATCCAGTAGAAGTAAAGGACAGACTTGGTGAGTTTAATAAAATCAGAGAAGTTTACCTGAGAAAATATTTTTTTCCCTTAATTTCTAAAAACATATCATTTTGATTCCAGAACCTCCTGAGCTGATACTTGATGCTAATATGGCCCGAGAACAGCATGTAAAAGCTGGAGATACCTTGAGACTTAGTGCTGTTATTAAAGGTGTTCCATTCCCAAAAGTTTCTTGGAAGAAAGAAGATCGTGAGGTCTCACCCAAAGCTGATATTGAGGTTACAGGAGTTGGCAGTAAGCTTGAAATTCGTAACACTGTCCATGAAGACGGTGGAATTTACTCCCTGACAGTTGAAAATCCAGCTGGTTCAAAGACTGTTTCAGTCAAAGTTGTTGTCTTAGGTAATCTTTTTATGTTCCTTTTACATTGCATGGTTTTAGTCTATAATTAGAAATTAAGAAATAAAGGAATGTCTGGAAAATATCAATAAGCCTCGTTACAAGAAATACACAGTAGAAAAAGGACTAAAAAATATATGAAATATATTAATTTCTCTTGACACTTACTAAGTTTTGTAAAAATGCTTTGGTTATCAAATACATAACAGATTCAATTTTTCTTAATATTAGATAAGCCTGGTCCACCCAGAAACCTGCAGGTCAGTGAAGTTAGAAGCGATTCTTGCTATCTCACTTGGATGGAACCAGAAGATGATGGTGGTTCTGTCATTACCAACTACGTAGTGGAGAGGAAAGATGTAGCTTCTGCACAGTGGGTAGCCGTCTCATCATCCTCCAAGAAACGCAGTCACATGGCTAAATATCTGATGGAAGGCACTCAGTATGTCTTCCGAGTTGCAGCTGAGAATCAGTTTGGTAGAGGTCCATATGTGGAAACACTCAAGCCTATTAAAGCTATGGATCCACTGCGTAAGTGTTTTCCAGTTATACAATTTGTTTTGTTCATATTCTTGGTAATTTTTGAGATTATCTTGTTGGTACTAATGTGAACAACGGTACACTGCTACCATAGATTGGCCATCCTAGTAACCATTTTGGTTTTGTATTTTAAAAGATCCTCCAGGGCCACCGAAGAATCTGCATCATGTAGATGTTGACAAGACTGAAGTTTCCCTTGTTTGGAATCGACCAGATCGTGATGGTGGCGCTGAGATAACTGGATATTTGGTGGAATATCAAGAAGATGGTGCAGATGAGTGGACAAAGTTCCAGACGGTCCCTATGCTAGACTGTGTTGTTACAGGCCTACAAAAAGGAAAAATATACAAATTCCGTGTGAAAGCTCAGAATATTGTTGGTCTTAGCCTTCCAGACACAACTATACCAATAGAGTGTCAAGAAAAACTAGGTAATTTTTAGTTTTTCATCTTGTTGCACTAATTCTTTCTCCCTCTCTTTAAGCATTTTCTCTGAAAAGGTAATTTCTATTTTTCTCTAATTTCAGTACCCCCATCCGTGGAACTAGATGTGAAGTTAATTGAAGGTCTTGTTGTTAAAGCTGGCACCACAGTTAGACTTCCTGCGATTATGAGAGGTGTACCAGTTCCTACTGCAAAATGGGTTACTGATGGCACTGAAATTAAAACAGATGGCAGACACAAGATTGAGACTGACAATTATTCAACTGTACTTACCATCAAAGACTGTATAAGAAAAGATACAGGAGAATATCTACTGACAGTATCTAATGCAGCTGGCAGCAAAACTGTTGCTCTACATCTTACAGTTTTGGATGTCCCTGGCCCACCAACTGGTCCTATTAATATTCTTGAAGTAACACCAGAACATATGGTTATTTCTTGGCGCCCTCCTAAAGATGATGGTGGGAGTCCTATAATAAATTATATTGTTGAGAAGCGTCAATCAAAGAAAGAAACTTGGGGAGTGGTTAGCTCTGGAACAAGTCACACAAAAATTAAGATTCCACGACTGCAGAAAGGCTGTGAATATATTTTCCGTGTTCGTGCAGAAAATAAAATAGGCATTGGTGCACCCCTTGATTCAGAACCAACAGTTGCTAAACATATGTTTGATCCACCGTCCCCACCTGGTAAACCAACTGTTTATGATATTACAGAAAATGCTGCAACAGTGTCTTGGACCCTACCAAAATCTGATGGTGGAACTCCAATAACTGGTTATATACTTGAACGTCGGGAAGCATCTGGTAAATGGGTGCGTGTCAACAAGACACCAATACTTGATTTGAAATACAGAGTCACCGGTCTTTTTGAAGGCAACACATATGAATTCAGAGTTTTTGCAGAAAACATGGTGGGCTTAAGCAAACCATCTCCAAGCTCTGATCCAATAAAAGCATCACGTCCTATCACTCCTCCTGGACCACCTATAAATCCAAAATTAAAAGACAAAACCAAAGAAACAGCCGATCTTGTGTGGACAAAGCCCCTCAAAGATGGTGGCAGCCCAATTCTGGGTTACATTGTGGAATGTCAGAAAACTGGAACTACGCAGTGGAATAGGATTAATAAGGATGAACTCATTAGACAGTGTGCTTTCAGAGTACCTGGGCTAATAGAAGGAAATGAGTATAAATTCCGAATAAAAGCTGTCAACATTGTGGGAGAAGGAGAACCAAGAGAACTGGCAGAAACCGTACTTGCAAAGGATATTCTTTCTCCTCCAGAAGTAAGCCTAGATGTGACCTGCCGGGACTTAATTACTGTCCGAGTAGGCCAAACAATCCGTATTACTGGTAAAGTAAAAGGCAGGCCAGATCCTGACATAACATGGTCTAAAGATGGCAAAGTACTAGTCCAAGAAAAGCGTGTTGAAATAGTCCATGATCTACCTAATGTTGAACTTCAAGTGAAAGAAGCCAAAAGATCTGATCATGGCAAATATATTATAGCAGCTAAGAACAGCTGTGGACATGCTCAAGCTTTTGCTATTGTTAATGTGCTTGACAGACCTGGACCATGTCAGAACCTGAAAATAAGCTATGTCACAAAAGATTCTTGTATGATTGCTTGGGAGAGTCCAGTGGATAATGGTGGCTCTGAAATTACAAATTATATAGTAGAGTACCGTCAACCAAACCAGAAGGGATGGTCAATTGTCTCCTCTGATATCACTAAACGATTAGTAAAGGCAAATCTTATAGAGAACCGTGAATACTTCTTCAGAGTTTGTGCAGAAAACAAAATAGGTCCAGGTCCTTGCATTGAAACCAAGACTCCCATCCTTGCTATCAATCCTATTGACAAGCCTGGAGAACCAGAAAATCTTCATATTGCAGAGAAAGGAAAGACATTTGTGTATCTGAAATGGAGAAGGCCAGATTATGATGGTGGAAGTCCCAATTTAAGTTATCATGTTGAGAGAAAACTGAAAGATTCAGATGAATGGGAAAGGGTTCACAAAGGCAGCATTAAGGAAACACACTACATGGTAGATAAATGTGTTGAAAATAAAATTTATCAATTCCGAGTTCAAACCAAGAATGAGGCAGGTGAAAGTGACTGGGTAAGAACAGCTGAAGTTGTTGTGAAGGAAGATCTACAGAAACCAGTGCTAGACTTGAAGTTAAGCGGGGTGCTAACTGTGAAAGCAGGTGACACAATTAGAATTGAGGCTGGGGTCAGAGGAAAACCACAGCCTGAAGTTGTATGGACAAAAGACAAAGATGCCACAGATCTAACCAGATCTCCAAGAGTCAGTATTGAAACAACTTCTGACACATCTAAGTTTGTTCTCACAAAATCAAAGCGTAGTGATGGTGGGAAATACGTGATTACTGCAACTAACACGGCTGGTAGTTTCGTAGCATATGCTACTGTTATCGTCTTGGATAAACCAGGTCCTGTAAGAAACTTGAAAGTCACTGACATTTCAAGTGATAGATGTACTGTTACTTGGGACCCTCCAGAAGATGATGGTGGCTGTGAAATACAGAACTACATCCTGGAAAAGTGTGAAAGCAAGCGTATGGTTTGGTCTACATACTCTTCCTCTGTCCTAACAAACTATGCAAATGTGACACGCCTCATTGAAGGTAATGAATATATATTCAGAGTTCGTGCAGAGAATAAAATGGGCACTGGTCCGCCAACAGAAACACACCCAATTGTTGCAAAAACAAAATATGATAGACCTGGACGTCCCGACCCTCCAGATGTCACAAGAGTTAGCAAAGAAGAGATGACTGTAGTTTGGAATCCACCAGAATATGATGGTGGCAAATCAATTACAGGATACATTTTAGAGAAGAAAGAGAAACGATCACTAAGATGGGTTCCTGTTACTAAGACTGCAATCCCAGAGAGACGCAAGAAGGTTACTAATCTCATCCCTGGTCATGAATATCAGTTCCGTGTCAGTGCTGAAAATGAAGTTGGACTTGGAGAACCAAGCTTGCCATCAAGACCTGTAGTCGCAAAAGACCCAATAGGTATCTATACAATACCACTGTATTCTACTGTATTTTGTTTTAATGTTAACATAACAGATTGCTAAATGGCACAAATGTGTTCTTACCTGTAATTTTTATTGTCTTTCAGAACCACCTGGTCCTCCCACAAACTTGAGAGTTGTTGATAGCACAAAGAGTTCCATAACCCTTGGCTGGGGAAAACCAGTATATGATGGTGGTGCTCCAATTATTGGATATGTTGTGGAAATTAGACCAAAAGTTGAGGGTGCTGATCCTGAAGCAGGATGGAAACGATGCAATGTTGCTGCCCAAGTTATTCATACAGAATTTACAGCCACCAGCCTGGATGAGAACCAGTTATATGAGTTCAGAGTTTCTGCACAAAACCAGGTTGGCCTTGGCCGACCAGCTGAACTGAAAGAAGCTGTGTCTCCCAAAGAAATACTTGGTGAGTTTTCCCATCCTCTTTATGAGTATTTACTTACAATCCTTATTTGCTCTAGCTTTATTTTATTTCATGTGTTAAACTTTGCATTTTATTTCTTTAATTTTGTCTTTCAGAACCTCCTGAGATTGAGTTAGATGCAAGCATGAGAAAGTTAGTTACAGTCAGGGCAGGATGCCCTATTAGACTTTTTGCCATTATTAGGGGCCGTCCAGCACCAAAAGTCACCTGGAGGAGAATGGGTATTGATAATGTTATCAGAAAAGGACAAGTTGACCTGGTTGACACTATGGCCTTCTGTGTCATCCCCGATTCAACACGTGATGACTCAGGCAAATATTCACTGACACTTGTTAATCCAGCTGGAGAAAAGGCTGTATTTGTGAACGTCAGAGTCCTGGGTAAGTAACGAGAGAAATACCTCTAAACAATGTTTTTAACTACACTGGATGTTTATTGAAGGAATTTTTATAGCTCCCAGGTGCTACAGTTTTTGAGCACAACTGTATCAGCTAACACTAACTCCCCCTGCGCAGGAAGCTCTTAGCCCCATTTAATTTTTACTTATTAAATAAGAAAACACTAGCATAAATTGAAATTTCTTTATAGATACTCCCGGACCTGTGTCGGACTTCAAGGTTTCAGATGTCACCAAGATGTCATGCCATCTTTCATGGGCACCTCCAGAGAATGATGGTGGTAGCCCAGTGACTCATTACATCCTGCAGAAACGTGAGGCTGACAGGAAGACCTGGGGAACAGTCACTGCAGAACTAAAGAAAACTAGTTTCCAAATAGCTAACCTTGTACCTGGAAATGAATATTTCTTTAGAGTAACAGCAGTAAATGAATATGGGTCAGGTGTTCCAAGTGACATACCAAAACCAGTTCTAGCAACGGATCCCCTAAGTGAGTATGGCTTTATGCACATTCTGTAGTTTTTTCTCTAATTTTAATAAGATTTTGCATTTATTGAAAGTTGGTGTTTCTGAATTGGACAATACAAACTAACTACTCGATAAACATAAATATTTCTGTGTCAGTTTCTTTCAAATACTACAATCTATGAATATAGTACCTTTGCAATTATTAAGAATTTTGCTCTTTTCCATATTGTCCTTGTTAAGTTAGCATGGACAGCATCCAAAAATTCAACAATAGTCAGAAAATCTTAGAAATTCAGGGTTTAATGTGTTTGCATTTTTTTCTCTGAAAGGTGAACCTGATCCACCAAGAAAACTTGAAGTTACTGAAATTACGAAGAATAGTGCTACTTTAGGCTGGCTGCCACCACTGCGTGATGGAGGCTCTAAAGTTGATGGGTACATTGTTAGCTACAAAGAAGATGACCAACCAGCAGATCGCTGGACAGAATATTCAGTTGTTAAAGATCTTTCCATTGTTGTAGCTGGTCTGAAAGAGGGCAAGAAGTACAAGTTTAGAGTGGCAGCTAGAAATGCTGTAGGAGTAAGCTTGCCAAGAGAAACTGAAGGCATATTTGAAATTAAAGAACAACTCAGTAAGTAACAATTTAAATATTATCTATGTTGCAATATTCTGCTTTAATAATGAAATGAGCAAGAATTCTAGTTCTTTGAGTGAGTCCCAGACAGACATATCCTTTATGAAGTCATAGGGAGGATTATAGTTAACTGTATTGAATATTTCAACAGGTCAGAAAGTATGAGAGTTGACCACTAATTCAGAATTGTTAAAGAATTTTTCAGGTATGGTTTCAGTTGGAACCAGAAATTAAGAACTAATGAGAAATAATAAATACTTTCAATAAACTTAGAAAAAGAGTCAGAGTGGTAGTCTGAAAGGTAAATGGGGCCAAAAGTGGGTCCTATTTAAAGATAAGAGAAAACAAGTTGTTTATACTGTAGAGTTGGTTGAGAATGTAAAGCAAAAGGCAAGGAGGACAGGTTGGCCTAATTAAGGCAGTAGGGTCCCTGAGGCATAAGACAACGTAGGGGTAAGGGGCAGGTGAAAAGAACCTTCTTCTTTTGTGACATGGAAAGAGGAAGAGAGAGGTACAGGAACAAAAGAGAATGAAAATTAGCCAATGGCAGGAAGAAAAGTACACCAAACATACTGCCAGGTTTCTTTTGGAAGAAATCAGATTTTGTGCAAAAGAAGGAGAAGGGGCCCTACTTAAAGAATAATTCAAAGGTATAAAAAGATTGACTGTGGATATGGGTTTAGTTCAGCAAGAACTTCAGTCTTTCTTTTCTCCTCTTTTGCATTTTTCTTGTAGAAAGTCAGCAATAAGTGAGCAATGACAAGTTCCAGATATAAAGAGGAATTATGTGTCATGCATTAATAGTGCATAAGTCTCCATATAAACATGTGAGAAGGCAATCCAAACTCAAAAACATTCTCTTATAAACTGTACAAGAATGCAAAAGTAAGACTGGAATAGATATTTCCCACTGCAGAATCTCTAGTTGTCCATAAGTGGAATCTAAATAAAAAATTATCAAGTCGTTCCTACTGGTGATTCCATCTGAGAGGGAAGCAGAGAACTTTCACATGAAAACAGAAGAAAAAGTAAACTAATAAGTCTCAGAAGTTGAATTCATATGTGTCTGTATGATTTTTTTCAGTCCCACCTAAGATCCTGATGCCTGATCACGTTCACATCAAAGCTGGAAAGAAACTGAGAATTGAAGCTCATGTATATGGGAAGCCTCAGCCAGTATGCAAATGGTTGAAAGGAGATCAAGATGTACTTACATCCAGCCGCCTTGCTGTGCATAAAGCAGAAAAGTCTTCTGTTCTTATCATTAAGGATGTGACTAGAAAAGATTCTGATTTTTACACTCTTACTGCAGAAAATAGCTCTGGTACCGATAGCCAGAAAATCAGAGTGATAGTCATGGGTATGTCTCATTTGATTATTTTTAAACCCACCTTTTTACAAAAATAGTTTTAATATATTCCAGTGGTTGCTATTTTCCTTCATCCTTTTTTTCTTAATATACTTTTTTTTGCAGATAAACCAGGTCCACCACAGCCTCCATTTGATATTTCTGAAATAGATGCTGATGCTTGCACTCTTGCATGGCATATACCTCTTGAAGATGGTGGCAGTAACATTACAAACTATGTAGTTGAGAAATGTGATGTAAGCCGAGGTGACTGGGTAACAGCTTTAGCTTCTGTCACAAAGACAAGCTGCAGAATTGGAAAACTGATTCCTGGAGAAGAATATATGTTCCGCGTTCGTGCTGAAAATCGTTTTGGGATTTCTGAGCCACTTACTTCTGGCAAGATGATTGCAAGATTCCCATTTGGTATGTCATTCTTTTGATAGCAGCATTTATCTTTTTAGTCCTCCTAGTAAGAAAGCATGTGATTGATATCCATCTCTCTATTTCTTTCTAGATGTTCCTAGTGAACCAAAGAATGCACGTATCACGAAAGTCAATAAGGACTGCATTTTTGTTGCCTGGGATAAACCAGATAGTGATGGAGGCAGTCCAATCACTGGTTATCTCATTGAGCGCAAAGAAAGGAACAGTTTACTGTGGGTGAAAGCTAATGACACAGCTGTGCGCTCCACAGAATACCCTTGTGTGGGACTCATCGAAGGTCTTGAGTATACTTTCAGAATTTATGCATTGAACAGAGCTGGAGCGAGTAAACCCAGTAAACCAACTGAGTTTGTCACAGCAAGAGCACCAGTTGGTAAGCCAAACATACCAATAATTTTCAACAAACTACTGTTTTTATGGTCATTTTTTCAATACATCTGCAACTCTTTTTGATCTTCAATTTGCCCTTATGTTTATATTTTTATGTTTACCATGACTGCACTGTGAGTGCACTGTGTGGGTTTGCTGTTAATAGGATCCAGAACTATTAAAGCCATTTTTTAATATGTTAGGGGTTTTGGCAAAACAGACTATAACACGATCTTATTTGCCTTAGATCCCCCTGGAAAACCTGAAGTTATTGATGTCACTAAGAGTACTGTATCACTGGTATGGACAAGACCAAAGCATGATGGTGGTAGCAAACTTATTGGCTACTTTGTTGAAGCTTGCAAATTACCGGGTGAGAAGTGGGTTCGGTGCAATACAACTCCACATCAAATACCCCTAGAAGAGTACACTGCTACTGATTTGGAAGAAAATGCTCAATATCAATTTAGAGCAATTGCCAAGACAGCAGTTAACATTAGCCAACCTTCAGAACCTTCTGATCCCGTGACCATTCATCCAGAAAATGGTAAGAAATGTGAAAGCATTTGAGAAGTCTGATAAGAATCTGTGCATCTTGAACTGACAGTCATGTGAAGAATGAGATGTTGATCTCTTACTAGATTTATTAACTCTTGGGTTCTTTCTTTTCAGTTCCCCCCAGAATAGAGTTGGATCTGTCTATGCAATCACAGCTTACAGTGAAAGCTGGAACTAATGTACGGCTGGAGGCAAAGGTATACGGCAAGCCAATGCCAACAATCACCTGGAAGAAAGAAGGAGAAGTTTTAAAGCCATCTGAAGGTGTTAAGATCACCACAAAGAGAAATCTTGCTACAGTTGAGTTGTTCAGTGTCAACAGGAAGCAAACAGGAGACTATACTATAACTGCTGAAAATGCAAGTGGATCAAAGTCAGCAACCATTAAGCTTAAAGTACTTGGTAAGCTAAAGACTGCCTGTTCATTTACCATTTATAGTTAAATGATACAGCAAGAAATAGTGCTATAACAATGTGATGTTAATTCTTCTAGATAAGCCTGGTCCACCAGCCTCCGTTAAAATCAAACATGTGTATGCCGATCGTGCAATGCTTTCTTGGGAGCCTCCTCTGGAAGATGGAGGTTCAGAAATTACTAACTACATTGTGGACAAGCGTGAAACAAGCAGACCAAACTGGGCCCAAGTCAGTGCCAATGTACCCATTACAAGCTGCACAGTTGAGAAACTAATAGAAGGACATGAGTATCAGTTCCGCATATGTGCTGAAAACAAATATGGTGTTGGAGACCCTATCTTGACTGAACCAGTAGTTGCTAAGAATCCATATGGTAAGTGCTTTGTGAGATAGCTTCATTAGTCACTGTTTTTTTGTGTACACTTATGGATGTGAACATAACTTCCAAATAAATCTTTACAGATGTACCCGGACCTTGTGATCCACCTATAATTAGCAATGTAACGAAAGACTTTATGACTGTTAGCTGGAAGCCACCAGCTAGTGATGGTGGATCCCCAATAACCGGTTATATACTTGAGAAGCGTGAAACTAAGGCTCTTAACTGGACAAAGGTAAACAGAAAGCCTGTCATTGAAAGAACTGTTAAGGCTACTGGACTCCAAGAAGGAACAGAATATGAGTTCCGCGTGATAGCGTTGAATAAGGCTGGACCTGGGAAGCCTAGCGCACCATCTAAAGCAGTGTATGCTCGTGATCCTCAATGTAAGCTAAAAGTCTCAGATATTTTCTACGGTTATTTCCAAATACTTTTGTACAACATTTGGTACAATAAATTCATGTTTTTTTAATTCTCAGATCCTCCTGGCCCACCTGCTTTCCCGAAAGTGGTTGATACTACTCGTAATTCGATAAGCCTGTCATGGAGCAAACCAGCATATGATGGAGGAAGCCCTATTATTGGTTATCTAGTGGAAGCAAAAAGAGCTGACACAGACAACTGGGTCAGATGCAATCTACCCAAGAACTTACAGGCTACACGATTTGTGGTAACAGGGCTGATGGAAGACACAGAGTACCAGTTCCGCGTTTATGCTGTCAATAAGATTGGATACAGTGATCCAAGTGATGTTCCTGATAAACACACTGCCAAAGACATTTTAAGTATGTTCATTGAAGACAAATTACCTTGTTGACTTTTGCTTTAATTTAACCCCACAATATGGGTTCCAAAGACAGCATTTTTCACAGATCACAGAAGCAGATTAATTTGGAATGTGTCATTTCTCAAAAAAAATGTAGGCTAAAGTGGTTAATTTGGAAGAGAATAAGACAGTTAGGAACTGAGTAGAATCTGACTGGTGTCTGCTTTTTTCATTTGTATGCTAGATACTCTTCTCCCTCCTATTTTGGGTCTTCAAGAATTTTTTCTTTCTCTGATTGTAAAATCAGACTTTTCAGACCTCTCTTCTGTTCTTAAAACTTTCAGTATTCTTTATGTCTTCTAAATAATTTGAAGCCAAGATTACTATTCTAAGCATCTGTGTGGCATGCTATTTAATTGTATGATAGTTATTCCTTAAGAGCCGTGCTGGCTTCTGTATGCATTTTGCTGTATGTACAAAAGCATTGCTTCACAGAACTGTCTTGGTTCAGAATAAGCAGTACAGTCCAGGAGGCTTTGAAACTCCTTTGCGTTCTAGAGGAACTAGGAGGCTTCTTCATATGATAAGTAATGTAAATGGTAAAAGGCAGGAAAAATGGGAGTGAAATCAGTGCAAAAAAAAATGCCAAGTTTACAAATGATCTTGGAATGGGAGTCAGGACACTTAACTCACTAACATCATCATGGGTATGAGAACAAGTTGGTTAATCTAGTGAAATGCCAGTAAAGAGGGACTTTTTGTCAGAGTAACTACAGTGATAGTCCTAAAGATGATGGTTTAATTGCATGGTTTTTGTTAAACACACAGTTCCTCCTGAAGGAGAACTTGATGCAGAACTAAGGAAAGTCCTTGTGTTGCGTGCTGGAGTCACAATGAGACTTTATGTGCCAGTAAGAGGACGTCCACCTCCAAAGATTACATGGTCTAAAGTGGGTGCCAACCTAAGAGATAGACAAGGATTAGACATCAAGTCAACTGATTTTGATACCTTCCTGCGTTGTGAAAATGTAAACAAATATGATGCTGGAAAATACGTCCTCAGTCTGGAGAACATCTGTGGCAAAAAGGAATACACCATTGTTGTAAAAGTACTAGGTAAGTGTCAGGGCTTTCCCCATTATAACATACTTGTTAACTTTTTAGGTGATAATATTTTGTATTTTGTTTACTAAATCAAATGCGGGGCTGTGTTTATCTAGATACTCCAGGCCCTCCAGTTAACCTGGTTGTAAAGGAAGCATCAAAGGATTCCGCTTTCATTACATGGGAACCTCCACTAATAGATGGTGGCAGTCCAATCACAAATTATGTCATTGAAAAGCGTGATGCAGAAAGAAAGTCGTGGTCCACAGTAACAACAGAATGTCCAAAGACAAGCTGCAGGATAACTAACTTAGAAGAAGGCAAATCTTACTTCTTCAGGGTTTTTGCTGAAAATGAATACGGTATTGGTGACCCCTGTGAAACTCGTGATGCTGTTAAAGCTTCTGGTAAGAAAAATGAATCCATTCGGCCTATTTTGGTACTCAAATAATTTTTATTTTTAGCTTGAATGGACACTTACTATGCTTTTCTTCCTTCTAGAAACACCTGGGCCAGTTGTGGATCTAAAAGCTTCAGCTGTAACAAAATCATCATGCAATTTAGTGTGGAAAAAACCTATCAGTGATGGCGGAAGCCGTATTTTTGCATATGTTGTTGAGGTTCTGATTGGTGAAGATAAATGGCAAGAAGTCATGCGGGCAAAGAACCTCCATTTTTCCATGAGAGACTTAAAAGAAGGACAAGAATACACTTTCAGAGTGGCAGCCCAGAATGATGCTGGATATGGAACTCCAACAGAGCTCACAATTGTGGCAAGAGATGATGTTGGTAAGAAGCAACTTAAGATCATTAATGCAATGCCTCACTTACCCAAATTACATGTATTTTATGATTACTACCATTGCTATGCATACATACAGATCAGATGCATTTAAAACAGCATCTTAATTTTATCACAGTTTATGCATAGTTGAATAATCAGTTTCTTTTATTTTTACAGTGGCACCTGATCTTGATTTAAGAGATCTACCTGATTTGTGCTATACAGCGAAAGAGGGTAGCAATTTCCGTCTTAAAATCCCAATTAAAGGCAAGCCTGTCCCAGCTGTAACTTGGAAGAAAGATGAAGACCAAGCACTTACTGAGAGTGGAAGAGTTGCATTTGAATCTACAGCAGTTAACACCACACTTGTAGTACATGACTGCCAGAAAGCTGATGCTGGAAAATACACAATAACTCTGAAGAATGTTGTTGGCAGCAAGGAAGGCACTATTTCTGTGAAAGTTGTTGGCAAACCTGGCATACCAACAGGTCCGGTGAAATTTGAAGAAGTCACCGCCGATGCCATAACCTTAAAGTGGGGCCCTCCAAAAGATGATGGTGGTTCAGAAATCACTAACTATGTCCTAGAGAAGAGAGATAATGTAAACAATAAGTGGGTGACTTGTGCCTCTGCAGTCCAGAAAACGATGTTTAGAGTTACAAGACTTCATGAAGGAAATGAATATACATTCAGGATCAGAGCAGAAAATAAATATGGAGTAGGTGAAGGTCTTAAATCTGACCCTGTCATTGCAAAACATCCATTTGGTAAGTATCCATTATAATTTTCAAAATTGGGGAAAAAAAAAAAAAAAGTAGGGATGATATTTATTTTTAATGTTACTGCAATTTTTTATATTGTTTAGATGTCCCAGATGCTCCTCCACCTCCCAACATTGTTGACGTTCGTCATGACTCTGTAGCTTTAACTTGGACTGATCCCAGAAGAACTGGAGGCTCACCAATCACAGGTATATCCCCTAAAGCCTACCTAGTATTTCAGTTCTTAATAGTTCTTTCTTTCTGTCAAAGGGTAAGAGAAAACTATCAGGTGTTTATGCTTTAAATTGAGTGAGTGATTGATTTCACTGTTTTACTGCATACTCTTTCTCTATGATAAAAAGGCTAACTAAGAAACAATATTTTTTGCACAGAGCCAAAATATCTAAAGAAAGAAAAACAAACTCACCTATATGTTACATTACTCGGGTCTATAAAATTAGCAATTTCCAGTTACAAACATCTCATCATTGCAACTACATATATCTGTAATGTATGTCCACATCCATTTCTTAATCTGGTTTTCAGTGGTCATCTTGCACAATGCCTATGTAACGTGCCATACAGGTAGTACGATGTTTCACAATGCTATGAGAAATGAAGATTTCTAGAAAACCCCTGATATTTTCAGCTCACCATTTATCTTCTAGGTTATCACATTGAAGTCAAAGAAAGAAATAGTCTTCTGTGGAAGAGAGCAAATAAAACACCGATAAGAATGAAAGATTTCAGAGTGACAGGGTTAACTGAAGGTCTGGAATATGAATTCAGAGTAATGGCAATCAATATAGCCGGAGTAGGTAAACCAAGTCTGCCATCTGAACCAGTTGTGGCACTTGATCCTATTGGTAAGTCTTCAGGAGAATAAGAAGTAAAATTCTGAAATTTGAAATAACTTTTGTTTGACCACTATTTATTATTTTTTCTTCTAGATCCCCCTGGGAAACCTGAAGTTATCAATGTAACTAGGAACTCAGTAACACTCATTTGGACAGAACCAAAATATGACGGTGGACATAAGTTAACTGGCTATATTGTTGAAAAGCGTGATTTACCCTCAAAGACTTGGACAAAAGCTAATCATGTAAATGTTCCAGACTGTGCATTTACTGTAACTGACCTCACTGAAGGCTCCAAATATGAATTCAGAATTAGAGCAAAGAACACTGCTGGAGCTATCAGTCCTCCATCTGAATCCACAGACACCATAACATGCAAGGATGAGTATGGTATGTAGATGGCATTTAAAATGTAGAATTTTATTTGAATACTTAATATCAAATCCTCCCCCATGTTCTTGTTATAACAATTGTGGGTGTTTTGTTTGTTTGTTTGTTTTGACAGAGGCACCAAGCATTGTTATCGATCCTACTTTGAAGGAAGGTTTAACAGTAAAAGCGGGAGACACTATTACAGTGTCTGCTATTAGTATCCGTGGCAAACCACCTCCAACTTCAGCATGGTCAAAAGCTGGAAAAGATTTTAGACCTTCAGAGCTTGTGCACATTGAAACCACACCAACTTCTTCTACTCTAACTGTCAAATATGCAGCCAGAAAAGATTCTGGAGAATACATGATCACTGCAACCAATCCTTTTGGCACTAAGCAGGAGAGCATACATGTGAAAGTTTTAGATGTTCCAGGACCTCCAGGGCCTATTGAGATCAGCAATGTTTCAGCAGAAAAAGCAACTCTTACTTGGTCACCTCCTGCAGAAGATGGTGGATCACCAGTCAAATCATATGTTCTTGAAAAGAGAGAAACTAGCCGACTGCTCTGGACATTGGTTGCTGAAAATATTGAAAGCTGTAGGCATGTTGTTAGCAAGCTCATTCAAGGAAATGAATATGTTTTCCGTGTCTCAGCAGTAAATCAATATGGCAAGGGTGAACCAGTACAATCAGAACCAGTTAAAATGGTGGATAGATTTGGTACGTAGAACAAGCTAAGTTCCAGTGTGTTTTTATTAATCTCCGAAGACTTGATTTTTGTTTTAACTGTACTTTTTTCTTTCTTATCAGGTCCCCCAGGCCCTCCTGGAAAACCAGAAGTAACAAACGTGACTAAAAATACTGTCACAGTTACCTGGAAAAGGCCAGTAGATGATGGTGGAAGTGAAATCACAGGTTACTATGTAGAGCGAAGAGAAAAGAAAGGTTTAAGATGGGTCAGAGCAACAAAGAAACCAGTTTCAGATCTTAGATACAAAGTAACTGGTCTCCTGGAAGGAAATGAATATGAATTCCGTGTCAGTGCAGAAAATAGAGCCGGGGTTGGACCACCAAGTGATGCTTCAAACTCAGTCATGTGCAAGGATGTTGCATGTTAGTATCATGCCTTTTCTTTTTGGGGTGTGGGTGGGATGGGTGGTGAGCACATTCAGACAAGCATAGGAGTGACTTCCTCTGTAATGTAATGTTTTATCTTTTCCTTGCTTTTCAGACCCACCAGGTCCACCTGCAAATCCAAGAGTGACTGATACTACAAAGACAAGTGCATCTTTGGCCTGGGGCAAGCCTCACTATGACGGTGGTCTTGACATCATTGGCTATATAGTAGAGCATCAAAAGGAAGGAGAGGAAGAATGGGTGAAAGACACAACAGGGACTGCTTTAAGAATCACTCAGTTTGTTGTTGCTCATCTGCAGACAGGAGCCAAATACAATTTCAGAATCTCTGCCATGAATGCTGCAGGTGTTGGTGAACCAGCAATAATTCCAAGTGTGGAAATCAAAGACCGGGAAGAGATTCCTGACTTTGAATTAGATGCTGAGCTAAGAAGAACACTTGTTGTTAGAGCTGGATTAACTATTCGGATTTTTGTGCCCATTAAAGGACGTCCAACTCCAGAAGTTACATGGACAAAAGATGATGTTTCACTCAAAGGACGTGCCAGTATTGAAAATACAGACTCTTTTACACTCTTGATTGTAACAGAGTGCACCAGATATGATGCAGGAAAATATGTAATGACTCTTGAAAATGCTGCTGGTAAGAAGACTGGCTTTGTAAATGTAAAAGTCTTGGATACACCAGGTCCACCAATAAACCTTAAGCCTAGAGAAATAACCAAAGACAGCATCACCCTTCAATGGGATATGCCTCTGATGGATGGTGGTTCACGTATAACCAACTATATTGTCGAGAAACGTGAATCAACACGGAAAGCATATTCAACAGTCACAACTAACTGCCAGAAGTGTTCCTTCAGGGTTCCTAATTTGGCTGAAGGGTGTGAATACTACTTCAGAGTGCTGGCTGAAAATGAGTACGGTATTGGTGAACCAGCTGAAACTTCAGAACCAGTAAGAGCTTCTGAGGCACCATCCCCACCTGAAAGCCTTAATATTATGGATGTAACACGGAATTCAGTTAGCCTGGCTTGGCCAAAACCAGAACACGATGGTGGCAGTAAGATCACTGGGTATGTAATTGAAGCACAGAGAAAAGGAACCAACCAGTGGGCACACATCACCACTGTAAAAACGCTGGACTGTGTAGTAAAAAATCTAACTGAAAATGAAGAGTATACTTTTCAGGTTATGGCAGTTAACAGTGCTGGAAGAAGTGCCCCAAGAGAAAGTAGGCCAGTTATTATCAAGGAGCAAACAATGCTACCAGAGTTTGACCTCCGTGGTATCTACCAGAAAACAGTCATTGCCAAAGCTGGTGACAATATCAAGATTGAAATCCCTGTGCTTGGTCGTCCAAGGCCTACTGTGACTTGGAAGAAAGAAGACCAGATACTTAAACAAACACAAAGGGTAAATTATGAAAATACTGCAACTGCAACAATACTAACCATCAATGAATGTAAACGAAGTGATAGTGGTCGATATCCACTATCAGCTAAAAATATTGTTGGAGAAGTTAGTGAAGTAATCACAGTTCAGGTCCACGACATACCTGGACCTCCTACTGGACCAATCAAATTTGACGAAATTTCATCTGACTTCCTAGCATTCTCATGGGAGCCTCCTTTGAATGATGGTGGTGTACCGATAAGTAACTATGTTGTAGAAATGCGTCAAACTGACAGTACTACATGGACTGAATTGGCAACCACAGTGATACGTACTACATTTAAAGCCACTCGTCTTACTACTGGAGTTGAGTATCAGTTCCGTGTTAAAGCTCAAAACAGATATGGGATTGGTCCAGCCATTACTTCAGAGTCTGTAGTTGCCAACTACCCATTTAAGGTACCTGGGCCTCCTGGCACTCCTCAGGTGATTGCAGTCACCAAAGAAACCATGACCATTAGCTGGAATGAGCCAGTTACTGATGGTGGAAGCCCAATTCTGGGATATCATGTTGAAAGAAAAGAGCGAAATAGCATTCTTTGGCAGACTGTAAGTAAAATGCTGGTATCAGGCAATATCTTTAAATCAACTGGACTTACTGATGGCATTGCATATGAATTCCGTGTTATAGCAGAAAATCTGGCTGGGAAGAGTAAGCCAAGCAAGCCATCTGAGCCTGTCTTTGCCCTAGACCCAATAGATCCACCTGGTAAGCCGATACCTCTGAACATTACAAGACATGCAGTTACACTGAAGTGGACTAAACCAGAATATAATGGAGGTTTTAAGATAACTGGCTACACTGTTGAAAAAAGAGACCTTCCTAATGGCCGTTGGCTGAAGGCTAATTTCAGCAATATACTAGAGACTGAATTCACTGTAAGTGGTTTGACAGAAGATGCTGCCTATGAATTCCGTGTGATTGCTAGGAATGCTGGTGGGGCTGTTAGTCAGCCCTCTGAGCCATCAGATGCAATAACTTGTAGAGATGACATTGAAGCACCAAAGATAAAGGTGGATGCTAAATACAAAGACACCTTAGTGCTGAAAGCAGGCGAAGTTTTCAGACTTGAGGCTGATGTTTCAGGTCGCCCTCCACCAACTATGACGTGGACAAAAGGAGAAAAAGAACTTGAAGACACAGCAAAATTAGAAATAAAAATAGCAGATTTCTCTACTGTTCTTATCAATAAAGATTCTTCAAGAAGAGATGGCGGTGCCTATACACTTACCGCAACAAATCCTGGTGGCTTTGCCAAGCATATCTTCAATGTTAAAGTTCTTGATAGACCTGGTCCCCCAGAAGGGCCTTTGGCTGTGTCCGAAGTCACTGCAGAAAAATGCGTGCTGTCATGGCTGCCTCCACTGGATGATGGAGGAGCAAAGATTGACCATTATGTGGTTGAAAAACGTGAAACCAGTAGATTGGCATGGACAGCTGTAGCCACAGAAGTTCCATTAACTAAACTGAAGGTTACTAAGCTGCTGAAGGGCAATGAGTATGTGTTCCGTGTTATGGCTGTTAACAAATATGGAGTTGGTGAGCCTCTGGAATCAGAGCCCATTCTTGCAGTAAATCCATATGTCCCACCTGATCCACCTAAAACACCTGAAGTTACAGCAATTACAAAAGACTCTATGGTTGTCTGTTGGGGCCATCCTGATTCTGATGGTGGGAGCCCAATAACTAACTATATTGTGGAACGTCGAGACAGGGCTGGCCTGCGGTGGGTGAAGTGTAACAAACGGGTTGTTACTGACTTACGTTATAAAGTGTCCGGACTGACAGAAGGCCATGAATATGAATACAGAGTCATGGCTGAAAATGCTGCTGGAGTCAGTGAGCCAAGCCCAACCAGTCCATTCTATAAAGCCTGTGATACTGTATTTAAGCCCGGTCCCCCAGGTAATCCTCGTGTTTTGGACAGCAGCAAGTCCTCAATTACAATAGCATGGAACAAGCCAATATATGACGGTGGTTCAGAGATCACAGGTTACATGGTCGAGATTGCACTACCTGAAGAAGATGAGTGGAAGATTGTAACTCCACCAGTAGGTCTAAAGGCCACTTCTTTTACCATCACTGACCTGAAAGAAAATCAAGAGTATAAAATACGGATATATGCTATGAACTCTGAAGGTCTTGGAGAACCTGCTCTTGTTCCTGGGACTCCAAAAGCTGAAGAAAGAATGCTACCTCCAGAGATTGAACTTGATGCAGAACTACGTAAAGTTGTCACTATTAGAGCCTGCTGTACTCTAAGGCTCTTTGTTCCAATTAAAGGAAGACCAGCACCTGAAGTAAAATGGACAAGAGAACATGGGGAATCTTTGGATAGAGCAAGCATTGAATCAACAAGCTCTTATACTCTACTTATTGTTGAAAATGTAAATAGGTTTGATAGTGGCAAATACATATTGACAATCGAAAACAGCTCAGGTAGTAAGTCAGCATTTGTGAATGTCAGAGTTCTTGACACCCCAGGGGCACCTCAAGATTTGAAAATAAAAGAAGTTACAAAATCATCAGTGACACTCACATGGGAACCTCCTCTCATAGATGGTGGCTCTAAAATAAAAAATTATATTGTTGAAAAGCGTGAATCAACAAGGAAAGCTTATTCAACTGTTAATGCCAATTGCCACAAGACCAGCTGGAAAGTTGATTCACTGCAAGAAGGCTGCAACTACTACTTCAGAGTCCTAGCTGAAAATGAGTATGGAATAGGCCTTCCAGTTGAAACTTCAGAATCAGTAAAAGTGTCAGAAAGACCACTTCCACCAGGGAAAATAACTTTGTTGGATGTGACAAGAAATAGCGTATCCTTATCTTGGGAAAAACCCGAACATGATGGTGGTAGCAGAATTCTGGGCTACATTGTAGAAATGCAAAGCAAAGGTAGTGAAAAGTGGTCAACTTGTGCTACAGTAAAAGTTACTGAAGCCACTATCACAGGATTGATCCAAGGTGAAGAATACACCTTCCGTGTTTCAGCTCAGAATGAGAAAGGTATCAGTGATCCTCGCCAGCTGGCTATACCAGTTGTCGCAAAAGATCTTGTGATTCCACCAGCTTTCAAACTACTGTTTACGACTTTCAGTGTTCTAGCAGGAGAAGACTTAAAGGTTGATGTTCCTTTTGTTGGTCGACCCAAACCAGCAGTTCTTTGGCATAAAGATAATGTGGCATTGAAGCAGACTACGAGAGTAAATGCAGAAAGTTCAGAAAATAACACAGTGTTAACAATAAAAGAAGCATGCAGAGAAGATGTGGGGGCATATTTAGTTAAACTTACAAACTCTGCAGGTGAAGCAACTGAGACCCTAAATATTGTTGTCCTTGACAAACCAGGACCTCCAACTGGACCAGTAAAAGTAGATGAAGTAACAGCAGATAGTATTACCATTTCCTGGGAACCACCCAAGTATGATGGCGGTAGCTCTATCAATAATTACATTGTAGAAAAAAGAGACACCTCCACCACCACTTGGCAGATTGTGTCAGCTACTGTTGCAAGAACAACTATAAAAGCATGTCGATTAAAGACTGGCTGTGAATATCAGTTCAGAATAGCAGCTGAAAACAGGTACGGGAAGAGTACCTATCTCACTTCAGAACCAATCATAGCCCAATACCCATTTAAAGTTCCTGGTCCACCTGGAACACCTTTTGTAACTAATGTCTCAAAAGACAGCATGGTGGTACAATGGAATGAACCAGTCAATGATGGTGGTAGCAAGATCATTGGGTATCACTTGGAGCGCAAAGAAAGAAACAGCATTCTGTGGGCTAAACTGAATAAAACACCTATTCCAGACACCAAATTTAAGACAACTGGCCTTGAGGAAGGTCTTGAATATGAGTTCAGAGTTTATGCAGAAAACATAGTGGGCATTGGAAAGGCAAGTAGAGCATCTGAATGCTATACTGCACATGACCCATGTGACCCTCCAGGTCGTCCAGAACCTATAATTGTCACAAGAAGCTCAGTAACACTTCAGTGGAAGAAACCTGTATATGATGGTGGAAGTAAGATCACGGGCTATGTTGTTGAAAAGAAGGAGCTACCTGATGGTCGTTGGATGAAAGCAAGCTTTACAAATGTCATCGATACACAATTTGAAGTAACTGGTCTAGTTGAAAATCAGAGGTATGAGTTCCGTGTTATAGCACGAAATGCTGCAGGCATTTTCAGTGAACCATCTGAGAGCTCAGGGGCAATTACAGCACGAGATGAAGTAGAACCACCTCATATAAGTATGGATCCAAAATACAAAGACACTATTGTAGTGCATGCTGGTGAGTCATTCAGGCTTGATGCTGATGTTCATGGCAAACCAATACCTTCCATTCAGTGGTTAAAAGGTGATCGTGAGCTGACAAACACTGCTCGTATGGAAATAAAAAGTACTGATTTTGCAACAAGCCTTAGTGTGAAGGAAGCCATTAGAGTTGACAGTGGTCAGTATGTACTACTGGCAAAGAATGTTGCAGGTGAAAAGAAAGTTCCTGTTAATGTTAAAGTTCTTGATAGACCTGGACCACCAGAAGGGCCTGTTGAAATTACAGGTGTAACTGCAGAAAAATGCATGCTGTCATGGAAACCTCCGCTACAAGATGGTGGTAGCGATATTTCACACTATGTTGTAGAAAAAAGGGAAACCAGCCGCTTGGTGTGGACGGTCGTTGATTCAAATGTGCAAACCCTAAATTGCAAAGTTACAAAACTTTTAGAAGGAAATGAATATGTTTTCCGCATCATGGCAGTAAATAAATACGGAGTTGGTGAACCTCTTGAGTCTGAACCAGTACTCGCAAAGAACCCATTTGTAGTGCCACTTCCACCAAAGGCACCAGAAGTCACAGCCATCACCAAGGATTCTATGATAGTTGTATGGGAAAGGCCAGCCTCAGATGGCGGTAGTGAAATCCTAGGCTATGTCCTTGAAAAACGAGATAAGGAAGGTATTCGCTGGACAAGATGTAACAAACGCCTGATAAGTGAATTGCGATACAGAGTGACTGGGCTTATGGAAAATCATGATTACGAGTACAGAGTTTCAGCTGAAAATGCTGCTGGCCTTAGTGAACCAAGCCCACCTTCCACTTACTACAAAGCGTGTGATCCAATTTACAAGCCAGGTCCACCCAATAATCCTAAAGTTGTGGATGTTACAAGATCTTCAGTTTTCCTTTCATGGGGTAAGCCTATCTATGACGGTGGCTCTGAAATTCAGGGATACATCGTGGAAAAGTGTGATGTAAGTGACGGTGAATGGGCAATTTGTACCCCTCCAACTGGAATTAAGAACACTCACATGGAAGTAGAAAAATTAGTGGAAAAACATGAATACAAATTCCGCATATGTGCAGTTAATAAAGCAGGAGTTGGAGAGCATGCAGATGTTCCTGGCTCTGTTATTGTGGAAGAAAAGATGGAGGCACCAGACCTTGACCTTGACATGGAATTAAGGAAGGTTGTAAATGTGAGAGCAGGAGGTTCCTTAAGACTGTTTGTTCCCATCAGAGGTCGTCCGACACCTGAAGTCAAATGGGGTAAAATGGATGGTGAGATCAGAGAGGCAGCTATTATTGATACCACTAGCAGCTTTACTTCCCTTGTTTTAGACAATGTTAACAGATTTGATACTGGGAAGTACACTCTGACTTTAGAAAACAGCAGTGGAACAAAGTCTGCCTTTGTCAGTGTAAGAGTACTGGATACCCCAAGTGCGCCTGTTAATTTAAAAATCAGAGAGATCACTAAAGACTCTGTTTCACTTTCATGGGAGCCTCCTCTCTTGGACGGTGGAGCAAAAATAAAGAACTACATTATTGAAAAGCGGGAAGCAACAAGAAAGGCATATGCAGCTGTTGTAACAAACTGCCACAAGACTTCATGGAAAGTAGAACAACTTCAGGAGGGCTGCTATTACTTCTTTAGAATCTCTGCTGAGAATGAATACGGCATTGGCCTCCCTGCGGAAACCAGTGACCCAATTAAAGTTGCTGAAGTTCCACAGCCTCCTGGGAAAATAACAGTGGATGATGTCACAAGAAACAGTGTCTCACTAAGCTGGGCAAAACCTGAACATGACGGCGGCAGCAAAATCATACAATACATTGTTGAAATGCAAGCAAAGGGTAGTGAGAAATGGTCAGAGTGTGCTCGCGTAAAAACACTTGAAGCAGTTATTACTAATCTAACTCAAGGGGAAGAATATCTTTTTAGAGTAATGGCTGTAAATGAAAAGGGCAAGAGTGATCCTAGAGCACTTGCAGTTCCAATAGTTGCCAAAGACCTGGTGATCGAACCTGATGTAAGACCTGCTTTTCACAGTTACAGTATCCAAGTGGGACAAGATCTAAAAGTAGAAGTACCAATTGCAGGTCGACCTAAACCAACTGTTACCTGGGTAAAAGATGGCCAGCCATTAAGGCAGACAACAAGAGTCAATGTTAGCGATTTGACTGATCTCACTGTATTGAATATTAAAGAAACTAGCAAAGAGGACAGTGGCACGTATGAAATCACTGTGGCTAATGTTGTTGGGCAAAAGTCTGCCTCTGTTGAAATTATAACTCTAGACAAACCCGACCCTCCATTAGGACCTGTGAAGTTTGATGAAATAAGTGCAGAAAGTATTACCCTGTCATGGAATCCCCCAGTGTACACAGGTGGCTGCCAAATCACCAACTATGTTGTTCACAAGAGAGATACAACAACCACTGTTTGGGAAACCGTTTCAGCTACTGTTGCAAGAACTACACTGAAGGTGACTAAACTGAAAACTGGTTCAGAATACCAGTTCAGAATATTTGCTGAGAACAGGTATGGGCAGAGCTTTGCATTGGAATCTGCGCCAGTTGTAGCACAGTACCCCTACAAGGAACCAGGACCTCCTGGCACACCATTTGTGACAACAGTTACAAAAGACTCCATGGTCGTACAGTGGCATGAACCAATAAATGATGGTGGCAGTAGAGTGTTGGGTTATCATCTTGAGAGAAAGGAGAAAAACAGCATTTTATGGACTAAAGTGAACAAGACTATTATTCAGGACACAAGTTTTAAGACAAGTAACCTTGAAGAAGGTATTGAATATGAGTTTCGAGTTTCTGCAGAAAATATTGTTGGTGTAGGCAAAACAAGTAAAGTTTCTGAGTGCTATGTGGCTCGTGACCCATGTGATCCTCCAGGTCGCCCAGAAGCTATAATAATAAAAAGAAGCTCTATTACACTACAGTGGACCAAACCAGAATATGATGGTGGAAGTAAGATTACTGGCTATATTGTAGAGAAACGTGATTTACCAGATGGTCGCTGGATGAAAGCTAGCTTCACAAATATCATTGAAACTCAGTTCACTGTAACAGGACTTACTGAAGACCAAAGATATGAATTTAGAGTGATTGCAAAGAATGCTGCAGGTGCAATAAGCAAACCTTCTGACAGTACAGGACCAATAACAGCAAGGGATGAAGTTGAACTTCCACGAATTTCAATGGATCCAAAGTACAAAGACACAATTGTTGTAAATGCTGGTGAAACATTCAGACTTGAGGCCGATGTTCACGGAAAGCCACTACCAAGCATTAAGTGGTACAAAGGAGATAAAGAGCTGGAGGAAACTGCTAGATATGAAATAAAGAACACAGATTTCAGTGCATTAATAGTTGTAAAAGATGCTATTAGAGTTGATGGTGGACAGTACATTTTAGAAGCCTCTAATGTTGCAGGAACAAAGACAGTACCAGTAAACGTAAAAGTCCTGGACAGGCCAGGCCCTCCAGAGGGTCCAGTCCAAGTGACAGGAGTTACAGCTGAAAAATGTTCATTGGCATGGGCTCCTCCTCTTCATGATGGTGGCAGTGATATTTCTCATTACATTGTGGAGAAGAGAGAAACTAGTCGCCTAGCATGGACTGTTGTTGCTTCAGAGGTTTTACCTACAATGCTGAAAGTAACAAAACTCTTGGAAGGAAATGAATATGTTTTCCGTATTATGGCAGTTAACAAATATGGGGTTGGTGAGCCATTAGAATCTGCACCAGTAATGATGAAAAATCCATTTGTGATTCCTGGACCACCAAAGGCCTTGGAAATTACCAACATCACAAAGGATTCTATGACCGTCTGCTGGAGCCGGCCAGATAGTGATGGCGGTAGTGAAATCATAGGTTACATTGTAGAAAAGAGAGACCGAGCAGGTATCAGATGGATAAAATGCAATAAGCGCCGAATTACAGATTTGCGATTAAGAGTTACAGGATTAACAGAGGACCATGAATATGAATTCAGAGTTTCTGCTGAAAATGCTGCTGGACTGAGTGAACCAAGCCAAGTTTCTCCTTACTTTAAAGCTTGTGACCCCATGTTCAAGCCTGGCCCACCTACAAACGCCCATGTTGTGGATACCACCAAAAGTTCAGTTACACTTGGTTGGAGTAAACCTATTTATGATGGTGGTTGTGAAATCCAGGGATACCTTGTAGAAATCTGTAAAGCAGATGAAGAGGAATGGTCACTTGTTACTCCACAGACAGGTGTGCGTGCCACTCGATTTGAAATCAAAAAGCTCATTGAGCATCAGGAATATAAGTTACGAGTGTGTGCCCTCAACAAGGTTGGTGTAGGAGAGGCTGCATCTGTTCCTGGTACTATTAAGCCAGAAGACAAACTTGAAGCTCCAGAGCTTGATATTGATTCAGAGCTAAGGAAAGGGATAGTGGTTAGAGCTGGTGGGTCCGCTAGGATTCACATACCATTCAGGGGACGACCAACACCTGACATCACATGGTCTCGAGAAGAAGGTGAATTCACAGAAAAAGTTCAGATTGATAAAGGCATAAACTACACACAACTTTCCATTGACAACTGTGATAGAAATGATGCTGGAAAGTACATTCTTAAGTTGGAGAACAGCAGTGGTTCTAAATCTGCGTTTGTTACAGTAAAAGTCTTGGACACACCAGGACCACCACAAAACTTAGTGGTAAAGGATATAAAGAAGGATTCTGCTGTACTATCTTGGGAACCGCCCATTATCGATGGTGGCGCAAAGGTAAAGAACTATGTAATAGACAAGCGTGAGTCAACCAGGAAAGCATTTGCAAATGTAAGTGCTAAGTGTGGCAAGACAAGTTTTAAAGTTGAAAATCTTACAGAAGGAGCAATTTATTACTTCAGAGTTATGGCTGAAAATGAATTTGGAATTGGTGTTCCAGCTGAAACCGCAGATGCTGTCAAAGCCTCAGAGCCACCTCTGCCTCCTGGGAAAGTAACACTCACTGATGTGACTCAGAGAAGTGCATCACTTGCATGGGAAAAACCCGAACATGATGGAGGTAGCAGAATTTTGGGATACATTGTTGAAATGCTGCCTAAAGGAACAGAAAAATGGAGTGTTGTTAGTGAGACCAAAACATGCAATGCAGTTGTGTCTGGTTTGAGTCCAGGACAGGAATATCAATTTCATGTTATTGCCTACAATGAAAAAGGAAAAAGCGATCCCAGAGCACTTGGAATTCCTGTGATAGCTAAAGATTTGACAATTGAGCCAAGTTTCAAACTGATGTTTAATACATACAGTGTACAGGCTGGAGAAGACCTGAAGGTAGAAGTACCATTTGTAGGTAGACCCAAACCTACCATTACTTGGACAAAAGATGAGCAGCCACTGAAACAGACAACCAGAGTACATATTCAGGATACATCAACATCAACTATCTTACATATTAAAGAAAGCAATAAGGAAGACTTTGGTAAATATACAGTAACAGCAACAAACACAGCAGGTACAGCAACAGAGCACCTGAGCATAATTGTACTAGAAAAGCCTGGCCCACCACGAGGACCTGTCCGCTTTGACGAAGTTAGCGCAGACTTTGTTGTTTTATCATGGGATCCACCTGATTATACAGGAGGCTGTCAGATAAGCAACTATGTAGTAGAAAAGCGTGACACAAGCACTACCACATGGAGCATTGTGTCAGCAACTGTTGCAAGAACAACTATCAAAGCAACAAAGCTTAAAACAGGATCTGAATACCAGTTCAGGATTTCTGCTGAAAATAGATATGGGAAGAGCTCTCCCTTGGATTCTAAACCAGTTGTTGTGCAATACCCCTACAAGGTGCCTGGGCCACCTGGAACGCCATTTGTAACAGCAGCTTCCAAGGACCATATGATTGTACAATGGCATGAACCAGTTAATGATGGAGGAAGCAAAGTTCTTGGCTACCACCTTGAACGTAAAGATAAGAACAGCATTCTTTGGACAAAACAGAACAAGTCACTCATTGCAGATACCAAATATAAAACAGATGGCCTTGAAGAAGGTCTTGAATATGAGTTCAGAGTTTCTGCTGAAAACATTGTTGGCATTGGAAAAGTCAGCAAAGTATCAGAACTGTATGTTGCCCGAGATCCTTGTGACCCCCCTGGCCGCCCAGAGGCCATTGTTGTTACAAGAAATAATATCACGCTGAAGTGGAAAAAACCAGAGTATGATGGTGGAAGCAAAATAACTGGATATATTGTAGAAAAGAAAGAACTACCAGATGGTCGCTGGATGAAAGCCAGCTTCACAAATGTGTTGGAAACAGAATTTACAGTAAGTGGTCTTGTTGAAAACCAACGATATGAATTCAGAGTAATTGCAAGAAATGCAGCAGGTTGCTTGAGTGAACCATCTGAAAGTACAGGGCCCATTACTGCCAGAGACGAAATTGAAGCACCAGGGGCTTCACTAGATCCTAAATACAAAGATGTCATTGTTGTTCATGCTGGAGAAACCTTTGTTCTTGAAGCTGATATCCATGGCAAACCTATTCCTGACATTACATGGTCAAAAGACGGCAAAGACCTTGAAGAAGCAACTGCAAGAATGGAAATTAAATCTACCATTCAGAAAACAACTCTTACTGTCAAAGACTGTGTAAGAGTAGATGGAGGTCACTATACTCTTAACCTCAGAAATGTTGGTGGCACAAAATCTATACCAATCACTGTAAAAGTGCTTGACAGGCCAGGACCTCCAGAAGGACCTTTGAAGGTTACAGGCATCACTGCAGAAAAATGTTACTTGGCATGGGCTCCGCCTTTACATGATGGTGGTTCTAGTATCTCACATTATATCATTGAGAAGAGAGAGACAAGCAGGCTTTCATGGACACAAGTAGCAACAGATGTACAGGCTCTTAACCACAAAGTAACCAGGCTCCTTGCTGGCAATGAGTACATTTTCCGTGTAATGGCAGTGAACAAATATGGAACTGGAGAACCCTTGGAATCTGAGCCAATTGTGGCTCGTAATCCATACAAACCCCCTGGTCCTCCTTCAACACCTGAAGTTTCAGCGATCACAAAAGATTCTATGGTGGTAACATGGGGTCGCCCAGAAGACAATGGGGGAGCTGAAATTGAAGGTTACATACTTGAAAAACGAGACAAAGATGGTATCCGGTGGACCAAATGCAATAAGAAAAGGCTGACGGACTTGCGATTCAGAGTAACAGGTCTTACCGATGGGCATTTCTATGAATTTAGAGTTTCTGCTGAAAATGCTGCAGGGGTAGGGGAACCCAGTGAGCCATCTGTTTTCTATCGTGCTTGTGATGTATTATATCCACCAGGTCCACCAAGCAACCCAAAGGTTACAGACACTTCCAGGTCATCAGTTTCCCTTGCCTGGAGTAAGCCCATTTATGATGGTGGTGCTCCAGTTAAGGGATATTTAGTAGAAGTAAAAGAAGCTGCTGCTGATGAATGGACTACCTGCACCCCGCCAACAGGTCTACAAGCAAAACAGTTCACAGTAACAAAACTTAAAGAGAACAAGGAGTATAACTTCCGCATCTGTGCCATCAACTCAGAAGGAGTAGGAGAACCTGCTACTATACCTGGTACAGTTATAGCAGCGGACAAGATTGAGCCTCCTGAAATTGAACTTGATGCAGATCTCAGGAAAGTAGTCACCGTACGTGCTAGTGCTACATTACGCCTGTTTGTCACCATCAAAGGAAGACCAGAACCTGAAGTTAAATGGGAGAAAGCAGAAGGAACAATTAGTGAGCGAGCTCAGATTGAAGTTACTGGTTCCTATACAATGCTGGTCATTGACAATGTGAACAGATTTGATAGTGGTAGATACAATCTTACTTTAGAGAACAACAGTGGCAAAAAATCAGCTTTTGTTAATGTCAGAGTGCTTGATACACCTAGTGCACCTGTAAACCTGACAGTCAGAGAAGTGAAAAAAGATTTTGTAACATTAGCCTGGGAACCACCACTTATTGATGGCGGAGCTAAAATTACCAACTATGTAGTTGAAAAGCGAGAATCCACCAGAAAGGCATATGCCACAATTACAAACAACTGCACTAAGAATTCCTTCAAAATTACTCAGCTACAAGAAGGATGTAGTTATTTCTTCCGTGTTCTAGCTGTAAATGAATATGGGGTTGGCTTACCAGCAGAAACACCTGACCCAATTAAGGTTTCTGAACCGCCATCTCCACCTGCAAAGGTCGTTCTTGTTGATGTGACTCGCAACTCTGCTTCAATTAAATGGGAAAAGCCCGAGAGCGATGGTGGCAGTAAAATTACTGGTTATATAGTAGAAATGCAAACTAAAGGTAGTATAAAATGGAGTGCTTGTACGCAGGTAAAAACATTAGAAGCAACAATAACAGGCTTAAGTATGGGAGAAGAGTACAGTTTCAGAGTGATTGCTGTTAATGAAAAAGGAAAAAGTGATCCAAGAGAACTTGGTGTCCCAGTCATTGCAAAAGATATTGAAATCCAGCCATCTGCTGAGCTCCTTTTCAACACATTCACTGTGAAAGCTGGAGATGATCTTAAGATTGATGTGCCATTCAGAGGGAGACCTCTTCCAACCGCCAGCTGGAAGAAGGATGGGAATCCCTTAAAAGAGACAACCAGGGTAAATGTTCAGACATCAAAGACTTCAACTTCACTGTCCATCAAGGAAGCTTCAAGTGAAGATTTGGGACATTATGAATTACATCTTTCAAACACTGCTGGATCAATAACAGCTTCTTTAACTGTAGTTGTCCTTGACAGACCAGGACCACCAACTGATGTGCATATTGATGAAGTTAGTGCTGATAGTGTAACTGTATCTTGGAAACCTCCAGCATATGATGGTGGATGCCATATTAGCAATTACATTGTGGAGAAACGAGAAACTACCACCACAACATGGGATGTAGTATCTGCAGCAGTTGCAAGAACATCAATTAAAGTATCTCGACTTGTCACGGGCTCTGAATATCAGTTCCGTATTTGTGCAGAAAACCGCTATGGGAAAAGCACTTACAATAATTCTCCTTCTGTTGTGGCAGAGTATCCATTTAAGCCTCCAGGACCACCTGGAACTCCTCATGTGGCACATGCAACTAAAGTTTTCATGATTGTAACTTGGCAAGTTCCAGTTAATGATGGAGGTAGCAGAGTACTAGGATATCACTTGGAGCGTAAAGAAAGAAGCAGCATTCTTTGGACAAAAGTCAACAAGAGCCTTATACCTGATACACAAATGAAAGTTACAGGTCTTGATGAAGGACTGATGTATGAATACCGGGTATATGCTGAAAACATTGCTGGAATAGGCAAATGCAGTAAATCATGTGAACCAGTTGCTGCAAGAGATCCATGTGATCCTCCTGGTCAACCAGAAGTTACTAATATTACAAGAACATGTGTCTCACTGAAATGGACTAAACCAGAATATGATGGTGGAGCTAAAGTAACAGGATATATTATTGAACGCAGAGAGATACCAGATGGTCGTTGGCTAAAGTGTAGTTTCACCAATGTGCAAGAAACATACTTTGACGTAGGTGGACTTACAGAAGACCAGAGATATGAATTCCGTGTGATTGCAAGGAACGCTGCTGGACTCTTCAGTCAGCCATCTGAATCAACTGGACCTGTGACTGTAAAAGATGATGTAGAGGCTCCAAGAATTATGATGGATGTCAAATTCAGGGATGTTGTAGTTGTGAAAGCTGGAGAAGTGTTTAAAGTCCATGCTGATATTGCAGGACGGCCAATACCAGTGGTTTCATGGACAAAGGATGGCAAAGAGCTTGAAGGAAAAGCTAGAGTTGAAATAGCCTCAACAGATCACACTACTGCAATAACTGTTAAGGATTGTATCCGAGGTGATTCAGGACAGTATGTATTAACATTACAAAATGTCGCAGGAACAAGATCTTTGACAATTAATTGCAAAGTACTTGATAGACCAGGCCCACCTGCAGGACCACTAGAAATAAATGGCCTTACTGCGGAAAAGTGCCACTTATCATGGGGACCCCCTCAAGAAAATGGTGGTGCAGATATTGATTATTATATTGTAGAAAAACGTGAGACCAGCAGAATCGCATGGACACTTTGCGAAGGAGAGCTTAGAACAACATCCTGTAAAGTGACAAAACTATTGAAGGGTAATGAGTATATTTTCAGAGTGATGGGAGTTAACAAATATGGCACTGGTGAGCCTCTAGAAAGTGTTGCTGTCAAGGCCCTAGACCCATTTACAGTTCCAAGTCCACCTACATCTTTAGAGATCACCAATGTGAGCAAAGATTCAATCACTCTGTGCTGGGCAAGACCTGAGTCTGATGGAGGCAGTGAGATCTCTGGCTATGTAATTGAAAGGCGTGAGAAAACTAGCCTAAGATGGATCCGTGTAAACAAGAAGCCAGTTTATGATTTAAGAGTGAAATCATCTGGTCTCCGTGAAGGATGTGAATACGAATTCCGGGTTTATGCAGAAAATGCTGCTGGCCTCAGTCTTCCAAGTGAAACCACACCATTGATTCGGGCAGAAGATCCAATCTTCTTGCCATCTCCCCCATCTAAACCTAAGATTATGGATTCTACAAGGTCAAATATCACAATTGGGTGGACAAAGCCACTTTTTGATGGAGGTGCTCCAATAACAGGATACACAGTTGAATACAAGAAAACTGATGAAACCGATTGGACAACTGCTATTCAGAACTTAAAAGGCACAGAATACACCATAACTGGATTAGCAGCAGGCTCTGAGTATGTCTTTAGAGTGAAATCCATTAACAAAATTGGTGTCAGTGAACCAAGTGATATCTCAGAACCTCAGATGGCAAAAGAAAGAGAAGAAGAACCTGCCTTTGATATAGACAGTGAAATGCGGAAGACTTTAATTGTAAAGGCTGGTGGATCATTCACAATGAGTGTTCCTTTCAGAGGCAAACCAGTCCCAAATGTAACATGGAACAAACCAGACACTGATCTCCGTACACGAGCAAGCATTGATACTTCAGATAATAGAACATCTCTTACTATTGAAAAAGCAACAAGAAATGATTCTGGAAAATACACATTGACATTGCAAAACATCCTGAACACTGCTACCTTGACTTTAATTGTCAAAGTTCTTGATACTCCTGGCCCACCATCTAATATTGCAGCAAAAGATGTAACTAAAGAATCTGCTGTGTTATCTTGGGATGTTCCTGAAAATGATGGTGGAGCACCTGTAAAGAACTATGTTATTGAAAAACGAGAAGCTAGCAAAAAAGCATGGGTCACTGTGACAAACAATTGTCATCGCCTGTCTTACAAAGTGACCGGCTTGCAAGAAGGTGCCATTTACTACTTCCGTGTTTCTGGAGAAAATGAGTATGGTGTTGGAGTGCCTTCTGAGACCAAGGAGGGAACTAAAATAACAGGTATGTTTTACTAAGAAAAATATTTGTTAATATTTAAAACATTATTTGTTTTTAAATGTGTGCTTCAAAGTAATATAAAAAGTGTTAAATCTGTTCACAGTAAAAAAAAAGATACTTTTGTAGTAGATATGTCTGTGGTTTTACAAATGAAAAAGAGCTAATAGCTTGAATTGTAAAGTTTGCCTGAACTTGACTTAAAATGTTTTTACTATACAAATTCATTTAAAACCACATTTTCTGAATCCAGATGGCATTCTCATGTAATTGCTAATATAAAAGTAAACACTTGCTCTATTGCTTAACCTGTTGCATTTGTTCCTCAGAAAAACCCAGCCCACCAGAAAAACTTGGAGTAACAAATGTCACAAAGGACAGCGTTTCTCTTTCATGGCTAAAACCAGAACATGATGGTGGAAGCAGAATTGTGAGCTACCTCGTAGAAGCTCTTGAGAAAGGACAGCAAAAATGGGTTAAGTGTGCAGTTGTAAAGACAACTCATCATGTTGTCCATGGTCTTAAGGAGAATATTGACTATTTCTTCAGGGTGTCAGCAGAAAACCAAGCTGGTTTAAGTGATCCTAAGGAACTATTGCTCCCTGTTACGGTGAAAGAACAATTAGGTATGCTTCCTGACGTGAGAAAAAAGTTGATACACATTAAATTGGATTTATATTTATAAAGAAAGAACATTTTTAATGGTTCGAAAATGTTTTCTTTTTCAGAATCTCCCGAGATTGACATGAAGGGCTTCCCTCATAACACTGTATATATTCGAGCGGGATCAAACCTGAAAGTTGAAATTCCAGTTTCTGGAAAACCACTGCCGAAGGTGACGTTTTCTAGAGATGGTGTTCCACTGAAACCTACCATGAGATTTCACACAGAAACCACTGCAGAAAGTTTCATCATTAACCTTAAAGAAAGTGTGGCTGCTGATGCTGGCAAATATGACATTACCGCTGCCAACTCAAGTGGAACCACAAAATCATTTGTTAATATTGTTGTGCTGGATAGACCAGGTCCTCCTGTTGGTCCAGTTGTCCTTAGCGATATCACTGAAGAGAGTGTAACACTCAGATGGCAGCCACCAGCTTATGATGGTGGAAGTCAAGTTACCAACTATATTGTACTGAAAAGAGAAACAAGCACTGCTGCTTGGTCTGAAGTGTCTGCAACTGTTGCTAGAACTGTTATTAAAGTCATGAAGCTCACAACAGGAGAAGAATACCAATTCCGCATCAAAGCTGAGAACCGCTTTGGCATCAGCGATCACATAGATTCACAGTGTGTGGTTGTCAAGCTTCCTTACAGTGAGTAATATGCTTCTCATGCTATAGGTCAATGTTTTAATGCTCTGATGTTGAAAAAATCATTTTGTTAACAATTATTCACTTCTTTTGATATCATCAGCTATCCCTGGACCACCTTCCACACCATGGGTCACAAATGTCACCCGAGAGAGTATTACTGTTGGATGGCACGAACCAGTCACTAATGGTGGCAGTGCAGTCATTGGATACCACCTGGAAATGAAAGACAGGAATAGCATATTATGGCAGAAGGCCAACAAGACCCTCATTCGCACAACTCACTTCAAAGTCACCACCATCAGTGCTGGCCTTATCTATGAATTTAGAGTTTATGCAGAAAATGCCGCTGGCATTGGAAAAGCAAGTCATCCTTCTGATCCAGTCCTTGCAATTGATGCTTGTGGTATGTATTCTCTAGAAAAAAAAGAAACCCAACCATTTAAGTAGTGTGGGGTTTTTTTTCCCTGTGATATTCTGTCCTGTACAGTAAGCCAATATCCAAAACATATTCATTAGTCATTAACAATTCTCTGTTATTCATTAGCAATACTGTTATGTTTCATACTGCAGAACCACCAAGAAATGTTCGTGTCTCAGATATTTCCAAGACTGCTATCACTCTGTCATGGCAGAAGCCAGCATTTGATGGTGGTAGCAAGATCACTGGATACATCGTAGAAAAACGTGATCTTCCAGATGGCAGATGGACAAAAGCTAGCTTCACCAATGTTATTGAGACTCAGTTCACAGTATCTGGTCTGACACAGAATTCTCGGTATGAATTCCGGGTCTTTGCTAAGAATGCTGTTGGTTCCATTAGTAATCCTTCAGATGTCGTGGGTCCTATCACCTGTGTTGACACATATGGTAAGTGTTTTGCACTGATGGAACAGTACTGATTTGTGGTACTAGGAAGCTTAAAGGCAGCGCTGTTTTGTAGAACCGTAGTGTTTTAAATATGGAAGGCCAGTTTACAGGGATTGATTCAATAAGCTTGAATGACTGTGAGCTATTTGGGTGTGATTATAATGAACCTCTTTGGCTGTATCTGCATTTGTAAAGTCTTAACAGTATCTTTATTCTTTGAGCAACAGAAGTCTACCCAGGCCCCATGGCCAAAATGGTTATATTTATACATGTGGTCTCCTTTTATTGGTAGGATGAGTTCTAAATTGTTCTAGGTTTATGATTTAAGTTATACATGCTATCTTTACTTTGATCTCTATTTATAAAATGCCTGTAACTTAAATAAAGTACTATTATTCTGTTTTTATTAAATACAAGTCTAAAATAATTAAGGTTTTAATTTTTTCTTATTCTTACTTTTTCTTAAGGTGCACCTGAAATTGATGTGCCACCAGAATATACAGAAGTGGTGAAGTATAAAGCAGGAACTTCAGTTAAGCTAAAACTAGGCATCTCAGGAAAGCCTATACCCACAATTGAATGGTTCAAAAATGGCAATGAGATACAAACCAGTGCACTGGTGTCTATTGAAAACACAACAGAATTTGCTTCTATACTCATCAAGGATGCAACTCGACTCAACAGTGGCACTTATGAATTAAAATTGAAGAATGCCATGGGTTCAGCATCAGCCCATGTTAGAGTACAGATACTTGGTATGTCTTAAGATATGACTGCATTACACTATTAAACAATAATTCAATAATAAATACTTAACAACTACTTTCTTCTACCTTCTACAGACAAACCAGGACCCCCAAGTGGACCTATACAGTTTAAGACAGTCACTGCTGAAAAGATTACAATAATGTGGGACCCACCAGCAGATGATGGTGGTGCACCTGTAACACACTATGTTGTTGAAAAGCGGGAGACAAGTCGGGTTGTATGGTCTTTAATTTCTGAAAAACTGGAAGGCTGTATTGTAACTACAACAAAACTAATCAAAGGAAATGAATATGTGTTCCGTGTCCGTGGTGTGAACAAGTTTGGAGTTGGTGATTCACTGGAGTCTGAACCCGTTATAGCCAAAAATTCATTTGGTAAGAAGCATATAAAATAACATATAACTTAATCAGCTTGTGTATTATTTGTAAGCAGTACTTATCTACTGACTTTTTTTTTTTTACTCAGTTACACCTGGACCACCTAGTGTACCAGAAGTCACAACGATAACCAAGAATTCTATGACTGTTGTCTGGAATAGGCCCATTGTTGATGGAGGCAGTGAAATATCGGGATATTTTCTTGAGAAGCGCGACAAGAAGAGTCTGAGTTGGTTCAAGGTTACTAAAGAAACCATTCGGGACACCAGACAGAAAGTAACAGGTCTGACCGAAAACAGCGAGTATCATTTCCGAGTTTGTGCTGTCAATGCAGCTGGACAAGGTCCATTCTCTGAAGCTTCTGATTTCTACAAAGCTGCAGATCCTGTTGGTAAGATACATGCAGTATTTCTAACTGGTTAGAAATCAATGAGCAATTAGGATGTGATTGCACCAACGTAACTGAGGGCAGATTTTATTCCTCTTTATGATTAATTGTAAATATGGCTTCTGATTTTTGTTTTTTTCCCCCATAAATTGTCACTTACAGATAAGCCAGGTTCGCCAACAAAGCTGAAGGTTGTGGATACAACCAAGACATCTGTCACCCTTGGCTGGATTAAACCTGCTTATGATGGAGGAAGTCCAATTACCAACTATGTGGTGGAGAAAAGGGAAGGTGAAGAGCAAGAATGGACTGTAGTCAGTACTAAGGGAGAAGTGAGAACAACAGAATATGTTGTATCCCACCTGCAGCCAAGTGTTAATTATTATTTCCGCGTGTCTGCTGTAAACTGTGCTGGACAAGGAGAACCTATTGAAATGACGGAACCTGTTCAAGCTAAAGATATTCTTGGTACTGTACTTTTCAGTGATTTATCATTTTTCTGTGTTTGGGGTTTTTTTCAAAGCATTTCTTGTTTTACATTCCAAGTATGCACTATTAATTTTTACTTATTTCCACAGTGGCGCCAGAGATTGATCTGGATGTTGCTCTCCGGACCTCTATTGTTGCTAAAGCAGGTGAAGATGTGCAGATAATGATTCCATTCAAAGGAAGACCTCCTCCAACAGTCACATGGAGAAAGGGTGACAAAAATCTTGGGATTGATGAAAGATATATTATCCAGAACACAGAATCATCTACACTACTTACTATTCCTCAAGTTACCCGAAATGATACAGGAAAATACGTTCTTACAATTGAAAATGGAGTTGGAGAAGCAAAATCATCATTTGTGAATGTAAAAGTACTGGACACACCATCTGCCTGCCAGAAGCTGCAGCTTAAGCATGTTTCTCGTGGCACAGTTACACTGGTATGGGAGCCACCTCTCATTAATGGTGGTTCTGAAATAACAAATTATGTTGTTGAAAAAAGAGATGCTACAAAGAGGGCCTGGTCAACTGTAACAACAAAGTGTTCTCATACCACCTTTAAGCTAACTAACCTGTCAGAGAAGACTGCGTTCTTCTTCCGTGTTCTTGCTGAAAATGAAATTGGACTGGGTGAACCTTGTGAGACATCTGAACCAGTGAAAGCTGCAGACATACCCGGACCTGTGAAAGACCTAGCCATGAAAGATTCTACAAAGACCTCTGTTAAGTTGCAATGGAGCAAACCTGACTACGATGGTGGTAGCATTATATCGGACTATGTTATTGAAAAGAAACTCCAGGAAGAAAAGGAATGGACATATGCAGGCACAAGTAAGAGCTGTGAATTTGAAGTTGAAAAACTTAAAGAGCTTTCTGTCATGGAATTCAGAGTCTTTGCTAAAAATGAAAAAGGCATGAGTGATGGTGTTACTGTTGGACCCATTACAGTGAAAGAATATACAATAACACCTGAAGCTGACCTTTCTGATATTCATGGAGGTCAAATTGCAGTAAGAATTGGACATAACCTGCACATTGAATTGCCCTATAAAGGTAAACCTAAGCCATCAATGAGCTGGCTCAAGGACAACCTCCCTCTTAAAGAAACTGAACACCTTCGTTTCAAGAAAACTGAAAATAAAATAAGTTTAAGCATCAAGAATGTGAAAAAGGAGCATGGTGGCAAATATACTTTAATTCTTGATAACGTAGTCAGCAGAAAAGCATTCACAATCACTGTCATCACTCTTGGCCCTCCATCTAAGCCAAAAGGACCTTTAAGACTAGATGAAATCAAAGCAGATAGTGTAGTTTTGTCATGGGAAGCTCCTGAAGATGATGGGGGAGGAGAAATTACTGGCTACAGTATTGAGAAGAGAGAAACTTCACAAATGAACTGGAAGCTGGTGTGTTCGAGTGCTGCAAGAACAACTTTCAAAGTACCAAACCTTGTTAAAGACACTGAATATCAGTTTAGAGTTCGTGCGGAAAACAGATATGGAGTGAGCCCACCTCTTGTCTCAGCAGATGTCGTGGCAAAGCATCAGTTTAGGCCACCAGGTGCCCCAGGCAAGCCTGTTGTATACAACATAACCGCTGATGGCATGACCATATCTTGGGATGCTCCTGTTTATGATGGTGGTTCAGAGATCATTGGATACCACGTTGAAAAGAAGGAAAGAAACAGTATTTTGTGGCAGAAGGTTAATGTTGCATTAATATCTAGCAGAGAATACAGGATTACTGGACTGCTTGAGGGCCTGGATTACCAGTTCCAAGTATATGCTGAAAACACTGCAGGTCTAAGCCGAGCTAGCGAGCCAAGCAAATTGACTTTGGCAGTCTCTCCAGTGGGTGAGTGAATGATTAATCACGCATGCAAGAAAATTCTAGTCTTGTAGACTATGATGAGCAGTAATAAAAATAAATTTTAATTATTTTCCTTTCAGACCCACCTGGTACTCCTGATTCCATTGATGTCACCAGGGAAACAGTCACCCTCAAATGGACCCCCCCACTTCGTGATGGAGGCAGTAAGATTGTGGCCTACAGCATTGAGAAACGGCAAGGAAGTGAAGACCGTTGGCTCAGATGTAACTTTACTGATGTCAGTGAATGCCAATATACAGTTACAGGACTCAGTCCAGGTGACCGATATGAATTCAGAGTACTTGCAAGAAACGCTGTTGGTACAATCAGCCCGCCTTCACAGTCATCAGGCTATATCATGACCAGAGATGAAAACAGTAAGAACTATTTTTTAATATGCTTGTATTTGGGTACTGAAGCCAGCTAGAGCTTCTGGTTGTAGTGATTGGAAATGGGAAACCAAGGGGGAAGAACGTGTGACTGAGGTCCTTCCAGTCAACTCAGAACATTTCTGTTTGTACTCCAAGGTTGGAGGGTCTAAATTAAAGACCCAAATCTGGCAGACACGTGTAATCAATTGCTGAAAGGCATAGCACTCTACATTTTTGTTGGATAATCAGCAGCAGTAAAATTGGAAAGAAATAATAAACTGTAATACTCTGATGCACTGAATAATTTAGAAATTAAAATGTGCCTCAGGCAGCTTGGCATACTGTAACAGCATATATTAATGGTGTCTTTCACCTATCGTTAATGTGATGCACCATTTGCTTAGAGGAAAAATAAGTATATAGTTCATATAACAACTGCTTCTTAGAGAATGCCATTTCCTAAATGAAAGAATTCTATATATAACAATCTTTTATAATTAGTACATTTAAAAGATTATCAGGAAAAAATACTTAGCTATATGGGAATTGAATTATATTTTCCTTCTTTAGTTGCTCCAACCATTGAATTTGGCGCTGAGCACTTTGAAGGCCTTACTGTTAAAGCCGGAGAGAGCATTAGACTTAAAGCTCTAATCAAAGGACGTCCAGTACCTAAAGTGACATGGTTTAAGGATGGTAAGGAGATTGAGAAAACAATGAGTATAGAAATAACTACAGCTATTGGATATAGTACAATCTTCATTAGAGATGCTACACGGGATCATCGTGGCGTGTACACAGTAGAAGCCAAAAATGCATCAGGCACTAAACGAGAAGATATTACCTTCAGAGTACAAGGTACTGCACCAAACACTTTCAGCATGCTCTTTTAGAATAGTATTTTACTCTAAGTGCCAGCAAATCATAATTCTGAACCTTTAACATTTCAGACACGCCAGGAAAAGTTGGTGGACCAATACGATTCACAAACATTACTGGAGAAAAAGTCACATTATGGTGGGAACCTCCGGCTAATGATGGTTGTGCTTCTATTTCTCACTACATAATTGAAAAACGTGAAACCAGCAGGATTGCTTGGGCATTAGTTGAAGATAAATGTGAAGCTTGCAGCTACACTGCACTTAAATTAATTAAGGGCAATGAGTACCAGTTCCGTGTCTCTGCAGTGAACAAATTTGGAGTTGGCAGACCATTGGAGTCTGATCCAGTTACTGCACAAATACCTTACAGTAAGTTTCGACCTCCTTCTGTAGAAATAACTGTGGAGTTATCATCTTGGTTTTCTAATGTCATTTTTCTTTTTTTAGCTCTCCCTGATGCACCAGGAACTCCAGAGCCTACCAATGTAACAGGAGACAGTATCACGCTCACATGGGCAAGACCAAAATCAGATGGTGGAAGTGAGATAAGGGAGTATATTCTAGAAAGGAGAGAAAAGAAGAGCATGCGCTGGGTTAAAGTATCCAGTAAGAGGCCTATTACTGAGAACAGATACAGAGTAACTGGCCTTGTTGAAGGCAATGAGTATGAATTCCATGTCATGGCTGAAAATGCTGCAGGAGTCGGACCTCCAAGTGACGTTTCAAAGCTGATTAAATGTAGAGAACCAGTCAGCCCACCGAGTGCTCCTAATATTGTAAAGGTGACAGACACATCAAAGACTAGTGTAAGCTTAGAGTGGACCAAGCCAGTTTTTGATGGAGGCATGGAAATAATTGGGTACATCATTGAGATGTGCAAAGCTGACCTCGAAGCATGGCAGAAAGTCAATGCAGAGACCGTTCTTGCTACTAAATATACTGTTGTTGATTTGGAGGCAGGAGAACACTATAAATTCAGAGTTAGTGCTGTCAATGGTGCTGGCAGAGGAGAAAGTTGTGAAGTTGCTGCTTCAGTCCAGACTGTGGACAGGCTTTCTGCACCTGAAATTGATATCGATGCAAACTTCAAGCAGACTCATATTGTAAGAGCAGGTGCAAGCATTCGTCTATTTATTGCCTTCTCTGGAAGACCTGTTCCTACTGCTGTGTGGTCCAAAGCAGATGCTAATCTTAGCTTGCGTGCTGACATTCAAACAACTGATTCATTCAGCACACTGACTGTGGAGGAATGTAATAGAAATGATGCTGGCAAGTATGTCTTTACTGTGGAAAACAACAGTGGAAGTAAGTCTATCACATTTACTGTCAAGGTTTTAGACACACCTGGTCCACCAGGTCCTATTACATTTAAAGATGTGACTCGAGGATCTATTACTTTAATGTGGGATGCTCCTGTTCTGGATGGAGGTTCACGCATCCATCACTATGTTGTGGAAAAACGGGAAGCAAGCCGTCGCAGCTGGCAAGTGGTGAGTTCAAAATGCACTCGACAAATCTTTAAGGTCACCGATCTGGCAGAAGGTGTGCCATATTACTACAGAGTGTCAGCAGAGAATGAATATGGTGTAGGTGAACCCTGTGAATTAACAGAACCAGTTGTAGCCACCGAAGAACCTGCTCCACCTAAGAGACTAGATATTGTTGATACAACCAAATCTTCTGTAGTTTTAGCTTGGCTTAAACCTGATCATGATGGTGGTAGCCGTGTTACTGGATACCTTCTTGAAATGAAACAAAAGGGATCTGACTCCTGGATTGAAGCTGGACAAACCAAACAACTTACTTTCACTGTTGAAGGCCTTGTGGAGAACACTGAATATGAGTTCCGGGTCAAGGCAAAGAATGATGCTGGCTACAGCGAGCCAAGAGAAGCTTTCTCTTCTGTTATTATTAAGGAGCCACAGATAGAACCAACAGCAGACCTCAGCGAAATAAGCAGACAGCTCATAACATGCAAGGCTGGAAGCACCTTTACTATTGATATACCAATCAGTGGGCGCCCAGCTCCAAAAGTGACATGGAAACTTGAGGAGATGAGGCTGAAGGAAACTGAGAGAGTGACCATCAAGACAACAAAAGACAGAACCACGCTGACTGTAAAGGACAGTATGAGAGGTGACTCTGGTAAATACTACCTCACACTTGAAAACACTGCTGGTGTGAAAACATTTACTGTCACAGTGGTAGTCATAGGAAGGCCAGGTCCTGTCACTGGCCCAATTGAAATATCATCTGTCTCTGCTGAATCCTGTGTGTTGACCTGGAAAGAACCTGAGGATGATGGTGGCAGTGACATTACAAACTACATTGTAGAGAAACGTGAATCTGGCACAACAGCATGGCAGCTGGTAAATTCCAGTGTGAAACGTACACAGATCAAAGTCACTCATCTCACAAAATACCAGGAGTACAGTTTCCGAGTAAGCTCAGAAAACAGATTTGGTGTCAGCAAACCTCTTGAATCAAAAACAATAGTTGCTGAACATCCATTTGGTAAGTGAAATACTTTTCAAAATTTGTTCTTTTCCTCTGACTGGACTATTTGTAATAACTAACATTTTCCTCCCCCTCTTTTTTGCGTTTAGTCCCACCAAGCCCACCTTCAAGGCCAGAAGTCTATTCTGTGTCTGCAACTGCCATGGCCATTCGCTGGGAGGAACCCTATCATGATGGTGGCAGCAAAGTTATTGGATATTGGGTTGAAAAGAAGGAGCGCAACACCATCCTTTGGGTGAAGGAAAACAAAGTGCCATGCTGTGAATGCAACTACAAAGTCACAGGATTGGTGGAAGGCCTAGAATATCAGTTCAGAACCTATGCTCTAAATGCTGCAGGTGTTAGCAAAGCTAGTGAAGCTTCCAGACCTGTAGTAGCTCAAAATCCAGTTGGTAAGTATTACTTTTAGAGTTCTGTTTTTATTTAAGCTAAAATAGAATTGAATTTCTCATTTTTCTGCTTTATTCCTCCAGATCCACCAGGAAGACCAGAAGTAACAGATGTCACCAGATCTACAGTGTCACTGAGCTGGTCAGCACCCCTTTATGATGGTGGAAGCAAAATTATTGGATATATTATTGAGCGTAAACCATATAATGAATCTGGTGATGGACGCTGGCTGAAATGCAATTATACCATTGTCTCAGAAAACTTTTTTACTGTGACGGCTCTTAGTGAAGATGAAGCATACGAATTCCGCGTACTAGCAAAGAATGCTGCTGGTGTGATTAGCAAAGGATCTGAATCGACTGGTGCTGTCATTTGCAAAGATGAATACTGTAAGAACTACTCACTAGGAACAATTAAAAACATAATGTTCTATTTTTAGTACTGTCTGGTAATTTGTTTTTAATCTCTTTGCCTTTTGACAGCACCACCAAAGGCTGAACTCGATGCCAGACTGCAGGGAGAAGTTGTGACCATTAGGGCTGGATCAGATCTTGTTCTCGATGCGGCCATTGGTGGGAAACCAGAACCAAAAGTCTTCTGGTCCAAAGGTGACAGGGAGTTGGATCTATGTGAAAAGATTTCTCTGCAATACACCAGCAAACGAGCCATTGCAATTATCAAGTTCTGTGACAGAAGTGATAGTGGAAAATACACTCTAACAGTTAAAAATGCCAGTGGGATGAAACAAATTTCTGTCCTTGTCAAAGTGCTTGGTATGTACCCCATGATTAATATTCATACTTAGTATACTAAAGAACCTACATTCTTTCAGAGTGAGATGCTTTTCCTTAGCTTCTAATAACAATATTTATTTTCATCTCTACCCAGACTCACCAGGTCCATGCGCTGGCAAAATCACTGTTAGCAGAGTAACAGAAGAGAAATGTACTCTGGCATGGCACATTCCTGAGGAAGACGGAGGTGCACAGATCACTCACTATATTGTAGAAAGGCGTGAAACCAGCAGACTTCACTGGGTTATTGTTGACGCTGAATGCCAGACTTTATCATGTGTGGTAACAAAACTTATTAAAAATAACGAATACATCTTCCGTGTGAGAGCTGTCAACAAATATGGACCAGGTGTTCCACTTGAAACAGAACCTGTGATTGCCAGGAATGCTTTCAGTGAGTGTTAATACCTTCCATTCTGCATCAGAATTTATGGAATATTTCTCATAGGTAAAAAATTTGTTAAATAATAATAATTTTTTTTTTCACCTTTAAAAAAAAAAAAAACCCAGCTATCCCAACACAGCCTGGTGCTCCTGAAGAAGTGAGTTTTGGCAAAGAACATATCATTATTCAGTGGACGAAACCAGAATCAGATGGCGGCAGTGAGATTAAGGACTATCTTGTGGACAAACGTGAAAGGAAAAGTCTGCGCTGGACACGAGTGAACAGAGATTACACTGTTTATGATACCAGACTGAAAGTCACTGGTCTCATGGAAGGCAGCCAGTACCAGTTCCGTGTCACTGCAGTGAATGCTGCTGGGAACAGTGAGCCTAGTGAAGCTTCACAATACATGTTATGTAAAGAACCATCATGTAAGTTACCACATTGAAAACATATTTTAATATTTACTTATAACAATGGAGTATAAACCCATGTTGACACTTTGACTAAGGTAACCAAAACCACGTATGATCTCACTGAACTTGCTAGTATTAGAATAAACTTAAAAGCAGTTATAGTTCATTTTAAATCCATTTCCTGGCATTAGCTGATTAGAAATTGTTTTTAAGTGTGAAATGTTTCCTGCACCAATGTGAAATCCATTTTCTTCTTTTTTAAAGATACTCCTGCACCACCTTCACCTCCAAGAGTTGTGGATACTACTAAGCACAGCATAAGTTTAGCATGGTCAAAGCCCACATATGACGGTGGTGCTGATATCTTAGGCTATGTTCTTGAAATGAAAGAAGAAGGTACTGAACAGTGGTATCGGCCACATACAACTGCCACTCTGAGGAATGCTGAGTTCACTGTGACTGGTCTTAAAACAGCCCAGAAATACCAATTCAGAGTTGCTGCTACAAATGTGAATGGTATGAGTGAATTTAGTGAATCATCAGCAGAAATAGAACCTGTGGAAAGAATAGGTAATGTGAAGACAATGTATATTTTAAGAAATAATTCTCTTTTCCTTTAAAACTACTGAAAGATTAATTAATTCCGTGTTTCTTACACCCTTCATCAGAAATACCTGAGCTTGAGCTTGCTGACGATTTGAAGAAGACTGTTACAGTCAGAGCTGGTGGTTCCTTGCGCCTAATGGTCTCTGTATCTGGCAGACCTGCTCCTGTAATCACATGGAGCAAGCAGGGTGTTGACCTTGTAAGTCGAGCTATTATTGATACTACAGACAGCTACACTCTGCTTATTGTGGATAAAGTTAATCGGTACGACGCTGGAAAATACGTCATTGAGGCTGAAAACCAATCAGGAAAAAAATCTGCAACTATTTCTGTAAAAGTGTATGGTAAGTACTGCTACAATTGCATGTGGGCATTACATCAGTCACAGTGCACATTGCTCAGGAATAAGGAAAGTCATTCATTTCCAAAAGAAGTTTGCAATTTAAATAACATGAGAATATTTGAGAAGTCAGAGAAACAATCTAATCCAAAGGAAAATACAGTTTCTAAAGCTGTGCTAGTTTATAAATCAAAACCCAGAACTGTTTTTTTTTAATGCAGAATTAGTCATTGACTGTAAAAGAAAAGGATCGAAAAAGAAAAAAAAAAATTTTTTGTGTGTGTGTTTTAGATACACCTGGTCCACCAGCTGCAGTGAGAATTAAGGAAGTATCAAAAGATTCTGTGACACTTACTTGGGATATCCCAACCATTGATGGTGGAGCCCCAGTCAACAATTATATAATTGAGAAACGTGAAGCTTCCATGAGAGCTTACAAGACTGTCACTACCAAATGCAGCAAGACATTTTATAGAGTTACTGGACTTCTAGAAGGAGCTTTGTATTATTTCAGAGTACTACCAGAAAATATTTACGGCATTGGTGAAGCTTGTGAAACATCTGATGCAGTACTAGTATCTGATGTCCCCATGGTACCACAAAAACTCGAAGTGATTGACACCACTAAATCAACTGTTACACTTGCATGGGAGAAGCCACCGCACGATGGTGGCAGCAGATTGACTGGCTATGTTATTGAGGCAAGCAAAGCTGGAACAGAGAGATGGTTGAAGGTAGTGACACTGAAGCCTACCGTCTATGAGCATACAATTATCTCTCTCAATGAGGGTGAACAGTACTTGTTCAGGGTCAGAGCACAGAATCAGAAGGGCGTGTCAGAACCACGAGAGATTGTCACGGCAGTGACAGTGCAAGACCAAAAAGGTAGGTATCTGCTGTTAAAAATAACCAGGTGAAGCTTACACCAAGTGAATGTGATAACTATAAAATGGATATTTAAAATATCAATTATTTGCTTTTCTTAGTTCTACCAACAATTGACTTTGCTGGAATACCTCAGAAGACAATTCATGTACCTGCTGGCAAGCCCATTGAGTTAGCTATTCCAATTGAAGGACGACCACCTCCAGCTGCATCTTGGTTCTTTGCTGGTTCTAAACTAAAAGAATCAGAACGCATCAAAATAGAGACTGCTGCCAAAATGACTAAATTAACTGTGCGTGAGACCACCATACATGACACAGGAGAGTATACGCTTGAACTGAAGAACACAACTGGAACAGTTACTGATACAATAAAGGTTATAATCCTTGGTAAGGATTTATGAAAATAATTGTCCATGATCTTTCTCCATCTGAACTTTGTTACATCAGCAATATGATTACTCTTCTCCACATTTTTTTTTGTCTTTTAATTTTCTTTTTTTTCTAGACAAACCTGGACCACCTGTTGGACCTATCCGAATTGATGAAATTGATTCAAATTATATAACCATCTCCTGGGAGCCACCTGAGCTGGATGGTGGAGCTACCCTTAGTGGCTATGTGGTAGAACAGCGTGATGCTCACCGTCCTGGATGGCTACCAGTTTCAGAGTCAGTAACCAGGACAACATATAAGTTCACCAGACTTGTTGAAGGTGCAGAATACGTGTTCCGTGTGGCTGCTACAAACCGTTTTGGAATCGGATCTTACCTGCAGTCTGAAATTATAGAATGCAAGAGCAGAATCCGTAAGTCTGAATTTTTGCTTGTTCTCTACCTTTAAAAATAAAAATATATATTTAAATGGGCTCATATGTCCACACATCGATACGATTTTTCTAGATGTTACTACTTCCTTTTGCCAAATAAAATGGTACATTATGATGCACAGTAGTCTTGTTATATTTCTGGAAAAAAATACCATCCATAAACTATATAGGTATTATAGATGCACTGTACAGAACCTGGATGGTAAACTTGGATTTTCTGCTCAGGTCTACCGTTAGCCTTAAAAATTGCTTTACCCGTTACAAAACCAGGGGTATTTCACTGACCTAGTTTGTACAGTACTTTGATATCTGCTGATAAAAAGAGTTTAATAGGACATTGATGTTACATTGTCATTCACAATATGTTGCATATTACCAATGTGTAGAATCATTTGATGCTTTCTTCACTAATTCCATGTTATGCTCTTACAGGTATTCCTGGTCCTCCTGGCACTCCAGAAGTGTTTGATATCTCTCGAGATGGCATGACATTAACTTGGTATCCTCCAGAAGATGATGGTGACTCACAGATTACGGGTTATATTGTGGAACGCAAAGAAGTTAGAGCAGATAGATGGATCCGTGTGAATAAAGTTCCAGTCACTATGACTCGTTACCGTTCCACTGGGTTGGTTGAAGGATTAGAATATGAACATCGAGTCACAGCAATCAATGCCAGAGGCACTGGGAAACCCAGCCGCCCTTCCAAGTCTGTTGTCGCCAGAGATCCAATTGGTAATTTCTTACATATATTTAGTACATTATGGCAGAAGGGAATGATACAAGTAAAATTTACTCTTTTTTTCTAATTTGCATATTTATCTGGGTGTATTAACAAATGAGATTCTGACTAGAGAGAAAACCAAGAAAATATTAGTGAAAATCTTCCATTCTAAGTTTTCCTGTATAAATGCTATAGACCTAATACAGATCATATGTTATAAGTTAGCATTTGTCACATCTTTTAAGTACTCACAAAAAAGATCCCAACACCCCCCATCTGATTTTCTCTTCCAGCTCCTCCAGGTAAACCTCAGAATCCAAGAGTCACTGATACTACAAGAACATCTGTCTCCCTGGCCTGGAGTCCACCAGAAGATGAAGGTGGTTCTAAAGTTACAGGTTACTTAATCGAGATGCAGAAGGTTGATCAATTTGAATGGACCAAATGCAATACCACACCAACCAAGATTCGTGAATACACCTTGACACATCTCCCCCAGGGTGCAGAGTACAGATTCCGTGTGCTAGCCTGTAATGCTGGTGGGCCAGGAGAACCTGCTGAAGTGCCAGGAACAGTCAAAATAACAGAAATGCTTGGTAAGGCACTTCGAATCTTAACTCTCATTGAAAGTTGTCCTAAAAAAGTATTTGCCTAAAGCAGGTATGATACCATCTGTAAAACAGACATAACATGACATGTTAATTTTGTTTACAGAATATCCTGACTATGAACTTGATGAAAAATACCAGGAAGGTCTCATGGTGAGACAAGGTGGAGTTATCAGGCTTACAATACCCATTAAGGGTAAGCCCATCCCAATATGCAAATGGACAAAAGAAGGACATGACATCAGCAAGAGAGCAATGATTGCGACTTCTGACACTCACACAGAACTTGTGATCAAAGATGCCGAAAGGGAAGATTCAGGCACCTACGATCTGGTACTTGAAAACAAGTGTGGCAAAAAAGCCGTGTATATTAAAGTCAGAGTGATTGGCATTCCAAATCCACCGGAAGGGCCACTTGAGTATGATGATATACAAGCTCGTTCTGTCAGAGTAAGCTGGAGACCTCCTACAGATGATGGCGGTGCAGATATCCTAGGTTATATTGTTGAGAGACGAGAAGTCCCGAAGACTGCCTGGTACACTGTTGACTCTAGAGTGAAAGGGACATCACTAGTGGTGAAAGGGCTCAAAGAAAATGTGGAATATCACTTCCGTGTTTCGGCTGAAAACCATTTTGGTATTAGCAAATCTCTCAAATCTGAAGAACCAGCAGTACCAAAGACACCTCTAAGTAAGTCCCTTTTAGATTTTTTTTAAAAAATACTTTTTAATTAATACATTATGGTTCTAAAAGTGCAATGGTATATACAAATATTTTAATGCTACATCACCATGATTTCTATTACTTTTTTAATTATAATTATTAACAGATCCTCCGGAGCCTCCAAACAACCCACCTGAAGTGCTTGATGCTACAAAGAGTTCTGTCAACTTGTCCTGGTCCAGACCTAAAGATGATGGTGGTTCTCGTGTAACTGGCTACTACATTGAACGTAAAGAGACATCTACAGAAAAATGGGTCCGGCATAATAAGACACAGATTACCACTACAATGTACACAGTCACGGGACTTGTTCCAGATGCTGAATATCAATTCCGTATCATTGCTCAAAATGACATTGGTGAAAGTGAAGCAAGTCCTGCTTCTGAACCAGTTGTATGCAAGGATCCATTTGGTAAGCAAACATTTGCATTAACAGATCTTCTGAAGAGCAACTTAGTGACGTTTAGAGAGGAATTTATTTTCTGTATCTATCTATTTTAATTTTCAGACAAACCAAGCCAACCTGGAGAAATTGAGATCACTTCTATATTTAAGGACAGCATTACATTAGAATGGGAAAGACCTGAAAGCGATGGTGGCAAAGAGATCCTTGGCTATTGGGTTGAATATCGCCAGTCTGGAGAAAGCACCTGGAAAAAATGCAATAAAGAACGCATCAAGGACAGGCAATTTACAGTAGGAGGTTTACTAGAGGCTACAGAATACGAGTTCCGTGTTTTTGCAGAAAACCAGACTGGCCTCAGCAGACCTCGAAGGACCGCTATGGCGGTGAAAACTAAATTAACATGTAAGCAAAAATATATTGTCATATTTGCTGTGATATTGTTGTGATTCACTGTGTCACAGTGCCGCACTTAACATGCTACCTATTTGTTTTACATGTTATTTGCCAACATGACTGTACTAAAGCACAGTCTTTTGAGTATAAGAGGCACAAGTACAAATTAAAATTAATTTCCAGTAATAGAGGATAATTTCATAGTAATCTTTATTATTTTTTCATTTTCTTTATTGTAGCTGGAGAAGCACCTGCCATAAGGAAAGAAATGCAGGATGTTACGACTAAACTGGGTGAAGCAGCTCAGCTGACATGCCAGATTGTTGGGAGACCTTTGCCTGATATTAAATGGTATCGCTTTGGCAAAGAACTGGTGCAAAGCCGAAAATACAAAATGTCATCTGATGGACGCAACCATACACTGACAGTAATAACAGATGAACAGGAGGATGAAGGTCTCTACACTTGCATGGCTACCAATGATGTCGGAGAAATTGAAACGAGTGGCAAGCTATTATTGCAGGCTTCTCCTCAGTTCCATCCTGGCTTCCCACTGAAAGAGAAATACTATGCAGGTGCAGGTGGCACTCTCCGCCTTCACGTTGTGTATATTGGCCGACCAGTACCAGCAATAACTTGGTTCCACGGCAACAAGCCTTTAAGAGGATCTGAAACTGTTACTATTGAGAACACAGAGCATTATACTCATCTTGCTATTAAGAATGTCCAGCACAAGACTCACGCTGGGAAGTACAAAGTGCAACTCAGTAACACATTTGGAACAGTTGACACTGTACTTAATGTGGAAATACAAGGTAATTAGTTTTATTTTCAGTATTTTGTGGAATATTTTCTCAAATATTTACTGACAAAAGAACCAAAAATATCATGCGTTTTATTTTACAGATAAGCCAGATAAACCAGTAGGGCCAATTGTTATAGAGTCTATACTGAAGAATTCTGTGGTCATAAGCTGGAAACCACCAGAGGATGATGGAGGTGCTATGATAACCAATTACATCATAGAGAAATGTGAAGCCAAGGAAGGAGCAGAATGGCAACTTGTATCTTCAAGTATTTCAGGCACAACCTGTAGAATTGTTAATCTAACTGAAAATGCAGGCTATTATTTCCGTGTTTCTGCTCAGAATACATATGGCATTAGTGAAGCACTGGAGGTTTCATCAGTTGTTGTTATGAAGCCTCCATTTGGTAAGTGGATGCCAAAATATTAATTTCTGTATGCCCCTGTAATTACTAAAGCAACCTCACTTCTATTTTTGTACCTTTTTATTGTTTACAGAAAAACCAGGACAACCTGGTCAGCCAGTAGCAAGTGCTGTCACAAAGGATTCTTGTGTTGTGTCATGGAAGCCACCTGCAAGTGATGGCGGTGCAAAGATTAGAACTTATTATCTTGAGAAGCGTGAGAAAAAACAAAACAAGTGGATTTCTGTAACAACAGATGAAATTCGTGAAACCGTCTATTCTGTGAAAGATCTTATTGAAGGTCTTGAATATGAGTTCCGTGTAAAATGTGAAAACCTTGGTGGTGAAAGTGAGTGGAGTGAGGTATCACAACCAGTTGTTCCAAAATCTGATGTACCAATTCAAGCTCCACATTTCAAGGAAGAACTAAGGAATCTGAACGTGAAATTTCAAGCTAATGCTACATTTGTCTGCAAAGTCACTGGTCATCCCAAACCAATTGTCAAGTGGTACAGACAGGGCAAAGAAATCATGCCAGATGGTGAAAAGATCAAGATACAGGAATTCAAGGGTGGCTATCACCAGCTGGTCATCACAAACGTAACAGATGATGATGCCACAGTATATCAAGTTAGAGCTACCAACCAAGGAGGATCTGTGTCTGGCACTGCCTCTTTGGACGTTGAAGGTGAATGAAGGGTCTTGACTCCTAAGACAAACTCTTTTTAAGCTTTGAATGTTTAGACTGTTGGTGTTCTCACGTGCTTTTGGTCATGTGTTGTTTTTTCTTCCTCTTTCTATTCCAGTTCCTGCAAAGATTCACTTGCCCAAAAACCTGGAAGGCATGGGAGCTGTTCATGCCCTTCGAGGGGAAGTAGTGAGCATCAAGATTCCATTCAGCGGCAAGCCTCACCCTGTGATCACATGGCAGAAGGGACAAGACCTCATCGATACTAATGGACACTACCAAGTCATTGTCACACGGTCATTCACATCTCTTGTTTTCCCAAATGGTGTTGACAGAAAAGATGCAGGGTTTTACATTGTTTGTGCCAAAAACAGATTTGGAATCGATCAAAAAACAGTGGAATTAGATGTGGCTGATGTGCCTGATCCACCAAGAGGTCTGAAGGTAACTGACATTTCAAGGGATTCAGTCAACTTAACCTGGAATGAACCAGCTACTGATGGTGGAAGCAGAATCATAAACTACATTATTGAGAAACGTGCTACAACAGCAGAGCGATGGATTCGTGTTGCACAAGCACGTGAAACACGATACACAGTGGTGAACCTATTTGGCAAGACCACCTACCAGTTCCGTGTAATTGCAGAAAACAAGTTTGGCCAAAGCCAGCCTTCTGAACCTACTGATCCAATTATAACAAAGGAAGATAAGACCAGAGTAATGAACTACGATGAAGAAGTTGATGAGACCAGAGAAGTCACTACAGTTAAAGCAGCTCACTATTCTACAAAGGAACTCTATGACAAATACATGATTGCAGAAGAGCTTGGACGTGGGCAGTTTGGCATTGCACACCGCTGCGTTGAGGCAGTTTCGAAAAAGACTTACCTGGCCAAGTTTGTCAAAGTAAAAGGTGCTGACCAAGTTTTGGTAAAGAAAGAAATTTCCATTCTCAACATTGCTAGGCACCGAAATATCCTGTATCTTCATGAATCATTTGAGAGCCTAGAAGAATTGGTCATGATCTTTGAATTCATTTCTGGAGTAGACATCTTTGAAAGAATGAGCACACCTTCATTTGAACTGAATGAAAGAGAAATAGTAAGTTATGTACGCCAGGTCTGTGATGCACTAGAATTTTTACATCGCCACAGCATTGGACATTTTGATATTAAACCAGACAATATTATTTACTTCACAAGAAGAAGCTCTGTGGTTAAAATTGTTGAATTTGGACAAGCAAGACAATTGAAGCCTGGAGACAGCTTTAGACTCCAGTTCACTTCTCCTGAATATTATGCGCCTGAAGTACATCATCATGATTTGGTCAGCACAGCTACTGACATGTGGTCAGTGGGTGCTCTAACATACATACTTCTCAGTGGCATTAATCCTTTCATTGCTGAAACAAACCAACAAGTTATTGAAAATATTCTAAATGCTGAATACAACTTTGATGATGAAGCATTCAAAGACATAAGCATTGAGGCCATGGACTTCATTGATCGCCTACTAGTAAAGGAAAGAAAAGCTCGTATGACAGCTGCTGAAGCGCTTAACCATGTGTGGCTAAAACAGCAGACAGAAAAGACCAGCACTAAAGTCATCAAGACCTTGAGGCACAGGCGTTACTACCAAACTCTAGTAAAGAAGGAGTGGAACACAGTTGTGTCAGTAGCCCGCATTTCCTGTGGAGGCGCGATTAGATCTCAGAAAGGCGTAACGGTGGCTAAAGTTAAAGTTGCGCCAATAGACATTGGTCCCATTGCCGGGCAGATAAAGCATGCTGTTACAGAAGAAGGAGGGCATGCCAAATATGTATGTAGGATTGAAAACTATGATCAGTCCACACAAGTCACATGGTACTTTGGTATGAGGCAATTAGAAAGCAATGAGAAATATGAAATCAAATATGAAGAAGGTGTGGCAACCATGTATGTCAAAGATGTTTCTAAATCCGACGATGGTACCTACAGATGCAAGGTAGTAAATGACTACGGTGAAGACAGCTCTTATGCAGAACTTTTTGTTAAAGGTGTGAGAGAAATTTCTGAGCACTACAGATGCAGAACTGTTAGGAAAGTGAAACGACGGGTTGATACTATGAGACTGCTAGAGCGTCCACCAGAATTTACTCTGCCTTTGTACAACCGCACTGCATACGTTGGAGAAAATGTCAGGTTCGGAGTAACTATAACAGTTCACCCAGAACCTCGCTTAACATGGTTCAAGTCAGGCCAGAAAATCAAACCTGGTGATGATGATAAGAAGTATACTTTTGAATCAGACAAGGGTCTTTATCAACTTGTCATCAATAATGTCACTGAAGAGGATGATGCTGAATACAGTATTGTGGCACGCAACAAATATGGTGAAGACAGCTGCAAAGCTAAGCTGACTGTGATTCCACATCCACCTCCAGCAGATGCCACACTAAGGCCAATGTTTAAAAGACTGCTGGCAAATGCAGAATGTCAAGAAGGCCAAAATGTCAGTTTTGAGATCAGGGTATCTGGTGTACCAAAACCAACACTGAAATGGGAAAAAGATGGTCAGCCTCTGTCCTTTGGTCCTAACTTTGATATAGTTCATGAAGGTTTAGATTATTATGCTTTGCATATCAGAGATACTTTACCAGAAGACAGTGGTTATTACAGAGTTACTGCTACAAACAGTGCTGGATCTACAAGCTGTCAGGCTTATCTAAAAGTTGAACGCTTGAAATATGTCAAACGTGAGTACAAGACTGAAGAAGAGAGGGAGAAGCATGTACAGAGGCAAATTGACAAGACCTTACGAATGGCAGAAATCCTTGCTGGGGTTGAAGCTGTTCCACTGACACAAACTGCACAAGAGGCTCTCAGAGAAGCTGCTACCTTGTATAAACCAGCTGTTAGCACCAAGACCGTCAAAGGTGAATACGAAATTAAGAAAGAAGAAAAGAAGGAAGAAAGACGACTTCGTATGCCATATGAGGTCCCAGAGCCTCGCAAACATGTGCGCACTACTCTTGAGGAAGATCAGAACATTAAACACTTTGTGCCTCTGTCAGACATGAAGTGGTACAAGAGGCTGCGTGACCAGTATGAACTGCCAGGAAAACTTGAGAGAACTGTTCAGAAACGCCAGAAACGCATACGTCTTTCCAGGTGGGAGCAATTCTACGTGATGCCGCTGCCACGCATTACTGATCAGTATAAGCCTAAATGGCGCATACCAAAGCTAACACAAGATGATCTCGAAATTGTAAGACCAGCACGTCGGCGTACCCCATCTCCAGACTATGAATATTACTACAGACCAAGAAGGCGATCACTTGGTGATTTGTCTGATGAGGAATTACTCCTGCCTATTGATGACTATTTAGCCATGAAGAGAACTGAAGAGGAAAGACTGCGCCTTGAAGAAGAGCTTGAGTTGGGCTTTTCTGCTTCCCCACCAAGTAGAAGCCCCCCACGCTTTGAACTGTCTGCCCTTCGGTATTCTACTGCAGCAGCACAGGTCCGTTCAGAGGAAGAAAGAAAAAGAGAGCTGAGATATTCAAGCTATCACATCCCAACTAAAGCTGAGACCAGTGCAAGCTATGCAGAGCTTCGTCAACGCCATGACAGGGCTGCCTACAGACCACCTAAACAAAAGCAAAGAATAATGGCTGAAAGAGAGGATGAAGAATTGCTCCGTCCTGTTGGCACTGCTCAACGACTCTCTGAATACAGGAGTGAGCTCGAATATATGGCAGAGGAGGAAAAGAGTAGACAAAGGAGAAGGAGGGAAAGGGAAATAACTGAGATCACATCAGAAGAAGAAGAAGAAATAGAAATGGTGCAACACGTTCACAGGGAATTTTCACCTCCCTCTAGATTACTAAGGAGAAGAAGATCTCTTTCTCCAACTTACATTGAATTGATGCGTCCTGTATCTGAATTAATTCGACCCCGCTCACGGCCTCCTGAAGAAAGTGAGAGAAGATCCCCAACACCAGAGAGAACTCGACCACGCTCACCTAGCCCAGTTTCTAGTGAAAGATCGCTCTCTCGGTTTGAAAGGATGGCAAGATTTGATATATTTTCTAGATACGAGTCCATGAAATCTGCTTTGAAAACTCAGAAAACTATGGAAAGGAAGTATGAAGTTCTGACTCAGCAGCCTTTCACCCTGGACCATGCTCCTCGCATTACCCTGAGAATGCGCTCACACCGGGTACCATGTGGCCACCATACCAGGTTCATTCTAAACGTCCAGTCAAAACCAACTGCTGAAGTGAAGTGGTACCATAATGGTATTGAGCTCCAGGAGAGCAGTAAGATACATTTTACTAATACCAGTGGTGTATTAACTCTGGAGATTCTTGACTGCCACATTGATGACAGTGGAACGTACCGGGCTGTATGCACAAACTACAAAGGGGAATGCTCTGATTATGCAACACTAGATGTTACTGGAGGAGATTACACTACATACTCTTCCCAGCGGAGAGATGAAGAAGTACCAAGGTCAATTTTACCTGACTTGACAAAAACAGAGGCATATGCGGTCTCCTCATTTAAGAAAGCATCTGCCACAGAAGCAAGTTCCTCAGTAAGAGAGGTCAAATCAGAAATGTCAGCAACAAGAGAATCACTTTTGTCATATGAACACTATGCTGCTTCTGAAGAAAAAATCACTGCAGCTGAAGAAAAATCATTGGAAGAAAGGACTGTACACAAAGCATTTAAAAGCACTCTACCAGCAACAATCCTTACAAAACCAAGATCGATCACAGTTTCTGAAGGGGAGACTGCAAGATTTTCCTGTGATGTTGATGGTGAACCAGCACCAAAAATAACATGGTTCCATGCAGGTCAACCTATTGTTTCTTCGAGGCGCTTCCAAGTAACAAGAACACAGTACAAGTCTACCTTTGAAATTTCTTCGGTCCAGATGTCAGATGAAGGAAGTTATACTGTTGTGGTGGAAAACTCTGAAGGAAGACAGGAAGCGCATTTTACTTTGACCATTCAAAGAACAAAAATTCCTGAAAAAACAATTACATCACCTCCAACAGTCAAATCTCCAGAGCCTCGTGTAAAGTCTCCAGACCGAGTTAAGTCTCCTAAACGAGTGAAATCTCCTGAACCAATCAGCAGCCCCCCAAAGGCGAAGTCACCACCTGGAGACAAAAAAGTACCATCAGAGAAAGTACAATTACCAGCTGCTTCTCCACCAAAGATAAAACAGCATCTGAAAGCAGAAACTGTTGGAGACAAGGTAAAGTTATCCTGTGCAGTTGAAAGCAGTGTTTTAGGTGTCAGAGAAGTGGCTTGGTATAAGGATGGAAAAAAACTGAAAGATGATCATCATTTCAAGTTTCATTATGCAGCAGATGGCACCTATGAGCTCAAAATCCATGAGCTCACAGAATCTGATAAAGGAGAATATACCTGTGAAATCACTGGGGAAGGAGGTGTTTCAAAAACTAACTTCCAGTTTACTGGCCAAGTATTTAAAAATATCCATTCCCAGGTAAGAGGTGTATCCGAAACTCATAAATCAGTTCAGAAACAAGATGAGGTGCTTACAGTTTCTACCCAGAAGAAATCAGCAATGGCAACTGAAGAAAAAGCAGCCGTTCAAGAAGTCATTAAAAAGTCAATTGCTACGGAAGATGTCAAACAATTGAAAGCAGAAATTAAATCTTCAACTAAAATGACAGTGTCCGAAGGGCAGAAAGTGACACTGAAAGCCAACGTTCCTGGTGCCTCTGAAGTAAAATGGGTGCTGAATGGAATGGAGCTGAGAAATTCAGAAGATTACAGATATGGCGTTTCTGGAAGTGATCACACACTAACTATCAAAAAGGCTAGTAATAAAGATGAAGGTATACTCACCTGTGAGGGTAAAACTGAAGAAGGCATTATTAAATGCCAGTATGTTCTGACCCTCTCTAAAGAGCGCTCCAACGAACCAGCATTTATCGTGCAGCCTAAGTCTCAAAATGTCAATGAAGGACAAGATGTATTGTTCACCTGTGAAGTTTCTGGGGATCCTTCTCCTGACATTGAGTGGTTTAAGAATAATCAACCTGTAAGTATTTATTTAATACATTTACTTGAAAAATTAGAGTTGTTCATAAAACTGCTTTTAATGAAACCTTTTTTTTTTCCCCCCTTTCTCAGATTGCTGTTTCATCGCACATCAGAGTAATACGCTCTAAAAACATATATTCTCTTGAGATTCAAAATGCAGCAGTGAGTGACACCGGAAAATACACAGTCAAAGCAAAAAATTACCACGGGCAGTGCTCTGCTACAGCATCTTTGACTGTACTCCGTAAGTTTGTTCTCCAGGTCTCATGTTCAGACTAATCACAACTTCTTTCTGTAGTATGTCTACTAAAATGGCTTGCTTATGACAAAAGCCACTGGCATTGTTGGTTTAGATATTTTAACAGGTTCCTATTTCTTTTGTATATTATATATACAGAACTAAAACAGCATTAGAAATCTTTATAACACCCACACAGATGCTCTGTTACATCAATACATGCATGTTAAGGCTATGAGCATTTCTTCTAGGATGACTGTGTTAAGACCTTGGTGCTAGCAATTACTCTTTCCTCGTTTACTAACAGAATCTGTTCCAATAAAACAAAGTAATTCCACAGTTAAAAATGTTTATGGTAAGTTAGCCATAACTGAACTGGGTTTAGTATTTTATTGGCTGTACCATATTCCAGTTCCTAGCATCAAGGGGTTGCTATGATTTGCTTGTGTGACTGTGCTTGAGTTTGAAGGAAAGCTACGGTGATTGAGCTTTTCTGTTGCCTTTTATAGCTACAGAACAATGCAGTGACATATGGACTTTCCTATATCATGCTTGTAAGAACTTGAAAATGTTTCACAACTTCTACGAACATGAACTGAATACACAATTTCTCAATGTCTAATTCTAGTAATGGTTCTAATAGGAAACACTGTGTGACAACCTGTTTTTTCTTATGTTTTTTCCTGCAAGCTCATATATGCTAGTAACAATTCCATTTCCTACTTGTTTCATTTATAAATTACTGTTTGTGATTTGGACACCTTGACTCAAATGATTGTAAAGAATTTTATACTCCCCTGCCCTTTTCCACTGAAAGCAAACTATGCTGTCTCTTCATTTCTGTAAAACTAACCCTGTAGAACTGCATGACTTTGTTTGTTAATGTGACATTATTGGTTTTTCCTTCTATGTTTGCAATGCTCCCCAGCTCTAATTGAAGAACCTCCGAAAGAGGTAGTATTGAAGACAAGTGGCGACGCAAGCATGCACGAAAGTTTTTCTTCTCAGTCCTTTCAAATGGCTTCTTCTAAACAAGAGGCTTCATTCAGCAGTTTCAGCAGTAGCAGCATGACTGAAATGAAATTTGCAAGCATGTCTGCCAAAAGCATGTCCTCCATGAAAGAATCCTTTGTAGAGATGAGCTCCAGCAGTATTATGGGGAAATCTAGTCTGGCTCAACTGGAAAGTTCAACTAGTAAAATGCTTAAATCAGGTCTGAGAGGTGAGCAATACAATTACTGGTAGAGTTAGTGCTTCAAATATCCTGAAGTAGTCAGAGTAAACCTGCTGTATGGCTTGGTGGAGACAGACTAACTTGGTATCTCTTCTCCTGTTTTGTAAAGGAGTACCACCCAAAATTGAAGCTCTGCCATCTGATATCAGCATTGACGAAGGAAAGGTTCTCACGCTGTCTTGTGCCTTTTCGGGTGAACCTGCTCCTGAAATAACATGGTACTGCAGAGGGAGAAAAATTACCAGTCAGGACCAGCAAGGCAGATTCCACATTGAAACCAGTGAAGATCTAACCACCCTGATCATCATGGATGTCCAGAAGAACGACGGTGGACTTTACACCCTGAATTTAGGAAATGAATTTGGTACCGATTCTGCCACTGTGAATATTAATATTCGATCAATTTAGAGAGCTTTATCTGTATTATTTACACTTGTCTTTTTACAAGTGATTCATACATGGACTGAAATATCTGATCTGTAAATATAAAAAAAAAAAAAAATATTTTTGTACCTACCTGATGAGACAAAGTCCAGAGCTATACTTTATGACTTATAGTCATTATTGACCTAAGAATTTTAAACACTTTTTTTCACTGACATGTACATACTGTATATAGCCGAAGTTAACGGTTATGAAGTTTTGTACCATTTATTTTATGACATTTTGAAACGTAACTTTTGGAACTAACAGTTGGTAGGAGAAAGTTTCCTAGCAAACGACTACCCTGCTCAACATTGAACTAATTTTTGCGCCTCAACTCATTGTTGATGTCTAAGAATGCCTCAACAGGTAGAGAGGCTCCCTGTTGAAGATTACCTACATCTAAGAGATGAAACTGTGCATAGTATTTCATACATGCACGAATATTTATGTTGAATCAGAAATGTAAGGCATTGGTGATGTTTGCAATTACCCTCCTGTAAGCATTGCTTTAATGTTTTACGTTGGATCTGATTATGTCACAATTTCCATACCTGACTGACCATTTTTGGACAAAGTGCAAGCGGCCAGCACTTTGTTCACCCACTCTGTGCTGTTTCTGACACATTGATTGCCTGAATAGCTTTAAAAAAAAGTAACATCACCTGGCCATCCCCTTAATCAACAAAGCTATCTAGGTACTCAAGTGCAGCAGCAGTACCCCCTCTCGGAGGTTCGTAGGGTGCAGTGATTGAGTTTGTGTGGTAGTATTAGACATCCAGTAGTCACTTCCAGGCAACTAAGCAATGAACCACAGTTTGATAACAAACTGTTGTTACAACATCAAATACCGCCCTGCACTTCAATTTGCTTTAGTTCTCCTAATGTAGTAATAAATCTTGTTAGCTGTTGAACCTCCTTGAGATAGAATTATTCATTTGAAATAAAGCATGCTTTCCGCACCATAAAATCTGTTACTCGTTATTTATTTATTATGCTCTGGTTTTACAGTTGCAGTACTACACTCCAGAAAAAGAGTCACTGAAAGAAAAGACTAGGTAGAAATGCAATTCCCCGTGTAAACCAGGTAGCTAACTGTTGAAAATCTATCAGAAACAGCCCAGCCACCAGAAAGTCAGCCTTAAAAATGTCAGACTTTTTTTTTTTTTTAAAGTTTTCTGCATAAGTAAGTTAGTTCTTCATTGACAAGGGATAAAATCTAGCACATGCCTAAGCATTATGCTATTCTTATTATCCCGCTGTTAAGCAAATTCCCAGGCCTTCCACTACACCCTCTATCAGTAAATTGCTAATCTCTCTTAAGAGCTGGTCTCTGCTGAAAGTGGTTAAAAAACAGCCTCCAGAAACCTGGCTATTGTCTCCTTTTTTTGGCAGCTGCAACTGACCCTAATTGCCTGGACCTACAAGTTCTCACCTCCCATGGGTGATTAAAGGCCCATGCCCCATCAGTTCTTCATCCCTCATATCAGCTGACAAATCTATAGGAGCAAAGCCTGTCTTTACATTCCTGGCAGGAAGGCTCACAAATTCCATGCCTGCACATCATAATTATGGTTATCTATGGGAAAAGGAGTATCAAGGTCAAAGGAGCAACTCTGCTTCTAGGATTCACTCTGGTCAGTAGAAAAAGCTTGAGAGCAAATACGCTCACAGCAATGCAACACTGCTTCAGGGGCTGTAAAATTCTCTTAAGTGGAGCAGGAACATTCATTACCAATACTATGACTCCCAGTGTACTACTACTACTACAAAAAGCTCAAGTTCACCAGAAGTAGTAAAGCAGGTAGTTATGTTTAAAAACCCATTCCAAAAAGACTCACTACAGAAACAGACTTTTTTTTTTTTTTTTAAGTTTCCTATAAACCTATATACCATCAACCACTAGCTATCCAAATGACGCAGGAGCACTAATAAATGGGGCTGAAACAAGGACTAAAGTACAATAAGGATTTCAGAAGAGCTAAGTTTTGGGTCAGGACAAGATCCGGACTTTTTCATGTGATGGAACCAGGGACACTTAGAAACAATCATAGAGATGGAAGAGCTTAAGAATGCATGGAATTTCTTCCTTAGGGAGGAAAGTAAAAGAGAATAATAAAAATTATGTTAAAAAGGTCATTTATTTTAATTTTTAAAGCATTCAAAGAAAAAAAAACACCTCAAGAAAGCTCCTCAGTCTAATTCCATTAGATGTTTAAAAAACCCAATACAAGACAACAAAAATACACAGGTGCAGTCTTGTTGAACCAACAACTGACTTGTGTACACAGGCACGTAATAAAATTAACACTAAAAATACACTAGTCAGTTGTCTCAGCACAAAGTAATAGGGACAGACAGCATCTGCAGATTTAAGCATGCACTCTTCTCCACAAACGCTACTGGAAAGTCAGTCCTCCCTGGCCCCTCCCGAGTCCAGGCACATTTACTTGACCAAGAGGAAAGCACGCTGGTGTGGCAGTGTAAGCAAGTTCACTCCTCCTGTACCTCTCTGGCCCAACTCTGCACAGCGCTTAAGCAAGCACACCTAACTTTAAGCAGATGAGCCAGTCACATGCCTAAAAATAGGATTTAAAGTACTTACAGGCTTTGCTGAAGCACAGTTTTAAGAGAACTTTACATGCCAACCTGCTGAGCCAGTGTTTTTTCAAAAGACTGCTAAGCAAACGCTAATAAAGAGTGACACCAACAGAGTCACAACCTAAAGCTTCAATATTCAGTTTCATAGAACACATCCCTTTGCAGTAACATTTTTTGAGACAATAGATTAAGCAGTCTCTGGATAAAAAAATAAAACATAACACAAACATCAAATGACCAGTATTTCAAATTACTTGCTTATTATATTAGGAATTTTAACTGTACAAACTGATGTTTGCTCTCTTTAAAGATAAAATCTATTGCACTACAGGACCAAGTTCAGAAAAATATCCTACCACTGGTATGTGTGTGAAGGCATTTGGACTTCTTGTTTCCTGGGTCCTGATGCATAAGGAAAACTTTTTAGCAAAGCTCCATGAACCATTGTATAGATTCTGCTATACGGCTATACATTCTCTACTAACATTTTACATTTGGCAGCCTGAGAAAAATAACTGTGATGGTGGCTAGCCATAATAACACTTAAAGAGATCAGTTTTGCCACTAGCAGATAAGAATCCCTAGTCTTAACATTGCATTCCATTTTTCCATCATCTCCAGTTTCATCAACATTTCCCTTCAAGGGGAGGACATTACTTGAAGAGAACACAAAAACCTCACTTCTCTGATAAAATATTAAAACTGAATCTTCTCTGGTTGGGTTTTTTTCCCCCCTTTTTGAAGATGATGATAATGTTCTAGAGTTTACATTAAAAAAAAAAAATCACAATACTTAATGTCTATTAAAAAACCCAAGGCATAACACAGTTAAAAAAAAAAAAAAAAAATCCGTCATTCACACGCTGGAACATGCCATAGCACTAACAGCAGCGGTACAAAGGAGAAAGGATGACAGAGAAATAAGTACTCTGACATAGCAGAAAATGACAGCCAGAGTGTAGAAAAGTAAGTCAGACCCACGTAAGGTAATTATGGCTCCGCTTCTGCCACTGTAACCCAAACTTTGTGGAAAATGCCTAGGCAGCCTACAGAATGCACTGAGAAAGGGAAGATACAGAAGCAGCCAAGGCAGTATTTATCACAAGAGAACAAGAAACACAGGGGAAAAGAGGAGGCACTCTTAAATCCTACCCCTTGACAGAATTTAAAGTATTACCTTTGACATCTATGATTTACAGTCTTGGAGATGCCTGTTTACCCTCTCCTTTGAAAAAGACAAAGGAGGCCCATCTTTTTTTTTTTTTTTTCTTTTTTAAACACATCCATAAGATACACTTGTGCTCTCACCTTTAGCCTCCTCTCCCATATGCATGCTGGTTAGAACAGTCAGGATAGGCTATGGGAGCACCTGTGTATGTTGGTGCATAACTAGCAGTGATTATCAATAGTGTCCTGCCATGAAGAAGGCAGCACCAGACAGCAGAGCTGGGAAACAATCCGACTACTTTCTTACAGTACTTGTCTGCCAAACAACATTCTGGATTGTTCATCCAAACTTAACAAATATCAAACTGCTAAGTAAATTAGATTCCTAAATGACACCTTCTAATCACTACCACACATACAGAGTGGGAAAAGCAGAGGTAAAGCATTACTTTTAGCATGTTTTAAAGTGCAGGCCCTTACTCTACCTTGTTCACGTTAGCATTACACATCCTTTGCAAAATAGCGAAGCACTGGTCACCCTGCTGTACAGGCAGAGGAATGCCTAGTTTCCGAATCTTAGTTTGCTTAAGTTAGCAGCTAAGGGGCCAAGTACTTCCAAGACTGTGGCAATTCTAAGGATGTACATACACAGTTAATAGTCATGTTGGGAGCTTTACAAGTGAAATAAAAATCTATGTGGTCCTTTGGACTTCAGTGTTAAAGAGCAGAGATTTTTCAGGATCACAACAGTGGATTTGGGCACCCAGGTTCTACATAAATCCTCTTTAAGCAGTAACGTTCTTGTCTAGATCTAGATCTGAAACTCTTTGGTTCAGCCCTCAAAGTAGTCAGTAAAGAAAAGCCCATAACAGGCAGGTTTTACATTAACTCTTTTAAAGCAGGATAATGAGGAACATCTGAAAAATATTTTTTTCAAACACAGCCATTTCATTCAGGTATTAAAAAGTTATTAACTTACACCAGCAGGAACAACAGCTACAATATAATACTTAAATTGATGGTGGCATAACAAGCAAAACTCAAGTTTATAGTTTGTGAAAATAACCTTAACACAAATAGCTGAGAGTTCAATTTTTAAATCAAGTACTTTTTTTTTTTTTAACGTAGAAGCAGCCTCTAAAGTATTCCTATCCCAAAGATTGCTTTCTCTGGGCTTAAAAAAAAAAATTTTTTTTTTTTTTTAGAAAAATCAAGCTGACTTACTATACACTAAGTGGAATGAATTACAAACATTAATTTTTGGAAGTTCAAAGCCCCTGAATGCTGCAATCTGAGTATTCATGCATCTCCAAATCACTGAGTGCTTGATCATTAATTCTTTATAGTACAAGCTGGTAAGCCATTTAAGCACATACCATTTCTAATTATCTGATGTTAGACACTTCAGAGCTATAACTCAGTAAGTAGAAGTTATAACTTTTCACCTAAAAGAATATAAGCATACTTCATATATAAGTGATAAATACTATTTGAAAAATTGGTTTCAGATCGAGCTCTTCAGAATCAATGAAGATCAGAACTGGAAGTACTAATTACACATCCTGTGTTGAGGTTCAGCTCCCATTCTTCACCAGAAAGAATAATGATATAATTAGGAGCATCCAGATTTTCTTTTTAGTCTTACTATACATGGATCATTGCGATTCACCCAGCTAAGTATCATTTTCAGAAATGACTTCTTAGCTCTAGACGCCAGAAGATTATTATATGATGGCATACCATCTTCACTGATTTCATTGAAATACATTCTATGATTTTTGCTATGAAGTTTGGCACAGGTATATATAAAAAGGCTTATTTAACTTTAGCAGGAACATATTACATATATACAAAGCAACCATTCCAGTTTTAGTGACATGGACAAACCCAAAACATAGCTGAAGTAATTATATGCAATTTTCTGCTTGAATCTAATCATTACAACTTTTGTCTAAACAATCTTATCTGTGGCAGTATTTACAATTATTATTTAGTACTACATGCACTGATCAGTCTCAGACTTTTTTTGCACAATGTGGAGTCCAAACTATTTTCTCCGTAGGAGTTGAAAGCCAGAAAAACATTTGGTAATGTAACATATACTTAACACTGTACAAGCTGGCAGAAACCTCAGTGAAATTTCAAAAAGCAGCTCTAAGACAGCATATAACTCCAGACAACACTCTCATTGCAATATGTAGTTTACTTCTCTGAACATCTTTTTTAATACTTATTTTTACAATTGTCATAAGTGTCATACAGAATACATTAAAGCAAACATTCAGAAAAAAATGTACAAGCATGTGTGTGGCTGATACGCATATGCAAATGCTAGTTGCAGGAAAACTGACAGAACTGAGCACAAAGGACAGCTCTGAGCTGGTATCCACAAATAACTTTACGTGTACTAGCCATTCCATTCCATTTGACATAACAGCTTATAAACTGCTATTTTATATATGGCCAACAGCTCATATGTATTTCCTCAATGTTTGGACCTATTTTGATTTAGAAAAACCAACATTCCAGAAATTTTTAAGGAAAGCTTCCATTCCCATCTGTCGTTTACAGCCTGCTTCAAAACACCAAATTATACACAAAAAGGAAGACTAGTTAAACCAAATTAAACAAGATGTGATTATAAAAACAGATTTTGGTATGTGCTCAAGTGCAAAAAACCCTGTACATTTATTTAACAATTGTGTAAATCAAGAACAGTAAGTGGCTTCCTTAAAGTGCTCTACAGCTAAGACTTTACAGACCAAGCTTATTCCTAAATGAATACCCCCAAAATCCACAAAAGCCTACAATGCTAACACTAACAACCTTACGGACCAAGGTGCTAGTAGGCACTGTTATACTATATTACTCATTAATTATTAAGAGAGTTAGACTCTTACCTCACTTACACATAATGCAAACTTACACTGATGTAACTGAGAGCAGAATCCCTCTCCTGGTACATACCATCCTCAAATGATATAAAGGAGTTGCAAAAACAGCAGCTCCCTTTTGTATAAATATGTCATAAATAAAATATGTATAGGTACAAATATTCATTACAACAGCAGCTTAATGGTCTAGTATTTCAGCTCTTGCTTCTATAGTTGCTAAAAACACATCTTATGTGAGTAGCGGAAATCTTAACAGTGCTTTAGCTACTTGTGATGCCACACACCCCAGAAACAATTCATGCACATTTTGATGCCTGTAGTAGATCTTCAGAAGTGAAAGTAGGTAGAAATTTTTGATGCAAAAAAGAATAAATAAATAAAAATTATTAAATATCCAATGTTTGGTACAAATGCTTCATATTAAGTTATTTTTATACATTTGTTTAGAAAAATACACTAAATATTTCTACTTTCATTGGCTAAAAATAAGGACCAGATTATGTATATCCTTATGTTTTAAAAGAAGGCAATGTCAATTACCATCAAGCTGCTAGAGTACACCCATTAGTGCCCATTCCTACAGCCCTTACACAGGCAAAAAAGCCATTGCAGGGCTAATCACAGCTCCTGGTGGATGGCCTGGTACAAATAACCAAGAGGCCCATGGCACAAGTTGCATTTTCTCAAAAAAAACCCAAACAAACAAAAAACCCCCAACTTTTTGCTAAAGTTTATACATTAGTAAACCTGCAGGGTATAAGTCAGACCTTTGCACTTTTTAAAAAGAGCTACATTTACAAATGTGGATGCTTATCTGTTAAGCCATCATTTGTTCCAAAAAATGCACATTCAAACTGTGAAATATTAGGAAAATACTCTTGCAAATAAACTATATAAAGATAAAATATACTTCAAAGATAGTTTTTAATGTTATTCTATAAAGTGCAGAGAAATCCTTCTAAAAAGGGAAATGACTACTTCCTATCACAACAGTATAATTACAGCAGCTTTTGCATAGCATTATTTATAGAAAATTGAATACTTTCAGTTTCTTCAAGAAGAAAAGGATGAAATAGTCTCTTCCAGTTCAGATCTTTCCTTTGATACTGATCTATTTTCTTCAGGAATGGTTGATACCAGATCTCCATTGACAGCACTTCTAGAACAGTGAGCAGATCCTATGAAGATACCAAGAAGTATTTAATTTTCAACCCCCAAAAACTCATCCAATCTGTCAGTTATTCTATTTGCTGACTTTCCTATCCATAAGCAATCAGTAGCATAATTACTCTGGACTTTTCCTGGAAGATTTCAATCAATATCATGCCCAAGGATGATGGATACAAAGAACATTCAGCTAGTATAAATCAAGTTTGGTTTTTGGAAGGGGGGTTGGGGGAGTGGTTGGGGTTGGGTTTTTTTTAATGTTGGTGGGGTTTTTGGAAGGGGGGAGTATTTTTTTTTTAGTGTTTCTTTTTGGTTTGGTGAGGTGTGACACCTGAACTTTTTTTTTCTTGAAGAACTGATGCATTGATGAGCATTTAATTAAAACATTTTCTATTAGTAAAATGAAATGGATGACTCACTGCAAGTTGGGTTTTGCTAGGCTACCTGACAAAGAAAGAACCAAGATAATCAAACAAAAAAACCAGAGAAACTGAGCTAGAAACTAAAACTACATAGCAAGGAAACAAAAAAGCCTGGTTTTAGCAGAAACACACAAGACAGACTCTTCTCAGCAGTCCTGAAATGAGTCAGACTGGGTAACCAACACCAGAAAGTCCAGATGGTAACAACAAAAGCCTTGCGTTACAGGAAGCTAGACCGATGTGCACCTACATTAGTGACGAGACACAGAATAGGATCTAAACTAAGTTTATTAGCTGGGGATACATGCTGGTATACCTATGCTGGTAGCAGATGAGTGAGGTGGAAGAGGTGGTAACCCTGCAACACATGAGCATCGGAGAACCAAGGAAATGGTGTGGATGTGCAAATACTTGCTTCATGATAGAATGTAAAGCAATAGTACCTCTGTGTGCTCACGCGGGTTTTCAGCAATGCACAGGCCTCAGGTTTTTTTCAATCCAAGTGAGGCACTAGGCACTCCAAAGGAAGCAAAACTAAACCAGAACTAGTCAAGTTAAAGTCTCCCTGAGAGGAGTTAGGATGGAGTCAAAAATGACAGCAAGATTCAAAAGGGAGGTCCACAGAAAAACTGGCTACTAACTCAGTAGGCCCATCTAATCAGGAGGGAATAATATTCTGATCATGACATCGTTTCATAATTTTGGGGTTGCTTTTATTTATTACTAGCAAGGCAGCACTCTTCCAGAACAGCGCTGTTCTCTACAGAAGGCAAGCAGTCACTGAAAAAAAAAAAAAATCTTTCTGCAACACACTGGGTGGAAATTATCCCCTGCCATTCACAGGGGTCACAGAAAGAAGAATTTGTTTTGTGAGAACAAGCAGGTGGCAAAGAACAGTACTCCACACCACTTAACCAGAACATCATTCATCTAAGGTTCTACTAGTACAAACATCCCTTTCCTGGTTATGTCTCTTAGCTTGCCAGTAGTCTCACTGATTTCAATACAACTACTCCAGCTGTAAAATTCTTCTCAATATGACTGAAAGCCAGCAAAACTTGGCCACATAACAAATCACACAAGTGCTTTGCTTTATAATATAGGAATCTTACAACCAAAACTTTGTGTAACTAAGAGAACTTTTTTCCTCATGCCAATATCAGCACAAGAACAGCTGCTGTAAACAGGGTAGTCAATTGTACAAAAAGATACAAAAGAAAATCAACCCTCTTCCAAACTTACTCTGAGAATCTTCAAAGGGAGCAGTATCACTGTAAGATTCTGTATCTGAGTATGTTCTTCTGCGCCGCTGCGAAAAACGGTGAAGGGATGAAATTGGTTCTTTTACAGAGTGATTATTCCTACAAAAGAAATGACATCTATTAATAAGCAAAACCTGTAACAACCCATACAAACTTAACATACTTTAAAATTATTTTGGTATTTAGATCAAACTGTTATTATCAACGTTTTTCACTAAACTAAAAATGGCACAGTCAACAGAACATTCTTAATTTTCACAACTATAAAACCTGAAAATGAAAACAAAAAATATAATATAATCTTTGCATGCAGAAGAAAATAATCTGAATCCAAAATACTGACCCCAAAAAAATGTTAGCATTCAAGCTCTATGTCTAATTTCATGAACTTGTCAGAATAAGTAATTTGCATAAAGTTTCTAGCATGAAGAAAAATTTATAGTGTACTAGACAGCAGCTGCATTATTTGCCACCAACACTGATAATCTGCACCCTTAGTTTTCAAAATTAGATCAATTTATGCTGTTCAATTTTTTTCTCCCAAGTGAACTATTCTTCTCACATTTTGATTTGCTAGCAAGTTCAGGGAGGTTTTTTGAGACATTAAAAAAAAAACAATGAAATAGAAAGTTACCTTTCTGAATAGCAAGGACTGGGGTGGCTAATGGAACGCTTCATCTAGGGGAAAAAAACAAAAAACAAACAAAAAACAAAGAACAAACCATACCAAAATGTCACAAGCTACTTATAAGAATAATATGCATAGCTACATTAATTTTTACTTTATTTACAGTCTCTACAAAGAGGGAGGGCAATTTTTTTTTAATTAAAAGCAACCATTCATAGTTAAAAATCTGATTTAACTATATGAAAACAGATGGATAGCCATCAATAGTAAAACTTTTAAACCACTCACACAGGAAACAGTTTACTACATAAAATACCACCTAGTTTCTATGGAATTCATTCTCTCTTGCTGCAAAGTTACTCACAGAGCCATTTGTTAATTGCTATAATGTAAAGAAATATCAAGACATGTTTCCTCTACCAAATGCCCACTTAAATTCCCCATTACGCAATAAAGCCACATCCTGCCTCTTGATTCCTTGTGGTTCTTCTGATATCACTGTCAAATCTCTATGCATATCAAAGAAAGTTATTAATTTAAATCAATAATGACCAGCTTTATAAGTAAACTGATTCAAGAAAAAGAGACAAGCGATCCAAGTGCAAAAAAAGGGATTCCCACAACAAAATCCCATGATACAGCTCAACTTGGAATCTATAAATATGATCAAGACGACATTTAAGATAATTCCACATACACTGTCCTTCTAAGGGAAATAATCAGTAGTGAAGAGTTATGAAAGTAACGTATGTACCATTATTTACCTTTCTGTTAAATAAGGGCATGTTAGATTAATACAAATATTTTGAATTATATACACTGAAAGATATGCTATCTTGCTGAAGTGCTTCAAGCCACAAGGCACTTATCTGTTTAAACAGGAGGCAAGGCTATGTAATTTTTAGTATCAGCGTATAGCTGGCATTCTAAAAAAACAAACAGTTGAACTGGGGAAAAGTTAAACCTCATTCATTTACGAGATACCTCATTACAGGGTCTTGACATATGCAATAAATTACTCTGACTATGTAAAGGCTAGCAAACAAAGACTGGGAATGGAAAATTATTGATTTATACTTAGGACCAGTACTGATCACAACAAAGTCAAGATTTCAACTGTTGACATCATAGCACATAGCAATAGCATAGTCTTCTGCCATTCTTCCCCCCATCCAACTAACAATATAACACTTAGAAAAAAAATAGTATTTCAAAATGTCTAAACCATTTGGACAGGTGATGGTGACACGGGAGAAACTAAGGGATCAGGGTGAGGCAGCTGGAACATTTCTGGCTTAAACTTGGCATTAGCAATCTTCACACATTCTTCAAGTGTTGTGATAAATGTATTACATGTGGCACTAAGCAAGGAAGAGGCTTCATTCATGTTCTGAAAATAAACGAAAGCACACGCATAAGCAAGGGAAGAAAAAAAAAAAAAAAAAAAAAAAAGATGCTACTACAACTCACCACCACTTCTACACACACACACACTAATTTCCCTCTTTACCGCTAAGAACTTCCATTTCCATTTTTATTTAATCAAACGTACACCTTCCAATAAGGTTTATGTAAGCAAACAAATGTGACAGCATTGTAATTTCTTTCTGACATCCGTTTTTCTTTAGGGCACCAGCCAACAATGCCGTAACATTTTTACTGCAAAGCTTGTCTCAGAGCAAGTATCAGAAGGTCATTCAGTGAAACAAATGAATTGCAGCAGCACGTGCTAACAGATTTATCACACCATTGCAAGGAGCCTGTAGGTCAGTTTCACCTTGCTGTAAATTGGCAACAATTTGCTGTGTTGTGACTAAGCCCTTGCTTTGCCCTAAGTGAACAATATTGTCCACACTCTGCTCAAGACTGTAAAGAATGTAGCAATTCATAATTTCCAGTACTAACTTCCATTCAAAAGCAGAAATACTAGAATAATTTTACTTGTGCATATCCAGAGAGACTTATCTACACTACAGGTTTCCAAGACCTGTAACGCTAGCGTTCACTAATAACGAAATGGAACACCCTCCTATACAAGGATGTAAAGAATGGACAAACAAGATTGTTTCAACTACTCTGCCCATAACACAGATGCGAAACAAGACAAATTCTTGCACAAGTCATGTGGCAGTTCTTCTGGCCTTTTAACCAAATGACTCAGTAACACAGTTGCTTCCTAATGCACGTTACAGTTAAGTCATCCAGGTACTTTATGCACATATAATCACTGTTAGTATTATTACATACACACAAGCGCTCAAAGTTGACCTCAGGTTAAATCTCCCAACATAAGGGAGATGAAAAAGGCATAAGATGTCAACAGAAACTTGAGGTGCATTATATAATTAGGTTCTCCAATGGCATTCTAGAAATCCTGTACCTCAATGCTGGGAGGAGAGCGAGTCTCATCATGGTGAACAAATTCTTGTATCGTATGAACTTGCTGCATTAAAAGATCACAGTAGAGACGAAGTTCAGACATTTTGGTTTTAAGAGATTCATTGGTCTCACTTATTTCTATAAAAAATAAAGGAAATATCAATTTATTGCTTATAATGTACACACACACTTTAATTTTCAAGCACTTTTCATTTAAATTTAAATATCCATATAAAAATTCACTTAAACTTTCACTTAATTTTGAGGAAAACTCGATTCTGCAATGAGTCAAGAACTGTACTCGAAGCAAACAATAGTTTGTAGAAAAAAAATTAGTAAATTTACACCCACCAGAGTGGCTGGAAATGGTTACATTAAAGCGATCCAAAAGAAAAAAATTATAGCAAAAATAATAGACAATAATAACTATAAAGATCAAAACAGCAGAAATGAAGTGGCTTCACAACAGCTACAAACAGTATGTTTGTTCTTGTAATGACAGTAAGTTGTTGGTATTTCAACTTCTTAATATAGAAGAGGTCAATGGAGGTGACCTCTAATTCGAACATCAAGAGGGAATTTACTACATAGATGACTACAAATAGTTACGATTTATATTTAAAGAGAATACACTGACTTTCTACCACAATATTTGCACTATCATTATCTGAAAACAAGTACTTGAAAAAGTGGTAAGATTGTATATACTCTAGGTAACATGCATACCTTTTTCTTTTTTTGTTCTGGTATCTGCTAAACAGGCCTTTGCACTCCCTAGTGCTACTAGCCACCTTTGCCTTTCGGCTGCATTAACTGCTTTCATGTAGAAATGCTGTTCCCCTGGGATGATTAGCTCCATTCTTGTGTTGTCTGTTGCATGAACTTATGACAAAGGAGAAAAAAAAAATTTTTGAAAAAAAACACCTCAACTCAGTAACGTTTATTAAATACTGATCAAATTATTTTAAAATGTTTATTACAATCCCATAGTAATACAGTAAGTCACAATGTACCACTGCTAAATAACAAAAAGCCCAAAGCTGCTCAACCCTTCTTCCCAGCACACCTTCAGGTCAACAGGTAGGGAGACGAGACACCAAACAGCAGCCAGACTCAAGTACAAGGGGGTTCCCTTTCTGCATTAAAAATATACTGCATATGAATCTGTAGTAACTGTTGCATTCCAAATCTGGTCTAAACATGGCACAATGAAGAGTTTTGCTGCAAGGACAAGTATTTACGGAGGACTAGGCTAAAAACTGAAATAATCGCCCTTCTAGACAAAACCTGGCTTCAGATCACAGAGCCCTAGAACCAAGAACTGAGTTGGACTTTGTTTACAGTCTATTATATTCAATACTACACCTTTAACTGAATACTCTGCTGAGTTTCATGTTATCAACCACAGCTCCTCCAGACTCACTCTCCACGGATGCAGGAGACCTCACCAAATCCAGACTTCAACTACTACCTTTCCTTTACCAAAAGAACAAGACAACAAGCAAAATGAACAACTGGAATGGCCAAAAATTGGATCTTCCACTTTACATCACTGATTTAATCTACACCAAGGAAAAAGTAACAAAAAAAGAGTTACCACATGAAAAATACTTGGTGGCCCATGTAAAAATAACAAGTCCCACATCACAAGCCGTCATCTGCAGGTATCCAGAAAGAGGTCACGAGTTGAAAGCAATGGAGAGGTAGACAATGCCTTGCTATTAGCCAAGGAGGTTGACCTACAGCTTAGAATACCGCTAAAGGCTAAACTCACAGTCTGACACAGTTGACTTACTAACTCTAATATACCCTTCACTTACGCATGTAGGCAGATGCTAACAGTGACAAGTAAAAATGACTCCGGAAAACAAAAGACTAAACATCTCTGGTTTATAAGGATCTCCCCTTTTGGGTCACTGCTGATGCTCTTCTGAAAAGCTAGCATTTATGAATCAGTTTCTTACCCCTAGTCATAAGAGGGACAAGCAGTAGAACTAAATAACCAGCCACAGTAACTTCAAGCGTAAGCCATGTGCTCACAACTATTTAAAACAAAAAAGGAATATATGGTTGGTTCAACACCTCAAAACAGAGCTCTAACTGTCAAACCCATTTTTCTTTGTCACCATTTCATAATTCACATTCATTACTATTTATGAACTATGAAGCAGTCACATTGGACTACAGATAAACAAAAATAGAGGAGGAAAACCTTGTGATGCAAAACGTGTGTCACATGATCTTTTCTTTTTTCCCTGGCAGCTAAAACTTCCTCAAGCAGTGATCTATTAACTCTTACCTTTTATTTCACACACAGCCATCTTTATACTTCCTTTGCTGCCTTTGCAAACATCATCCTGTGAATCATAGTATGACAATATCCCATTGTCTAAAACAAACCACCGAGGCTGCCAACCTAGAAAGATCAAAAACACAAAAAGGAAATTTTAGTCTAATTACTAAATTGCAAATCAAATTCAGCTCTTTGGCTGTTAAAACTTTTATCAAAAATGCAAACATTAAACTATTCATGTAACACACCAGGAAGTAAACAATCTGCACAGTCTGAAGACCACAGCCGCTCTATAACCAAACTATGGATATTTCTTTTTGGATGCAAGATCAGCGGTATTTCAGTTTTCACTACATTCCATTCTAGAGCAAAATTACATTTTAATTTAGTCACCAAGGAATCCTATTTTGAAGGTTGATAAATTACACACCTCTGAAGAACCATTCTCATTCAAGTATATTTTTCAGGTAAACTTTCCTAATATTGTAGGAACTTATTTGTAAGACACAAATAAATATCTGATGTCACAAACTGCTATGCTATGGTCTCCTTTGCCTACTGTATTTCAGTGAAAACTTCTAAATTTCACACTGAACTATTGACACACCATTTTCTCTGAAAGTAGCCCAGCTCCATCGCTCAACAACAATTTAATGTCAGGCATTCTGCGGGGAACTGAGACACAGCTTATACTCCTAGGTCTGTTTGTGAGGACAGCCTACACCGGCTCCTCTACTAAGGCTTTTGCCAGCTTTGCATTAGCAGATTTCTATAACAGTCTCTGACTTCGCTACACCTACAAAACAGAGCAGTTTATGCACAGATGCAAATACCTGTGAGAACTCTATGCAGCATTATACCACATTGTAAATTATTGTCATGGGCCCTCCTGGATTAAAGTATATTAACATTTTATGGTTTTTTTAATCTTTTTTTAACAGCTATTTTATAAAACTCAACACTCATTGGAATAGGTGCCCTAATTTCTAATGCCACTAAATGCAAACCATTTAGCCTAGTAAATCACTTCTGTTTCTAAAAATAACATAGAACTAAAATATTCCAGTAGAGCATAACAATTACACTGGCCCATTGCAGTCTGGGTCAGCTGTACAATAGGAGCAGATTATCCCTCTATTTTACAACTCAACACCAAACTTCAACTTCCTGCATGGCTTAGGGTTTGGAATGGCAATAACTGTGTGGCCAAGAACTCAATGTATTTAACAATATGATGGTGTGGTCCATAGCACTTAACAATTACCATTCCAACAGAGCAAGCTGCAGCCATCCAGCAGCAGTGTACTGTAACACAAGAGACTTGTGTACCAAACTTGAAAATCAGCTGAAGACTTCCTACTACGCACATTAAATCACTACAAGTCTTGACACTAATTCAAGAAGTGTAAGACCAGGCCCCATTACATCATGTCACAACTCCGTGATAAGGAAATAATAATGTGTAACTATTTCTTTTATTTACTAGCTATAATAGTAAGCATCTGTGCCTTTCAAAACACAGAGCAGTAGCTAATAAACAGATCCACTTTCAGATATAAAAACAGAATGAAAAAAAAAGTATAAACGTTGAGGGATACCAACTCCCACAGGAAATATTTCAAAAATTGCATGTGTACCTCACCACTTATACTCTAAGAATATGCAAACAGACATGAAATGACTGTACTGAAGACCCTGTCCTGTAAAATGCAGCTCAGAAATGCACTAATGTTTTTTTTTCCTGCTCCACAGTGTTGCAAAACATTGACTCTCTGCTGCCCTTATCTCCCAAGTGCATGCACAGGTGGTAAGTGAATGCCTGTCTCAGCAGTCCAATTCTGATAAAAAGGGACCCTACATGGATGATTACTCCAGCCGCACATTATGCTGGTATTGGAAAAAAACAGAAGCAAAGCATTTAAAAGACTCCAAGTGCCTCACGGAAGCAAGCTAAAGAACAAAAACACCTCTACTGATTTGAAATAGGGCAGTGTCCTATGTTTGACAAAAATATTTAACAAATTTGTACTTCACAACTTCTTAGATGCACACATATTATTTGAGGGAGGAAAAAAAATAAAGCTGTATTTCTAGTTTACTTTTAATGAAGGAGGAAACCGTATGCTTTCCACAATGCTTCAGCAAAAATAACAACCTCCTTTGCTGCTTGGCTTCTACCGTTAATGACAACAAGAACTACAACCCATTTCTGGCGACATAAGTAGACAGAGTAACACGAAAGTTCACAATAACATTTCAACACTTCACTAATATGATTACTTCTTTTTTTTGTTTTCAAGTTGCTGCCCTCCTATATTCCTGAAATTGTAGGGAATTCCTGACACACTAATTTTGAAATGCAAGAGGAGCAGATGCTCTCAGTTGGGCCAGCACACACGGAAGGAAGGGTTCTGCAGTTTGCTATTGTAGAGGGTTACTGACTTTTGGCAGAAGTTAGCTGCATGTTGATGTAACAGTCTAGTGTGTGTACAGCATCCACAGTTATTGTTGAACATTAACTTATTAAATAACAGACTTCAAATGGGAAGTTTGTATCACACACCACAAGGGCTCATTACCTTTTGCTACGGTAACATTTTTGGTCACGTAAGTGCAAGTGACAATTCCATTCTATTTCAAAAACAAACTGGTACTCCTTATTTCTTTCATAACCACAATTTTTCCTACACGTGTTTTCTCCACGCTTATTGCGAAGAAGTGGCAAAAATATCTTCTCTAGTATCTATTTAACTACAGTACAACTGTTCTCTTTCACCGCAAGGCCCATATATGCGGACACATATTTGCTCTGAAAAATGCAAGGTTATGCTCTGTAGACTTCAATTCACAGCAAGCGTGCACAATTCTTGAGACGTGGCCCATGTTTTATAAACCCTCAGGATTGAGTTTCACCCCACTCCACATTCAAAATCTGAATAGCTGAAGAATGAGAGACCAAAGAAGATTATTGCCAAAGCAGTCAGACACGAGGCCTGATTAAGCACGGTGTATGATCCAACACCGATATGCTCTGGTGGAACTGTTAGCCCTATTACAGCGTCAGAAGAGAAATCTGCTTCACCTTGACAATACCATCTACCCATTGCTATCTCCAGAGGAGGTGGCATCTCTGTTACAACAACAGAGGCAAACAACCCCAGAGCTTTGATAGCAGACGCAGGCATTTAGGGCATTTTTGTCTGCAGCACTTCTAAAAATACACATTGTGAATACTTCACCCAGAACTGAAGTTTTTATTTTTTTAAATCCGTTCCACAGGTTGGGATACAGGAGCACAGAATCAAAAAAATTACCATCCAAAAGCAAATTTTACAAGAGAACTAAGACTTACATTTAGCACTGAAAATTTAAAGATGCAAACGGTTCCTCAACTGCAAGCGAGGATACCCTGCAAGTTTGTAAGCTGCAAATTAAAGCTATTTCTGAGAGGGAAGAAGGGGAAACCCGGCGGCAGGGGCCGTTAGCATAAGACACTTGGGACGGCGCTCCCCTGCAGACTGATCCGTTACCAGCCCCTGACCGACTCGGCGAGGCGCAGCCCAGGTCTCCAGAGGTACTCAGCCACCCAGTTCCCGGTGGAAGGCGGCGGGAGCCGGGCACATCTTGGCTGCGAGGCTGTGGCGGCCGCGTTGGTGCCCCACGCCGCAGGGCCGCGAGGGAAGGGCGAAGGGGCTCGGCC